CATGTACATACATGCATCCTAAAGACAGCTCCGGCCCAAGCAAGCCGAGCTTCGCAAGCCAATGCCTGAAGTGGAGAGACGTCTCCATTCCAATATGTCGGGCAGGACCATTGGTTTCCGACCACCACTCCACCACGGGTATTTTAGACAGGCAAGTTAGCCCACGCTACCGAGTGAGACCACCAATGACCCCCTGGAGCAGTCGGCACTAGAAAAGGGGAAAGATATGAAACCTTTGATATCGACATGGTAATCGCGTAATTCATGCACGGCGGCCACCAAATCAGATGGGGCCAAATTGGGCTCGATTATTATCGTTACATCGAGTAGCTTGACATGGCGGCGACACGCAAAGGGATGTCTCATCCATAGTAGCTTGATGCGGAGATCAACCTACTTTTAGGAATTGCTCTGCAGGTTGAACATAGTCCCCGTGGTATGACTGATTCTACTCCCTGTCCGGTGCAGCTGCCGGTGACGATGATCTACAAAGCTTCGTCGTCCTCAACATGGGCCCCATGCGGAGTAACACGGCAGTCCGGAGTACAGCGCATCGGATGCAGAATTGGCCCTCGGACATAATCGTCATTCATCTGCGACCCGACGATGATACATGGCAGGAAGAATGCGCTGGCCGGGTTTGGCGGAGCGAGGGGGTTGCTGGGCGACACGAGAGCATCCAACCAAGCTTGGCTGAATTGATGTGAAACTGCTCCCGGAGAGCTTCTAGAATCAGCAATTATACTAGTACTAGCAATAAGATCTCCCTGGTACCTGACCTTAAGTTCTTAACGCTTTGGACTATTGGACGACCCGAGTAACCGTGATTATCTAGTATTTCACCGCCATCGGGCGCTTCCGGGAGCCATTGACAGGAGATCGGGGAAACTCGCCCAACTCCGGTGGTGGCCACAGCGGCGACCCGATTTTTGGCGACATCACAACGATTACGCACTGCTGCTACTCCCGAGCATGGATCTGGTGGAAAATGGCTGGATGACAAGGGCTTTGTTACCCGCAACCACTCGGTGGTAACCAGAGGCCCAGACAATTCCAGTTTTTTTGGCCGTAATGATGACGCTGGGTGGAGGAGAGGAACTTTCGGGCCGCAACCCCCCAGTAGCCTAGACACACCGCCAAGGTGGTCTTGACGCAAACCATGATTTCACGAGAACGCTCCAGACTTGAGGATAATCACGGGCGCCAAACGAGCAAGGCCCACTTCATCGGTGTCACCAAGCCTTGTCAATTCAATCGCATCAAAAGTTCAGGGTCGAGTGGACATTTGGGTCGGACAGAGTCGGTGAGTCAAGGTTCCAGAACAGATTTTCGGACGGGGGATGATGTGCAGAATTAACCTGTGATCACATCATTTGAGCCAACAAAGTCAATATTGTGGACCAAGATAGGGAACTAGGCCCGCCCTAAGATTGGGGCTCCGACTGTCAAAAAATTTCATCAAAGTACATACCGCTTGAAGACCTGCCGTTGCACTGCAACCCTCCCTGGCGTATTATTGTGAAGATGGTCATCGTGACCATCGTTGCTAGCCAGGAGCACAAAGTAGGTCTGAGACTACTGACTATTTGGAAAAGCTTTCCCAAGGATGACGCAGCCCTAGCAGAGACTCATCTCCGTGAGCACGCGGGTGCAATCAAAGACCAATGATCTCTGATATCGAGACATCCAAGATTGATGCTGCAACTGCAAGTCGCCGCCAACGTGCAGTCAGCCGTGTTTCACCATTTCTAGGCTGATACGTAGATATGAGGTACGGAAGCTAAGATTAGGTACGGAATGCCGTGGTCCGTAGGGCCTTGATTTGTCTTCGGCTTGCCGAGTCCTCTGGTCTACCTAAAGGCCCTCTAGCTCCGTCATACGAACCGCTGTCCCCATTTCGCAGAAAGCTGGCGAATCACAGGCGACCATACCTTTGATGCTTTACGCTGTCAATTGTGGTGGTAATCGGATGAGACAAGTTACCAAGACACCTTGGAGGAGCGGTAGGCAGCGAGTAGTGCAGGAATATCTCCAGGGAAGCCTCGTCTCCCTTATCCTGAGGCCTAACGAAATTATTGGCCGGTCGGAGATCAGCCACCAGCCAGCCAAGGGCCCTGATTCCGACCGTTGGTCTCCTCGGACGGACCAATGGATGAGATGGATTGAACCAGGGACGGAGCACGGACGCAGTCACTGCGTTGTCCACTGCCAGTTGGATGATTTTCCCACCCGCTCCTTGTTGGTGTTTGGCTGCAACGTCGTATCTCGCACTACTACCAGGCATACTACTGGCATACCTTGTACGGAGTATTGATTCTTAATATGTCCGAGGCGGAGATTGCCGCCAGTCGGTCCCACTCCTTCATGCTCGACGGGCATCAGATCCCAATGCAGCAAAAGCTTGAAAGTTGCAAGTGCAGTAGATAGTGATACACCGGGGTCTGGAAGCGGGATAAGGATTTTTGCGCCATTTAAATGGCGAGAATGAACCAAGACGGAGAATTACTAGTAACACTAGTCGGTAGTACTATAGCAGTAGTCCGAAGTAGTCTTCTGCCGCGACGACCCAACGGGCGGCGGTCCTGGACGGCACGTGGCCCGAACCGAGAAGCTGCCTTTTCGCTATTTACCCGAGCTACGCGAAAACATCTCTGCAGTCTGGCCCTCTCCCTCTCCCCCTCCCCCCCGCCACATATGGTTCGATCCTTTTCTCCGGACATGATACGGCCGTCATCTTATCTTGGGGCGCTGACCGCTGGCCCTACGGCATTCTCGTCGGGATCTATCTAGGCTCTAGCATTTCTCCCGCTGGAAAATAGCTCGTCCCCTTCCACGGCATGACCCATCATCTGGCAAAGGCTTTTGCAATTGGACATCGGGCTAACCGGCGGGCCTGGTCGAGATCTACATGCTAGCACCTTGTGAGATGGTCTCGACCTCGACTACCGATTAGATAATCCTGGGCATTATCTTGCCATCGTCGACTTTGGTCCAACCCTTGTGGAACGATGCCAACCAATGGTCGCTGCTTGAGGGATGATGTGAACAAAGAAGGGAGACTGTGGCACGGGTTGATCCATGAAGGTCGACTTCGACGGAGGTCCAGGCGATCGGCTCTCCGTCTGTGGCAGCTGTACGTGACGTATCGACGTCATCGGCCATATCGCTCCCTTGTTGTCTTCATGGCCTGAGCTCCCTCATCCGTATAACCCACGGTTACTTCGGTACGGCAGCTATCTACCCGTACTTTGCAGACCCCTGTCCCCACAGGTGCTTACGCAGCAATATTCGCTCATCCATGAGCATTCACTCCGACCTTGGTCTCGGAAGCATAATCCTCCTTACGCAAATGGTGAGACTTCGTTAGGTTTCAGCCGTGCTTGAAACGATATTCGAGGATCATTCGGAATGCGTCACCTCTTATCGGGACAACCAAAAAGACTATTTTCTGTATAATTCATGGCTCTTGCTCTAGATACTAATCCAGAGGGTGTCGCCATGAAGAGGGGTTATCTGCTGTACCAGGCCTTGCCTGCATTTGACCAGTCAAAGCACAGCCACACACATTGATTGCATGACGTGATGCTACCGGAATGCACACATCCCTTTCACATGATAATACCACCGACAGGTAGCCATACCCGAGATCTATACTATCCCTTTTTTCAGGAGTGCTCGGCTGAATTAGGAATCCCCTATACGGTCGATGGTGCTCGTGTTGGAATCAGACCGTAAACTCAAAGCTTCAACCCTAGTCCTCCCTGCTGCAAGGGCCTCGTCCGTTCTATATTCGTGTCTTACGAAGGCTCCAGTGTTCTGGACCCACTAAAGATCACATCCTTGTCAATATCCTTCCAGGGCGAAGAAATACTCCTAATGGTCGATATATACCGCAGGTAGATGCTCCAGATCTGGTTGACGTGCTACCGTCTACCACAGTGGCAGTGTTCTCTTTGACTATGCCATAAGAGTGGAAATGGTCGTGTCATCATGGAAGCCCATAATTGGACAGAACGCCTCAGAAGGGCCAGAAGCAGAAGACCGCGCCGTGGACCTGTTATCTGTATCGTGGGACCAGGCTGTGAATGTGACGCGACCTTGGTGGCGACTGATACCATATCTAAGACGTCTATTTGTTTCATTGGCAAGCTTATCGTCGCCTTTCCAGCTTTTATGCCACTAATCACCTTCAGCGTACACAGCTTATCGGCGTGCCTTATCATCCAGAGCCTCTACACCGAACGGCGTACTCCGTATGGCATATGGCAATGCATCGTAACAGGGACCCCACTGGTTCTGATCAGGTGGAGCTCATTAACGCCCGAGGCAGACCTCCAGGCCGGATATGGCCGATCCGATCAAATCCTTCCGTCCATGTATTTCAGGAGACACATCACGACTGGGCTGTTGCTTGCAAGCCATTTTGTAAGGCTATCCAAACAATAGCATCGAGACGTTGTATCAGTATTCAGATCCTGTGCAGTCTACTGTATCAGATGCGTCCAGCAATATGATCCTGCACGAACTCTTTCCCTTTCCTGTTGGCACTACCTCATCCAAGATGGAACCCTTACTGAAGAGCGTCTGACTGAACCGGCGAAGATGATGATCGAAGGACATGGCACATCGTGCCTCTCTCTACAGTTTCCCAAGCAACTAATGATAGATTCTACGCATCAAACCTCCAAATCATCATTGAACATCTCACATGATAATATAATATGTCTCTATATGTAATACACTGCACCCGACAAGAAAGCACAGTCTCCCCACTGCCTGCCTGTATACCCACCTAGAGCACAAAAGAAAAGCATCCATATTTATACACAATCCCATCCCATCCCCATATCCCACCTCAACCACACTCAACACAACCCCCGTCCCCCAACCCCAGTCAGCACCCAACCACAAGGAAACCAAATAAGTAAATAAACACTAAGAAAAATAGGTATCAACTCGCCCGCAAGCCAACACCCCAGTCCACCCCAGCCCACAGAAACCAGGAGGAAGCAGAGATCAAAAAATCCACCCCAACACAATCCAAAACACCAGCCCAACCGTAACCACAATCCCCGCAACCTTCAACACCGCAACCGTATCACCTTGTCTCGCCATACGAGTTAACCGACTCGCACTACCTTTCAGGTTCGTGGATAGGGAGGAGAATACTTGATTCTATAGCCCACATACAGACATATCGTTAGTAAACGTTGCGATAAATGCAATCACTCCCCCCCAAACCACAACGACCAACCCAACAAGCCAATACCTCAACCAAACAACCAATCAAAACAGAATAGAACGCAAACGCAAATAGCAAAAAGGAGATAACGAACCGAATGATCCAACGTCTCCTGATCCCTTGCATTATCATAAATATCAATGGTGACTGATTTCAGCGCGGAGACTTTAGACGAGAGGGAGTTGAGAAGGGCATTATTCTGTCTGTTTGCATTTCATGTCAGTCAGTATTTGTCCGGATTTCTGATTTATCAAGAAGAGTGTGAGTGAGTGAGTGAGTGGATGGAGCGTACTGTTCGCGTTCGTAGGCTTCGGCCATTTTGCTCGATGGGATGGGGAGGTGGGTATCGTTTCGTTTCTCGGAGGGGTTGGTGTTTTATGAGGCTGTTGTGGAAGGTAAGGGGGTGGTGGTCTGGGTTGGTTGGGAGGGTTGGTATTCGGTTGGGATTGTCGTTTGATGTGAGGCAGAGTGAGTGCCCGGGATGGGATGACGCTGTGGAGGCTGTGGGGAGATAGGGGTCACGTGATGGCGTCGATGGCAGGCCGCGGCTCGAGTGGATCGGTCTACTTTAGTCTAGTATGGGGCTTGAATAGGGGTTAAGGATTGAAGTTACAGTTGATGTTGGGGATAGGATACAATGAATGAATGGAGCATGAAACATCACAGAACTATCTGTGATACGGTTTGGAGTTATTTAGAGTTCTAAAAAGTGGCACCCAGTCATGCCGGACAGAAAGTAATTGACAAACCCCAGACGCTATGCGAACAAATAAACCCAAGGCGAGAAGTCAAATCTGGCCCTACCCGGTCATCGTGGAATATTCAAAGGACCACTATATAGAGAAAAGAGGAGCTTCAAGGCGCTCGCTCGGTATACCTTATATTCCCTGTGCATAGAAAGGAAGAGTTCGCCACCAACGGATTGAAAGAATGGGAGGATGACACAAGAAGTTAAGGCTAATAGCAGTGTACAGAGCGTGGGAACTGACCAGACTTGGCAGAAAGGGTATTTTGTGAGTTGCAATGAAACCAACGGCGATAAATGGAACCAGCTGCATATTCCCTGTCACCACATATCGTCATCGTCATCGTCAAGCTGAACATCATCGCCAAATGTTGAGTGACCGTATTGATAATGCCCCGGACCATATGCATTGCCATTCTCATAGCCACTTTTGCTATCTTGCGAATGGGTGCTGTAATGATCTTGTGGATCGTCGTTATATTCGTACATTTGGGGATCATCGTAGGAACTATCGGAATATTGTTGGTCCTGAGACTGTCCCGCCATAGTCAGCAAAGCCGATAACCGCCCAGCGCTTTGAAAGGTACTCACCTCTTGATATCGTTGATATTGTTGTTGCTGTTGTTGATATTCCTCTTGCTGTTTTTGCTGCTGCCTCTGCGCCGCTGATGTTGCCAGCATCATGTGCGGATGCATCTGCTGAACTTTGGCCAGGTATGAGTACATGAAGTTGCTGAGCAGGACCTGGGAGTATAGAGCGCGTCGAGGGTTCGCGAGCTTGATGTGAGCCATCCGATAGATGGCTCTTTCTTCTAGAATCGAGAATCGAGTCCAAGCGTAATCAACGTCTGGCCGCAGCTCACGGACAGGCGGCTCGGGTGACAGGTTTCGAGACGTGCTCTTCTTGTGATGATGATGGTGGTGATGGCCACTATCACCACTGCTCTTCTTCCGACTGCCACCGAAGATGGAGGAGAACAACCCAGACTCCTTCTCCTTCTTGGCTTCTCCAGAGGTCCGTCGCGCATTGTCTTTCCGGCGCTCCTCTTCTAGCTTGGGATCCAGTCGATCCACGACAACACTTTCGCGTCCTCGTTGACTACTATCGTTCGAGGATGGAGAAGAATGCGCCGCCTCATGTACTTTGTCAACCAGCTTGGCCTTGAGCTTTTTGGAGTCACTGTCCTTGTTCTTCTTTTCTTTGTCTTTGTCCTTATCTTCGGTACCCAGCAGCCAGTGCCAGCTCGATTTGCGACCCCCTTCTGACTCTTTCTTATCTTTCGACTTCTTCGGCTCCTTGGATTCCTTGGATTCCTTGGGCTCAGCCTTGCGATCCTCGAAAGTCGGAATATAGGAGAGGTTGTCTGTCCGGGTGCTGTTGCCAGGTAAAGCTTGCGGGGTGTTGGCAAATTCATTGAAGGAGGGCGCAGGCTCCTTGCCACTGGTGCGACCGTGTAATGATCGTTTACTCGAGCTCCGATCATGAATTCTATCCTGAGCCACGGGTCCTTTCGGAGGAACGCTCGGTTGTGGGCTCAAAGCAGAAGGCGGGGCAGAAGGCGTGACAGGAGTTCCAGGAGGGGGCGTTTCGACAATCTCAGGTATCTTCTGGTCTGCAGCAGGGACGTTCACAGTTGACCGTCCATTGGAACTGATCCGTGAGTGCCATTGGCGTGGCTGTTGAGGGGAAGTTGCCCTGCCAGATGGTTCCGATAAGGCCGGGTCATGGGGGCGCTCGTTCACTGATTGCGACTGTTCTGTGGCTGAGTCAACAGTGGAGCCAGCTGTCGTGCTAGGCGTCTGTGGTGTGCCTTGCGTCGACTTGGCCGGGGCTTGGACTCGTGTTACACTGGGAGTGGGATCGGTGGACATCCGTGTGAGACCCAAAACCGCTTGACCGCCAGATGAAGCAGTGGGCGACGTGAGCGTTTCATGTGTTTCGGAGGTCTTCGCTATGCGCTTCGAATACGGTGCCTTTTCGCCTTTCTTTAAGCTTCCAGCCTTCCTATACTGGGTTCTTGTCGAGCGTCTGAGGCTGTGTCCCGGAGGTGCGGGAGGAAGGATAGGTCTATCTTCGTCGGTGGAGATCCCAAGCTTCTGGATTCCATCGAGGATGGTCGTTGCGTTGGGTGCCGGCGGCTCTAGATCGTCCACTATAGTTTCTAATTCATGTAGGTTGGGGGTTAACACATCGCGCTTCGATTGTGAACGTTTGCGTTCGAGTCGCTCGGCGCCATCCGTATAGCCTTGGGGGGTGTCAATTTGCCTGGATAGCATAGACCGCTTTCGCCTCAAACCCCCGATTGATCCTTCACGCTCAGGGCCTAAGGCAGAAAAATCGCCGGATTTCCGCTTGATTTGTTCCGCCTTGCTCTCCAGGAAAGTCTTGAACTCCTTCGGAGCCAGCTCCGGGTGTAAACGGGCTGGAACCCAAAACAGTCGCGAAGCATCATTTTCGTCGTCGGAGGGAGAGGGGGCTATGGATGGCACGGAAAAGCTCGGGAGATCGGGGTCATCTGTAGCAGCAACGTCCATGGACATCCGCCGAATTGCGGCTAAGTTACTCAATTCCTGTGCTACGGCGGCCGGGTCGGATTCATAGTCGACATCGTTCAAGGGAAAGGATGTCGTAGCCGTGTCGGTTGATCCGGGAGACATGGTTGACACCGGAGATGTCGGGCTGCTTTCTGAGGACCGGGCTCCGTGCGACCATGACTGCCCGTTCGGCTGCCGGTTGTTTGGGTGATGCTGTACTTGGAGAGATTGTGGGGATGTCGGGGATTCGCTGCCGGCAATTTTGGTGGGGATGATTGTGATGGCTTCGCTCAGCGGGGAGGATATGAAACTAAGTCGCCTGGAGTCCCGTTTGTCGTAATCGTCATCGTACATATGGCCAATGGCTTCGGTGACATGGTGACTCGGGTCGCTGATCGAGAGGTGAGGTACATGGCCTCTCCTCGTCGCATATCCTCCGCCAGGCTCAGAGGGGCTCGGTGAAGCCTGAAACCCATGGTGTTATGTTTAGAGAGAGTCCTTCAATAATACAATTGAAACAGGGGTCGGGGGTCCACAGTGCGTGCTCAACGGATAATTTCTTGCCAGACCAGTCCTTTGGGGGGAGGTAAATCAAAGGCCGGGAGCCCCTGGGCCATTTTCCAAGCGTGGAGAGTGGGCGAGAGGTAGAAAGGGAAATTTTGGTATAACGCGGACATAAAGAAAGTGACGCACCTGCATGAGAGCAAATTAACCGGGGGGGCGGACAGGAGAACGTCCCGGGGTTGGCTGAGGATCAAGAAAGTCGTTTGGTGGAGAGGAGGTCAATGTACCACCAGGGCCGTAAGACAACGCAGAGAAAAGGTAGTCATGAAATCATGAGAGCGGGGAAGAAGCGTCGACGGAGAGGAGCAACCACCAGGGTGACGAGAGGAAAGAGAGGACTAGGGCGATGACGGCTAGGCATCCGGGGGCCGAAGATGCGATTCTGGTAAAAAGTTCGAGTGTGAGGGGGGAGGAAAGTTCTCGGGGGGGAGGAGAGCGAGCGACGAGGCTGAGATGGGCAGCCGTGGTTCCTCGTGGAGATGATGGGGATGGGGGGGACTGGATGGAAATAACAGTCGGTGGTGGTGGTGGTGGTAAGTAGAGTAGCCCGGTGCTGAGGTACCTGGAGACTGGCCGACAGGAGGCCGCTGTGGTTGGTCGGTGGTGGGTTGGTTTGGCTGGGCTCGCCGCGCTGGGCTTGGATGGCGAGTATTGGTTTCAGGGCAATGGAGGAACTCCTGGCTAAGTGAGGATCCTGTCAGAAAACCATCAACGGCTAAATCGGGATTGCAGATGCCTGTGCAGGGTTGAACTGAGTGAGTCCGGTCGAGGAAAAGGAAGTATCAGTTCTCGACGCTCTCTCCAAGTCCTCGGATCTTGGGCAAGGCCGCACCGCCGCCCTCTTAGTCAGCCTTCTGCTCCACTGCCCTCTGCTGATCATTCGTCTGGCAGGCCACAGTCTTGTTCGGTTTTTCTCTACGGAAAGTGAAAAAAGAGATGAGGTGATTACCCTGTTCAGTGCACTCTGTGCGGGCGATCGCTGATCAGCATTACCCCGTGCTCTTGGTGGGCTCTAATGCTCGGTAGCACGGTCTCTCGATGATCGATGATCTTATCCAGTTCGCTAGGGCTCGGGGGAGTTTATCTACAAACTACCTGGCATGTGGGCTGTCTAGATGTTTTTATTTTCTGTTTGCAACCTAAGGATTACTCCACATGTGGGTAGGCAGCCCTCACTCATGCGGAGATAATCCTTGTCCTTACAGGTCACTGGAACAGGCATGCAACAGCAGTCACTGCCAGCCAGATACCAACATCCTCGAGTACAAAGGAAGGACAAATGGTATTGAATCAATAGCACGACCCCTCTGAAGGATGAAAACAAGTCACAAGATCAAAGACATTGAAACATAATGAGATTATCATTTGGTGTGAACCTTTTGTGCTGGCTCCTATCACCCATTAACCAGACATCCCAAGAAAAAAAATACTGTAGTGCATAGAAACGTGCTTCTGCTCATTGATCTTCCCGTCTTTCCAACATAGATCGACAGGGATAACCGCCGTCCACTTGCTTCAAACCGCGTCATTCTCTTTGCCAGCTGTCTAACCTACATCGCCTGAGTCAGTTCGTAATCTTCGGCAGGTTCAGCTGATGTGCTTCGTCCCCTAGCCCTGTCCTCGTATGATTAGGAGAGACTGATTATATGGCATAGGAATTCACCCCCAACACACAGGCGAGGAAGAACAATCAGTTTCTCAGCCAGCAGTGCGCTCAATCGCATTGCTTCGTTCCTTCTCGCGTGAGACCCACGCGAGTCTCGTGCCTTGTGTTCCTGACCTCCATTGGTCGAACGGGCCTCACCCGATGACTTCGGGATGTTGCTGAGGGGCTTAGTCCAAAGGTCCAATGGCCCGGGTCAATGGGTCTTAGTTGAGTTCTGTTGTATGGTGACGTCCCGAAGAATGTACATACGCTGATGCGATGAGCAGGGAACCTGGGTGACGACAATTTGATAATCCCCAGACCTTTCATATCTTTCATCGGCAGCCACCCGTTCCTTTGTCCGACTCCATTATCCCTTGCAAGGGATGGAGGCATATCGGCCCAAGGAGCCGGTCTATGGCCTATCTAAAACGTAACCAATCAACCATCCCCTTCGCACGGCAACAAAGAGGGGAAATGCATTTTGATAGTAGAAGCTGGAGTCCAGAACAAAGTAGGGACAGAGTCTTATGTATACCCAAAGGCGGTCAAAAAACTATCACACGCATATACTGAAGCAAAACAATCGCCAAAAAAAACAGACACAAGTGCGAGCTTCCCATTTTGTCACTTATCCGCTGGTCAATCCAACTGGCAACTCCGGCACTTACACAGGAAAGCCGAAAAAGAATCTCTGGAACAAAAACTGGAGGGGTGTGTCCTGAAAGATGGCTTGCGGGCTGAAAATCAGACATGAAGAACAGAGAAACGTCCGTAAGAGGAACAAAGCGTAAAAGGTACTTGCGTCGTCAAAGATCATTCCGCGTGAGTCAATCTAGGGTGAGGAGACTTCTAGGCAGTGTCGACATAATTACTGGGTGCGATTGATTAGCTTCACGGAGCAAGACGCCTGGTGTCTGGAATTACGGATCCGCTTACCTTGGGAAAATGCCGACCCGGTCTCCAATCCGTCCAGTCCACCAGTCCTCCTTCTTCTCAGTCCTTTTGAGAATGGTGATGATGTCGCCTTTCTTGAAACCCAAGTCACCTTCCTGGTCCGCGTCAAACGCGTACAGCGCAATGGCCTGATCCTGGCGTAAAGCAGGAGCCGCCCCCGTCCGCTGGCCAAAGACTGGTTTAGGAGCCGTGGGCCGGCTGGGCTTGCGGTCTGAGTAGACGTAGTCTTCCTCTATCGGGGCAGTATTGCTCCGGCTGCGGGTGAATGAGTCTGATGTGTCGGTGCGACCGCTGTACCGAGTAGTGGAGGAACGACTCAGCCCTCCAGCAGGTCGGTCGTAGATATCGTCCGCCCATGTGTTTGCACGGCGTGGTCGGTCTCTGAACTCATCTGAGCCCGAGCCACTGACCCCAGTGCGATCGCGCCTTACTCCTTCACCGTACGCGTCGCCCCGGCGGCCCTCCCATACCACATCATCATGACTATCATCGTAGACAGGAATGTCATTATACATCGCTCCGCCCGACCGAGAATTGCCATAGAAGGCACGCGAATTCAGCACACTCAGAAGAGGTTCTGCGCCCGGCGGAGGTCGAATAGTCCCGCTGAGGAGCTGACGTGCCGACACCCGACTGTTGTACATCTTTTCATTCGCGTCTTTACGTTCCACCAGCATGCTTCCCTCCAAGCTGACACCAGCAAAGAGACCCTTTGTCTTCGAGTATGAAAACACCGCTGCCACACCCTTCGTACTCGCCGCACCAGCAGCCTCTGCGTTTCGTCCAACCGGTCCAGCAGCAATCGAAACGTTTCCACCGAGCGTCAGAGTTCCGACCTGTGAAAAGGTCCGAACGGCGGCGGCATCATTTAGGATGAAGACGAAATCTGTTAACTCAAACCCAATCTGGCCTCCAAATCCAGCACCAGCGGTTGCAATGGCTGACGGAGCAGACCAAGTCCCGTCAGCAAGTCGAGCGACAACGACACCAGAACCAAATCGGGCTGAGCCTAAGAATCCAGCTTTCAGGACAGTGAGGATGGCAAGGCCCTAAAAAAAGAAGCAATCAGTTGCGGTGCGACTTTCGAGCTAAGGGCAAGGTATTGGGTTTCTAGTTACCTTAGCACCTGCCAGAATTTCCGGAGGAATGACTTTATCAGGCCCAAACGCTTGTCGTGGATCGATAAAGGAGGTGAGGATTTTGCCTGCCTTTCTACACTCGCCTGTCTGTTTGTGAGTCCCAGTTGAACCACCTGTCAAGGAATTGCGGGGAAATTGAAATGAAAGCGGCGCGAAACATACTCCCTAAAGATGAAGGCAACGGGTTGTGAATTCCGAGAGGCATTTTGACTATGCTCGTCGGAGGATTAAGAGGAAGAGGGGGGTTAAGGAGAGGGAAAGGGGTAGAACGAGAGAAAGTTGGGAGAAGAGAGAGAGATGTTGATACTAGTAGGATGCGCAGCGAAGGCTGCTCGTCTCTATGGGAGGGAGCGACCGGAAGTGGAACCCAGATGACGGCTGACACCGACTGCGGTTCGCAAACGATAAGGAGGATCTGTTATCCAAACTCTGCACCACACGATGACCCCGTGGTGCGCTAGGTGAATGTACAGCTGGTTTTCACAGTGTGTTCCTGTGCGATGAATAATATACTTCTCTGACTCATGGGAGGCCAACCGTTGGAATTGGGAGCGGTACTGGGAGGGCACCTTCCGCGGGCGGAAGAGCATTCAGTCTTTAATACGGGGAGTGTGGCTGGGGCCGCTTCGACCAGCTTCTCCCCTCAGTCGGCTCGTGGTAACTCGCCAGTCCAGTTCAGGAACTGGCTTCCACAGATGTGGATCAATTCACCATATTGGATCCATCTAGGTTCTCTCTGCTTGTTTCCCTGTTTGTTTCATCACCTCTGAGGCTCTGCCTGTCAAGCCACAGAGTTCGAGGGACTGGAACCTGAGGCTGCAAGGGCGGGCACCGCCACTGCCGAGGCTCCGATGATCACCGCAATTCCAGCCGACTGTTCTCAGTGACATCGTTCTCGATTGGCCTGGGCTCCAAAACAGACGCTTCTCGAAGCATGTCCCAATAAATCATTTAAGGCGCCCTCGATCGCCTTCAATATTTAGGATCCCAAATGGCTACAGGTTCGATGTGCACGTGTCGATCGCCACAGCTATCCGTTTGCTAACAGCCCTCCAGTGCGAATCTGCGTCTGTGGTGATGAGGGCACTGGCAAGTCCAGCCTCATAACCTCCCTTGTAAAGGGAGTTTTCGTTACGAACAAAATCCAGCCTATCCTACCTCAAATCACAATCCCTCCTACGATCGGTACCCCCGAGAATGTCACGACAACGACGGTGGTGGATACCTCCGCTCTTCCGCAGGAGCGCAACAACCTGGCTAGGGAGATTAGGAAGTCAAATGTGATTCTACTCGTTTACTCGGATCACTACAGCTACGAGAGAGTCGCCCTATTCTGGCTGCCATACTTCCGCTCCCTAGGCGTCAATGTTCCCGTGGTTCTATGTGCGAACAAGTCCGATCTCGCCGCCGACCATACGGAGGCCCAGGTCATTGAGGAGGAAATGCTACCATTGATGGCGGAGTTTAAGGAAATTGACTCTTGCATCCGCACCAGCGCCCGTGAGCATCGTAATGTCAATGAGGCCTTCTTTCTCTGCCAGAAGGCGGTTACCCATCCGATCGCGCCGCTGTTCGACTCCAAAGAATCCTCCTTGAAGCCGGCAGCCATCGCGGCGTTACGGCGGATCTTCTACCTCAGTGATAAGGATAGGGATGGTTATCTTTCAGATAAGGAGATAAAGGAATTTCAACTGAGATGCTTTGAAAAACCATTGAGTGAAGAGGATTTAATCCACATCAAGGAGACCATCCAGAGGACGCATCCTCACTCAGTGACTCCTTCAGGTATCGATTGCCGCGGCTTCATACAATTAAACAAGATGTACGCGGAAAAGGGCCGTCACGAGACTGTCTGGATCATTCTAAGAGCATTCCAGTATACGGATAATTTATCCTTACAGGAAAACTTCCTTCACCCAAGGTTCGATGTACCCCCTTATGCGTCAGCTGAGCTCTCGCCAGAGGGGTACAGGTTCTTCGTCAATCTTTTCCTTCTTTCGGACAAGGACAACGATGGGGGCTTGAATGATGCTGAGCTAGCGTCGCTCTTTGCGCCGACTCCAGGATTGCCAGCTTCATGGGCGGACGGTTCCTTCCCATCCTCTACCGTTCGCAATGAAGCTGGACATGTCACGCTCCAAGGATGGCTTGCGCAATGGAGCATGACTACGTTTACGTCGCCCAAGACGACGCTGGAGTATCTAGCCTACCTGGGGTTCGAGTCATCCGACCGGAGCAATCTCTCCACAACAGCAGCCCTCAAGGTTACGCGACCGCGGAAGCGACGAAGGCGCCCTGGCCGAGTGGGCCGCAATGTTGTCCTCGGCCACGTTCTTGGAGCTGCAGGCTCAGGCAAATCTGCGCTCCTTGACGCTTTCCTCTCCCGCGGATTCAGCACCACATATCACCCAACCATTCAGCCCCGAACGGCTGTTAACACGGTTGAGCTTCCGGGGGGGAAGCAATGTTATCTTATCCTCGACGAACTTGGGGAGCTGGAACCTGCCATTCTCGAGAATCAAGTAAAGCTCCTGGATCAGTGCGACGTCATCGTGTACACGTACGACTCGTCGGATCCCGATTCCTTCGCCTACATTCCTGCACTACGCGCTAAATACCCTCACCTGGAGGAGCTTCCAAGTGTGTTCATTGCGCTTAAGGCGGATTTGGATCGGACCACTCAGCGGGCAGAATATCAACCCCACGAATATACTGCCATGCTGAATATGTCGAGCCCGCCCCTTCATGTCAGTGCCACTTGGAGTTCCATCCAGGAGGTGTTTGTCCACATCGCAGAAGCCGCGATGGAGCCCAGTACGGCCTTTCCGCGAAGCGAGGAAGACGTCGAGGGGAAATGGATGGCGTGGGGGATCGCTCTCGGGGCGGTGGTATGCGCAGGAGCGGCGGCGGTCATGATATGGCGGAGGGTCAGTGGTAGCGGGGTGTGAGGGGGTGTCCGTCGGGCGATAATAATACAATTTCTGTGGAGTTAGCTAGATACCCTTGATTGACCATTTGATCGTCTAGACGCCTGGACCTACCTAGGAGATATGTGCTATTGGCAAGCATGATGAGTTTAACGGGGAAGCATAATGAACGGCCTAATTCCGGAAGGTGATCCACTTTTCATTTCATCCTGCCATGTCGGCAACGGCAATCGAGAGGCGTAATAGGATCGTGTGTCCGGCGTGGGATTGACTTTGGGCTATGCCGACTAGTGGGATTCTTGCGCCCGTTAGCAGCGCTGGGAAAGGATGCGTTGAAGCCTGGCAGATGGCGGCCGGCCCCACGCGCCAACTTCAAACAACCCCGGAGTGACCACCCGCTCGCTCTTCTCTGGCTTCAAATCCCCGTCGCTCTCTCCCCCAGGTTATAGGCCCTTGCGCAGCGTCGTGTGCGGTGCATCTCCCAGCCTCCGTCTCCATCTCCCACTCTGGGGTATTTAAACCGTTCAGGTCCAGCGTCCTCCAACCCAAGTGAAACCTCCCGCAAACCCCCGCTCCGATCGATCCCTCGTCCAAGTAGCACTGACAGACCCGATCCCCCGGTCCCGCCCTCTCTTGCACGACAACGACGTGCTTCCTCCGTCCACTCCGATCGCTGTGCCAGGCACATGGCTGCCCTTCTGTCTGGACTCGTCCACCCATAACCTAGCAACGTTACGAGCCACCCTGAGTGGCACCGTCCAGGGTGCCGCTCTTGGGGGGAGGGAACTCAGTGACGACGATTGCCTGACGAGAGAGCCTATCGCGCATTCCCAGGCCCCTGTCACACCACCCCCCGAAATCCTTCTAAATTCACTAGCTGGCCGGTGTACCTGCTGTCGCATCCGCAGCCATGTTGTAAGACTCGCTCCAATCCAGCTGAGGCCTGGTTATCGGCGTCCTTGGTCCCTTATCTCCGCCTCATGGGCGCATCATAGGCCGGCGTTGGATTCCCTGGCGGTCAGACAACGCTACTGCCCTTCAGCCCTACCTGCACTGTTATGACGACTCTTTTGTGTCCTTTTGCGTCGCTGACCCGTTGATCCAGCGTCCTTCCCCCACCTCCGCCTCGCTACACCGTCCCCGTCGCCTATGCGGCCGGAGCGTCGAATGGCATGGCGGTGCCGGTTGTAGAAACCAACAATATAATCAGTCATCCGGAGGGTGGCTGTCCCTTACAAGCCGGCGAAGGTATGTCGCTGGAGCGGTGCATTTCCGCCCATGCGCGTCGACGCAGGGTCTTTTGAGGATTGCTGATTGACTAACTCCCACGACGCCGACAGGTACCTACCACCTCAGAGACAATTTACACTTGGCCACGCCTCCTCCGCATCCTTCCGAAGCACCCGTCGTGAATCCTAATCCACTTGCGACCGTTCCGACTCCTCCGACATCTGGCGTCAAGCTCTCGCTAGTTAGTATTGGTACCCGGATCAAGACTCCCACTCTCCCTCTGGATGGAACCGGAACCGCACCTCTGTTCGGAGAAGGCAACCCAGCTTTAGCGGCGCCTATTGTGAAGGAAGGGTTAAAAAGAAGGAAACCGAAGAACAACATCATAAAGAGCAGCTCGTCATTTGTTTCGCGGGTCATTACACATGAGGCGGCCACGAAGCGATTGAGCGATCGGAATCCGGACGGGCTTTTCGCCTTTGCCAACATCAACCGAGCGTTCCAATGGCTGGATTTCAGTGCCAAGCAGAAGGAAGAGCCTGTTACCAAGATCCTGTTCACCAAAGCGCACATGATTAGCCACGACATCAATGAGCTGACCAAGAGCTCGTCACATATAGACATTATCATGGGTTCATCGGCTGGAGACATCATCTGGTACGAGCCGATATCTCAGAAATACGCACGTATCAACAAGAATGGGGTCGTCGCCAATTCTCCTGTGACACATATAAAATGGATTCCGGGTTCGGAGAACCTCTTTATGGCCGCCCATGCCAACGGACAATTGGTGGTATATGACAAGGAGAAGGAAGATGCTCTCTTCACACCGGAGCTCAGCAGTCCATCGGTTGAAACGGTGAAGTCGTCAGGCCGACAACCACTGCAGATCCTGAAGTCTGTTAACTCCAGAAACCAAAAGACCAATCCGGTTGCGCTGTGGAAACTTGCGAACCAGAAGATCTCGCAATTTGCCTTTTCTCCGGACCGCAGGCATCTGGCGGTTGTCCTGGAGGATGGCTCGTTGCGAGTGATGGATTACCTCAAGGAAGAGTACGCCGTGACTTCAGTTTGCGCTACCTCGCTAGCTAACATGTTGCTAGGGTTCTGGATATTTTCCGCAGCTACTATGGCGGACTCATATGCGTCTGCTGGTCGCCCGACGGCAAATACATCGTGACCGGTGGCCAAGACGATCTCGTAACAATCTGGTCACTGCCAGAGCGCAAGATTGTCGCACGCTGCCAGGGCCACAACTCGTGGGTTTCGGCGGTAGCTTTTGACCCGTGGCGCTGCGATGAGCGGACATACCGGTTTGGTAGCGTGGGCGACGATTGTCGCTTGTTGCTATGGGATTTCAGCGTAGGGATGCTGCACCGTCCTAGGGTCGTACGTTCACCACCAATCTCCGACGCAATATCCCCATTATACTAACCCCAGTATAACAGCATCAAGTCAGCGCCCGCCAACGCACCAGCATGGTCGGTTCCAACACTCAACACCTCAACCGCCATCGAGCCGACAGCGGGGGAAACCGAATAAGGTCGGATTCCCAAGAAACCGCAAACACCTACAACAGTTACGACCCAACCGTTCGCCATCCCGTTGAGCCCAGAGCGCGAACAGCCCTCCTCCCACCGATCATGGTAAACCACATCCTCCAGCCTCCTCGCCCTATAGATGCTAATTCAGACAGTCCAAAATCGTCGGCGAGGATCCCATCTGCTGGTTAGGCTTCCAGGAAGACTCGATCATGACCTCTTCCCTTGAAGGTATCTTCCGCCTCTTTCTATCCCAGGCCTTGTCAAAACGCGCTAACAAACCACCCCGCCAACCCAGGCCACATCCGTACCTGGGACCGTCCCCGCGAAGGCATCAACGACAATTACAGTTCTTCACCGGCGATAAGCGCCAGCGCAACCGGGTCTGCCTTTGCTGACTCTGTGATGGGATCATTGTGAACACTGCTACACAACATACCCAAACACCGCTCGGTCTGACGTAGTGCCATTCCCGTAGCTGCTCTGTAAATATGTCTGTACACTTCTAACCAGGAATATACCCATTGGAATAGTATCATACCATGTTTCCCAACTCCGTGGTTGGACAAGTACGTACACGCCAAGAGACGGGATAAACCAACCGCGAACTCCGTCGATGCATACGATCCATCAGTTTCCTTTTTCGGCCTTCGTATCGGGATTATCCCAAACTTTCTCCAGACCGAATAAATCAAGAAAGATAGTACCTATCACACACCTACCCACCCAGCCATAACCTTACCTACCTACTTCTCACACACCAACATACCCGGTATCTAAATACTTTCAGCCTAAGACAATAGATACTAGGTGTGTTACAGTTACACCCTCGACTCGATAACCCCAAACCCAAATGACACCCTCTGTAACCACCACCACCAACACCCATGCCTGATCGCAAGATAGAAGGGATCATTAGGCAGCTACATATATACGTACGCATGTACCATACCATATCCACTAATCTACCCACATACCAGCAAGCTACGGTGTAGGTAAGTAGGCTACTGTCAGTCACTCAATCAGTCAGATTCTCAATCGGGCTGTGTCTAGCACGGGACAAATGCTACGGAGGTTATGTAGGTAGCATCATTGTAGTAGATACCTCACGGATTGAGGTGACCTGTTCGGCTCGTATACCGGGACTAGTGAAGTTAGTTTTGGGGATATTGATATCTGCATGTACTTGAGTTACGTATAGGTGGGGCTGGCTGAACCTGGTCGGGGGATAAAGTAAGTACTAACGTGTGTTTACTGTTCTATGGTAGTATGGGCACACTCCTTGCATGGGACTGGGTTTTGCCAACACCAAGGTGCATAGCCACGGGTTCGTGACGGATTTGGTTTTGATATTTGGGATTGGGGGGAAAAGCATCGTTGGATTAATGATAAGGTAGGTTGATAAGTAGGGAATGTAATTGTGCTGTGAGAAAAAAAAATCCATCCATCCATACATCATTTCAAAACTATATATCATCAAGGGGGAGAGGGAACCATATAATGTACCAGATCATTTCACTCGTGTGAAGACGTAAAGGATAGACAGTAAGAATTGGGAAGGGGGGTGAGGTGGGGGAGGGGGGAAAAGTAAGCAGTAGCAAATATGACAGGCTTCACATATTGCGAAAATAATATGAAGCCTGCTGATTTACCGGCCTGTCGTGTTCTAAATTTGGGATCGAGGAAACGAAGGTCGGGAAGGGTCGGATTTATCGATCGCGTCTCTGACCGGATTGTGTAACCTCGAGTACGGATACCTGTTTCTGTTGCACTTACAGCAGGGCGCCCATCGCGAGTGCGCCGATAACAGCGACGGAACCGGAGAGGGGACCGGTGTACGAGGCAGACCCGGCGGACGAGGAGGTGGACGCGGCAGCGGTTTGAGTGGCGCTGGTGGTGGCGGAGGAAGCTGGAGTGAGGGAAGATGCAATGGTTAGTCTCATTCGTGTTACATCTTGTATGTACTCACCCAATCTTGCGGAGCTGGAGGGGGTGGTGCTAGATGATGGTGAAGAAGTCTGGTGGTTGATGCAGGGACGGGAAGTGATTCTTGTGATGGTGGTGCTGGTGCTGGTGCTTGGGCGGATACATGGTGATGATGATGAAAGTGATGGTGATGATGATGAAATAGAATCTTCCTTACTTGTCTCAACTTTGCCAACCTTGGTCACATTAAACCTCTGGGACTGGCTCAGAATGCCGGTGTTCATCGTGGTGTTGGATTCGCCGTTGAGTTGGTAGCCCTCACTATATGCATTTGATTAGCATCGTGTAGCGGATGCCATGACGAGGCGACTAAGACTTGAGTAAACATACGCGACTGGGATACCCGTGACCTTGTCGACGGTGTACTCGTTGTCAGAGGTCTTGACGTCGGCAATCTTCTTGCTGACATTGGGCTGGCTGTTCATGTTGACTAGCATGAGAGTGAAGTTCGAAGGGTCAGATCTGATACGAGGATATGATTAGTATCATTGATCGCATTGTGATAGCTCTTGAGTCGTATTGACTTACGCAACGGTCGTCCACTTGATGGTGTAGGGCTTGCTGAAGTCCACCTGGTCGTTGGCCCTAGGCTGGGTGATTGTGAGGGCTATAGCATGCTGGCGTTAGTCCAACGATGGTGCTCTAACATAATATCATGAAGACTCTCGTACCAAACGCCGAAGCAGCAAATGCCACAATGGAGATAAGGATGTTGATAAAACGCATTTTGATCGTCTGAGACGAACAGTTGAGGGTATCACAAAGCGAAGGATATGGACTTCAAACGTCTTCACTGGAATAAGACTATTAACACGGTAAACGAGCGGTCTCAGACAATTGGATATATTGAGGGAATCAGCGGAATCAATGCGCTGGGTCGAGGGGGCTTTATAAGTGCAAGCATGGGAGATACACCGCAACAAGCCACCTCATGGCCAGGGTCCATCATGGCTGATGCCTGCCTGCTTGGGCCGCGTTTGACTCCTCTTACTTTCTCTAACGCCCCTGTTTTCCCTACGATATTGACCGATAGGAGAGGAGGAAAAGAAAGTAGCAGGCACGAAAAGCTAAAGATCGTCTATTTTGGGCACGTCTGCTGCCAAGGGTCCGGCTTGCATGCGAGGGGGCCGCAGATGATCTGTCCTGAGTCTTGGGCCCTGTCCTTTCCCAGGAGGCTCCAGGAGCTTTGATCCTGCATAGGACGCGTCTAGGTGGCGGATCTTGATAGTGACTGCAGGGTAGACCCCGATAAGAGTCTGGGCTTATTGAAGGATGATTCGCGCCCAGCAAACACAAGAAGCTCGTGTTGCAGGACGTGCTCACCCTTCCAAGGAGAACGAGGATGATCCTCCTTCTAGAGACTATGACGTTTTGTCTCGTTCCTTGAATGAGGTGTGCCCCTTGATTTGCAATATGAGATTCGGTAGCAATCCAAAGCCACATGAATTGCCGGATAGTCGTGGAAGGTTTCTGGCTGCATTCACAAAAGCTTCGAGACGCTACTGCAGGCTACAGCACAAGGTACATAAGGGTTCGCTAGTGCCGATGACCCGGTGGTCTTGACCCGACAACCTGTTAACCGTCCAGTGAACATCGCAACCAACGCAGAAACAAAATTCAAGGGAGATGACCAATGCGGTAGATTTAGCCTTGGTGAATGAAGCCGTTCGGGTTTGCCGCGAAACAGCAAATCTATTTCCGCGTCCCACCATTTGCGCTCCATCATTGTACGGAATTTGACACTAGACCACCAGAGTCAGCGATGATAAATCTCAGTATACACTCCTGTGAAGATGGGAAACACCGCTTACTGTTTTCTTACTGTTGTCTTTAAAAACAGACTGGAGTTAGCAATTGCGTCCTACACATCACATCATGCACTAGCGGTTACGGCTATTGGACAGGTCACATCGTGGCGACGCAACAACTCAGCTATTGAATTTGGCTTCATGCAGAACCTCTGCTGAGACGCGTGTTGGTAAGTACGTGGAAACCCAGGACGGCCAGGTAGCTGCTACACCATCACCATGCATGTCAAGCCATGCTATCATTAACTATGAATAGGCCAGTTCGAGGGAACCACATGAGCTTACTCGTAAGAGGATATGTACGTCATACCTCTCGAGGATCGCGTTTTCTTTTTATAGCTGGTGATAAAAATGGTGATAAAAGGTGGCTGGGCAATGCTGTAGGTAGAAGTTGAGGTTGGCAACAGAGCAAACATCCCTGACATGTGATCGATCCCCCACAACCGCCAACCTCCACCGACTACCATCGGAGATGATATCGCTTGCATCCCTCACCCTGACACATCGTTTTCCGTTGATAAGAACCTTAAGCACACGCCTAATCAGGATTCAACGCTGGAGAATAACCTATTGAGATCTGATTGACTTACACATCTCACCCCGGGAAGTATTCTGCTCAACTACGGGGAGAGTACAGAGATGTCAACGAGGTACAGAGTAGAATTTCCCTTAACTTACTTGAAGTTGGGTGCTGGCTGACACAAAGGGCCCTCCTTTGTTAAGTATCACGCTCCAATCGGTAGTCGGAGCTATACCAGACCCAGGTATGAGTGCCAAAGGCTATAAAGTCTCTGGAGTGTTCGCGATATATCACCCCCGATCACTTCTGGTGGTATCGAACTCCCTAGCCAGTACCGAGACAACTCCCATTCGGTGAGTTGCGTGATGCATCTCCTGATGATTCCGAGTCAATCCTCTTGTCTACAGAAGAGAAAGCGCCATTCGTATCGATATACAATGCACCTGCTACCGCTAGTTCCGTTACCTGCTCGCCCTGAATTCTCTGCAGCTTAATTCTCCTTTCAATATATGGAATCCGGGGAACTAGTCCCACCAAATGCGCCTCATGCAAGCTACAATTGGATGTTGACCGTTTCCAAATATCACAGCTAGTCCTGGAAGAGCTGCATAGCCAATATCTCCACCCTAACAAGCCTTTTACCCTATCAAATCCCCCAGACCCCTAAAGGGTCAGGGCCGCCCGAATCGATGCGTCTCTGCTGCAAAGTCTTGACCCTTCTTACGAGTGTGCCAACGCTGATTGGTCCAATCAGGGTACACAAAGAGATAGCCCAAATGACAACTAGGTAGGCTTCGGAAGAGCCACCAGATGGACTCTTGCCAAAGATCCCCTTAGATTCCGCGAGTGATGCAACGAGGTAGCCTACCTCGCCTCGAGCTACCATTGCGAGTCCGAGTATCGACGGGGGATAGAGGGATTTAGGCTTGGGAGGCGGGGAAACAGACGCAGTAGGTTGCTCTGGGTGACCTGCTTGTTCCTTCACAGCTTTATTGGATTCCCTTTCGCCATGGCCTTGGTTGCTGTTTGAATATGGGACGGTTTGTTGCCCTGACTCGTCGCGCGCGACAGGCTGTTCCAGAGAGCGGTCACCCTCACGGTTGCCCTGTTCTTGTCCGCCCTTTTTTCCATACTCTGCTTTAGGAAAGTGAGTGCAGAACAACACCACATATTTCAATGGAGCTGTCAGAGCCCGGATCGCGCTTGACACCTGTCCTAAAGAGAATCTAACCAGCCATGTCCCCGTGGCCATCTTACCAAGGGACATGAGAGCAGCATAGACAATCCCTTTCCATACCACAGTCCCATTGAACATCTCGGTGATGGGGATTGCAAATCCAATCGATGCCTGAGCCGCATTAGCATGACATCTATATCATGGGAAAGGGAACTTACAAAGAAGAGAGGTGTCAAAATTCGACCGACGGGTGCAGCGTAGTATTTCTCATACGCCAGTAGCCCGCTGGGGGTCTTTTCGTGGGGTACGCCTGGAGCTGCAGGATGCGAGCTGCCTTGCATATCCTGAGCTGGATGGTCATTATTATAGCGAGGGGCTTGATCCTGGGAGTTGTCCCCACGGCTTGATCCAGCAGCTTCATTAGAACTAGCAGTGGCGTGGCACTCCCTTTGCAAGCTCCCTTCGAAGAAGTCATCAATCCACGAGGTCATGACGCCAGCGAGATACGCCGCGAACAGGCTGGAGGTCCCTGCGTATGTGGCCCCGGCTACCAATCCGATCAAGATGCACGAATAAGCCGAAAATGCAAACTGAATCGTCTTCATGAAACTGGGAAACTTGTCCCTCTTCGCGAAGATCATACGCAAGATTGGTCTAATGCACAATCTGCATCCAAGCACTACGCCGACACCGAACCCAATGGAAACAAATACGGGTCGGATGACGGTCACTGCACTGAAAGAGTCACTGCTTCCACCGAGGTTCGTGATGATTTGTACCATGACCAAACCCACGACGTCATCAAGCATGGCTGCACTGGTAGTGACTGTACCAAGTCGTGTCTTGATAAGCCCGGTGGTTGAGAGGATAGTGAAAGTGGTGCCCAGACTGGTTGCACTTAGGGCCGCTCCCGCGGCGAAAGCTTGAAGCGGTGTTGCAGAAACCAGTTCCATGAGGATGAATGAGAGAGCCATTGGAGTTCCGATCCCAGTAAGAGCCACGGCAATTGACAGGAAAAGGTTCGCCCTTACGGATGGAAGCGATGTCGACAGACCACCTTCATATACGAGCATGATCAGACCCAGATATCCAAGCTGCTGGATCACGGTTTGAGTATCGCGGTCGAGCCATTTTGCTCCGGGGGTTCCCCAGAGAATGCCAATGACCAGCTGACCGATCAGTCCACAGTAAAGGAGCTTGTCCAGGCAGACATTGACCAAGTTCAAGACTAGAAGAAACCCCGTCTGATTGAGGACTGTGGAGATAGATGGTTCTTCGTAAGGCAGGGCGGTCTTACTGTCAGCCATACCGGGGTTATTCTTTGGGTCAAATATGAAGGGCAATACGACTTCAAATTGCGGTTATATCGGAAAGAGCAGATTTCGGTGGTATGTTAGCGGTATCCTGAACCCGACAGACTCCATCGGAAACGTTATTAATCTCTATTCGGCGGTTTGGCGAGACGAACAATCAAGCAAGATGGTAGATGAGCAGGTGAGTGAATGAAGTATCAACATAGACTACTGGGATGGACGATGACACGAAAAGTTGATGCCAAGTGCCTTTTGCCGATCGCGGCTATTGTCCGCCGTAGCGCAGCGTCAGCTGCTCGTGCTCACGGCGCCCGGGAATCTCCGGCAACTTTGCCACACTATACATGCACCCAGCTTGAACCTACTCTATGTTTAGGCTAACCTGGCAATGAAATCGGATATGTGAGGCCTCCTGGCTCCCTGACTCCAAAGTGATCGATCAAGTATTGTTGATCAGACAGTAATCCCGCAATATGAGCGACCAAGCAAAGAGCAGCATACTTTGCTTTAGTTCCTCACATATACTGATAAGTCACTTCAACTTCTATGCTTGCGATAGACGCGACCTACCTGCCTGAGCTGCTAGGTCTAGAACAAGTCCGGGAAGGCAGTCAAGGTATCCATTTACCTTATACCCTTTATATAGGCATCCAGCGTCATCCTCAAGTCGCGTGGTGACTACCACGCGAGCGACATGTTCCTTCGGATTTGAGTAGAGAGCAACAACTAAGCTACTAAAAGCATGTGATGTGTCTGGGTTTTACCAGTGGTCCCTCGAACCGGGTCTACATAGACTCCTTTATATCGGATACTGAGAGCTTCCTACGCTCAACGCCTTGATGTGAGATGGGAAGTGGGGTCTGCCTAAGGAACAGGGCAAAGGGGACCCTGGATCTGGTCATCTGAGACGTTCTGGGACGCCGCTTCTCAGGAATCCAGGGATGGTGGACCACCACGAGGGTGTGCGATGTTCTGCTACAGCCCTTGATCCCCTCCCCCCTCGCAGTTATCGGAATGTTTAGCGTGGGCCTGGACTTGGGCAGTGATGTGAGTGCACTTGTGAATGTTGTCTGCCTACTGATTACAAAAGATCCTCTCTGGTGAATCCAAACGCAAAACAATAGCAACATTGCGTCAGTACTACAGACATAACAGCCGTTGGCGGATCCTATTGTGCTTTATTTAAGGCTTTCTTACTTCGAACAGCAATATTTCACTCCTTCTCTGGTCCGGGGTCCATAGTCGGTACATTCCTTGGATCGTCATACTATCCGTGGAATGATAATGCGCTAAATCACGGAACCCTTAGGATTCCTCGCCCTTGCAAGCATTATCCTGAAGAAGCTAAAAGAAACAATGAAGGGGATGTCAACAAACGAAATGTCATTCCGTCAATTGGGACTTCACAGACTGTCTGACAGAAACGGTAACGACAATGGTTCCTCCAAGATCCAAACAAATGCAATTCCTCAAGTTGAGCTATGTATGCTGGCGCAACTCGAGACAGTCGATTCGCTACGCCTGAAGGCACTCTGATTTCGATAATGCTGGTTTTCTCGGTATATAAAGCAACCCCTTTCTCTCTTTTCTGGGGTTATCCGACCCTATCGCCCATCCAAGTCGACCAACTGCTTTTCATTCTTTGTCCCCCTATCTTTTTCTGGTTTAGTCTATCCTTGAAATCCCAGACCAGTTTTTGTCTTGAGCCATCATGAAGGCCCAGACAGCCACGATCATTTTATCTTTTTGTAGCTCTATTCTCGCTGTTCCCATTCACAACCCGAATGTAAAACGCGCTCCTTCTCCGAGTGGTCAACCCCAATGGCCTTCCGATCCTTTTGGAAGTGGGTTCCCCTTTACTTCCGGCTGGCCTTTCCGTGGGCCATTGGATGGGCAAAGCCAGGTTAGCAGCAGTTTGGCTATCCCCTCTAACACGCCCTCTGGCATTCCTTCTGGGGCTCTCCATGGAATCAACCGACCCACGGCAACCGCCCCGTCCTCTTCCGACTATCAGCAGTCGCCTGAGCCTCCTTACAACGGGGCTCCTTCCAGGCCTACTGGAACCTCAGTGAGCATACCGGGTAGCTATGCTGCTGGCGCCGGACAATCGCAAGATCAACCTCAAGGACAAGCCCAAGGCGAGTACTACCAAGGCTACCCCGTAAATGGCCAGTATCCTGGGAGCTCGCCCAGTGGCGCTTCTTCTAGCGGCCAGTCCTCCCAGGGTTACCCATCAAATGGCCAGTATCCAGGTGGTTCGTCTACCAGTGGTACTCCTACTAGCGGCCAACACTCCGGAGGCTCCTCGCCAAGCAGCCAACCTCCGACGAGTGTTTACTCTTCAGGTGCTTACGAAGACGGTTATTATATTGGGTACACGACTACTAGTCATACATCTGCTTACGAGCCTACTGGGACCTCTACCAGTCAGTACCCAGGCAGTCAGCATACCGGAACTCCTGGGGGTCAACAATCTGAGGGGTACCCAGGTGGTCAGTCTACTGGGGCTCCCACCAGCCAGCACACGGGAGCCCCTTCTGGAGGTCAACAATCTCAGGGATATCCCCCAAGCAGCCAGACTGGTCGGCCTACTGGAGCTTCTTCCGGCCAGTATCCAAGCAGCCAGCACACCGGAGCGCCTTCGGGTCAGCAATCTGAAGGTTACCCTCCAAGTGGTCAGTACTCAGGTGGTCATTCAACTGGAGCTCCTACTAGCCAGCATACCGGCGCTCCTGGGGGGCAGCAATCTGGAGGTTACCCCCCAAGCGGTCAGTACTCAGGTGGTCAGTCTACTGGAGCTCCTACCAGCCAGCACACCGGCGCCCCTTCAGGAGCTCAGCAAGCTGGAGGCTACCCTCTGAATGGTCAGTATCCGACTGGCCAGTCCACTGGAGCTCCTTCTGGCGGCCAGCATTCCCAGGGCTCTACCCCAGGCAGTCAGTACCCGAGTGGTCAATCTAGTGGAGCTCCTTCTGGAACCGGGCACAGCACTGGTGGTCAGTCTATTGAACCTTCATCAGGTACGGGATACGCTGGTGGACAATCATCTGGACATTCGGGCAACGGTTATCCTGGTTCTTCAAGTGACGGATACCCGAACACTGGGCACTCATCGGGCACCTACCCTGGTTCCGGGCAATCATCTGGACCTTCAAGCGGGGCCAGTTATCCTTCCTCCGGACACTCTACCGGTACCTATCCTGGTGGATCTTCTCAGGGTCCCTCTACTGGGTCCAACTACCCTGCCGGTCAGTCCCATGGTGAATACCCTACTTCTGGACAATCATCTGGACCTTCAGGCAATGGATACCCCAATGGGCAGTCGTCTAGACCTTCAAGCAACGGATACCCCAGCAATGGGCACTCCACAGGCACCCACCCTGGCTCTGAATTTTTCGAGGGCCCATCGGGAGCTAGCTATCCTTCTTCCGGGCACTCGACGGGCACTTATCCGGGTGCTGGTTCTTCTCGAGGCCCTTCGGGTGGATCGAGTTACCCTAGTTCTGAGCACTCCACTGGTTCTTACCCTAGTTCGGGACATTCCGAAGGGCATTCAACTGGGCCTAGCTATCCTTCATCTGATCACACCACGGGCACTCATGCTGGCTCTGGAAAACCTTCTAGACCATCGGGCAACGAACACCAATCCCAAGGTGGATCTCATGGAGCTTCGGAGGGTCAGCATGGGTATTAAGGGTTTTGTGAGGGGAATATGAGAAACAATATCTACAGGGCACCAGCAAGTTGACTTGAATTTCAGCATTATATTTATTAATGATAATACGTCACGTTTTATGTTTATTTCAATCCCAAAATGTAAATAATGCCTCTACATTGAACTCATGGGCACATCCCATTGAACCGTGACTACCTATCTATCCACGATGACTTTCCACCAGGTATATGTGCTTTGCCAAAGATACTCTTCAGTCAACAAAGAAATTCTGTGATTCATAACTATTCATGAACTAGATCCCAGTGTATAATTCCAGCTATCGGTGTTAGGGGAAGAAAATAATCAAATTCGACCTTTTCTAGGAACACAAACAAACCTGGCTCTAAAATGCCTTCCATTATTGAAATAGTACTTATGATAAACCTCCCAAACGACTCAACAATTTGCTTCAAGAACCTTAGTACATGTAGAGCAGCAGCCCTATCCTGATACATCATCCCATATCGGAATATATTTCATCCTCACCACTTTATATATATATACCTTTAAACCCCACCTGCATGCGTCATAGAAAGGAACAATAATTTATATATAAATAGCATTATGATGTATCAATAACGCCACCACCGAATAAATAAAACAGAGTATCTCCACCGTAAATTGACTTATCAATATCTTCCATCCCCATCCCCAACCACTTCTTACTCCGATACCGATAACGGACATATATTCCCACCACAACTAAAACAAACAACCCCCATCCATATCTTCCACCAATATCAAACCGATCACGGAGATAAATGACACCTAAACTATCTACAAACCACCAATTCACTTATCTAGATAATAGTAACATAGATAGAACCCAGTTAACCCAGCAACCACCACACACCCACCCCACAATGAGGCATTTTAATCCACCCACCCACACACCCATTCACGGCTTATGCATGCACATCCCGCTAACAAACCCTTGGGCCTTAACCCATGGAGCAAGCAACAAGCATCCATCCATCCCTGAAAGTTCATGCAAGGGATGTCCGACAAGCTTTTGCCTATCCAAGGCTTGTTGGGTCTTGGCTTTGGGTTAGATCTTTGGTTCTAGTACCTACCGACCATGCCTTTCTGAGCTAGTGGTTTTCATCTAGATACTGGGTTGGGTGTAGTGGAAGGTGAGGGAGGGTATGGTATTTTATTGGTGTTGGGATACTCTTTTCAGTACTTATAGAGAGTTTCTCTTTCTCTTCTAGATAGATAGGTAAATAATGCAGGACGGGAGGCCAGCCAGCCAGCCAGCCTTACGCCCACCGGAGTAACTATCTACCTACCCAGTAGGTAGGTATATATCGACCGTGTTAATGAGATGACTAGTGCACGTAGATCCGGAGTAACATATACACCACACATACGCCCGCCCACCAACACTAGCGCTGACCGGGATTCAAGGCATGCATGCATGCATGCAGAAGGGGGGTGTGGGTAATTATGTATCTATCGAAGTAAATATGCACCCCCCGGAGACCGAATGATGGATCAGATGACTGACGAGGGATGAAAGTCATGCAAGTCACGTCAAGTCAGCAGTCATCAGGCACCACACCGCCGGACGTGGGCTGCCCGGGTCTGGTTTGGTTCACCGCTACAATGGAATGGCTATTTACGGATGACGCCGGCAGGCCAGGATTGGGTATCTATTTAAGTAATTGATTGCTTTGTTTCGTAACCAGTAAGTAACTTACTGACTAGAGTGAAGACAGCTTATGTATGCTAGGCTGTTCATAGTACTCCGTACTCAGGGTTCATCTGCGTTCTGCAGTTGACGTAACCTCGCCCTCTCCGAGGCTTCCTTCCAACCCCCCTTCTTCCCCTTAATGATGATCCACTGCGGATCGGAATATTCATGTCTCCACAATGGTTGTCATGATTCAGAACTTAGAAGAAAAGACCCGCTGTCTATCAAGGAGAGAACGCTGCAGAAAACAGCTCTATATACGCTGAAGAAAACAGTATCGCTGGCGACACCTCAACACAAAGCAGAGACAGGGGAGAAATGTACACAGGCACGGGCAGAACCAGCCAAGACCCAAATTTGAACAAGTAATCTTTATGAATTGGATGCTATAGTTTAGTGTCTCTCTCGGACTGCTAAATAGAACAAAGATAAATCAGGCATTTATCATCATCTCTCATCAAGGTCATGAAGACGTGGTTGTCACTCAGACGGTGTGGAGGTGGTGTTAAGGTGCAGCGAACAGATCGCAAAGCTATAGAAGAAGCTGCACCCCATCAAGGCCCTATTGCACCCATGGCGGCACATAGAAATTGGCGTCGTTTCCCTCGCCCATGGTTGCGGTGTTAGGATCGTATAGCCCAACGGTCCATACAGCATCAGTGGAGGGCGTCGTTGTTATTACCATGCTGTCAGGAGGGGTGCTCATTGGCTTGAACGCCTCTGCAGTCGACATACCAAAGGCATCCTCTGATGGAAGGGACTTGGCTTCCATGCCCATGTTCGCCTGGAGTTGATGTTCTAGCGCAGCCGTGGATTCATTGGCGGACTTGAGGAAATCGTCAATATCAAGAGACTCGAGGTTGCTAGATGCCAAGAGCTGCGCCTGAGGAAGTCCGATGAATGATGATGCCGAGCTGAGCCGGAAATGGTCGATATCGGAGCCCTCGCTGACGCTGTTGAGGTCATGCAGGTCACTGCCGGTGCGGCCCAAGCCAGGCATCGGTGCGAACTCATCCGCTTCAGAGATGTCCCCGGATGAAGAGGGCGCCGCAAAGCCGGGAGCCATCGAGTTGTAATCGAAGCTCGCGTAAGAGGGTGCTTGAGTACTTGTCGCGGCTGGCACTTCCGAGGAGTACAGAGGGAAGCTTGACCAGTCGACAGGGGGAGCGCTGAATGCGGTCGATCCGAGAGACATGTCGCCATCTGGTGATGTAAAAAACGGCTCCTTGTACGGATCTTGGAACGCCACGCAATTGACAGGCGAGGTTCTAGTTGTTGGAAAGCGAGAGTATGAGGACACGTCGAAAGGTAACCCAGAGGTCACAAGCTGGTCCAGAGGCGTCTTCATAGGCATCGAGACTGGTTCGGGAACGCCAACGTCGCCGGGGTTCTCCGTTGTCTGAACTTGAGAGAAAAAGGACGAAAGGTCGAGTGGGGGAATGGTTGTCGGGACATTGTCCGGCGATATGACGGGAGCACTCTCTGGCGAACCATGTTCGGACTTGACACGACGATGGAGTCCGCGAGGGGGCGACTGTTCTGCGGACGGGTTTGTGAGACCATCATTGAGCATGGTCGGCTGGGCCAAAGGCAGATGGTCGACCGAGCGGCGGGCCACATCGGACGTTGCATGGATGGTATGAGACCGGGGTATCGTGTAAGGTAGACCGCACTTGTGAGCCATGTCGTTGTGCTTATGGGCCGGCTTGTGGTGACCATCCCGGAAGATAGTCAGGGTACTCTCCGATTTGGTCGACGTCAGCTGCGGCTTCTTGGGCTGATCCAACGAAGCCACAGCTGGGGGTGGAGGGAGGCCAGTCTCCGGAACGGTATCCAAGTGGGGTTCCTTCTTCAGCGCACAGGTGCAGCGCTGTCCATGAGTGCAGCCACATCTTGGACGGGAGTCCTCTGTAAAATCCAGATCAGAAACAATGAACCAGTGTACCATGCCCATCATGCTCACGCTTGAGATCCCGCTTATCAACAGCGTTGGGATCTGAGTCATTCTTGTGGCAATTCTTTTTCTTGTCACCACACTCGCACTTAGTGTGGGTTGTCCGTGACTTGCGTAGGCCGCGACAGTGAGCGCATTGAGAGACCGGACGGCCTTTTTTGTTGATGTGGGTCAAGGGGCGGTCTGCAGCCAGCCACGTTAGCGATTGCGACGATTTATGACAGCTCCGAACACTGGGAGCATTGCCACCTACCACTGTGGTGACAGCTGCTGACACGGTGACCCCGGACGCAAGCTTCACAAGCCCACTTCTCGCCATCGATAAGCATCGCCGCGGTTACTGGGAAAGGAACATGCGACGATTCGCGACTGAGGTGGTTTCGGATGGGTAAAGAAGATCGAGTGAGGGGCAGAGCAGTCTCAGGCCTCTGCGCCGAGTTGGTGTTTTTATGTTTTTTTTGCGTCTCAAACGTATATCAGCCGAACAGGAAGACCTGTCGGGGAAGAAGAAAAAAGCCGTCAAGGCGAGTGTTCGAGGTAGAGGGGTGTGGTCCGTCGAACTGATCGGACCAACAGAATCCAAGGCAGCAAACTCCAACAAAGCAAGGGTATCACCAGCGAAGAACCCAATGCACCGAACGAAGTCACAGAAACGCCGTTTCACCTGTAAGAGGGTCGAATCGCAACTGAGGTCTCCAGGTCGACCGACGGCCGAGGGATTGGCAGGAGGGGAACGAACAAAGAGGCGGGTCGAATGATGATTTTGAAGAGTTCTCTCACACTGCAGTAGCACCAGGTACCAGGGGCGGCGGGTGGGCAGGCGATCCGGAACAAGAAAAGCCCAACAGGAACATACAAAAACCCAAAGAAATTAGGAGAGGATGGAGGGAGGGGGGCCAAAGCCTACGCACCGTTTGGCGCCGGCCGTGAGACAGGACACCAAATACCGGCTGTGGCGGCCAAGATAAAGGGAAAAAGCGATCAAGATCGGGGCAGAGTTGCAGGAGTAACTCTGTGAAAACGAAGGGGAAAAGGAAGAAAGGAAAAGGGAAGAGGAGGAAAGGCGGGAGGGGAGCGGGAAGAAGTAGTCGTTCGTAGTCCGTTAGAGTGCAGGAGGCAGAGGCAGACTGGCCTGGCAAGCAGAGCCCGTCTGTCCGTCTGTCCGTCCATTCGTTTAGGTGTCGGCGAGAGGCTTCGAGGGGGGCGCGGCGAGTGGAACAACTCGGCGGCCGCAAGGGAGTGGCGCATCTGGTCACTGTGCCTGCCCCGACCGCCCCGTCAGACTATGTATTACCGTTTCATTTCCTGCCTCCACGTTCTGCTGCTGCTGCTGCTGCTGCTACTGCTAGCTACTTACTACCAACTACTGCTGCTCCCTTCGGTGTTGATCGGACCCTCCCACGAATAGCACCCCTCCGGCACTCATCCCGGACATTATTTGGTCTTTTAACATGATCGCTAAGTGTTGCCTCTCGCAGTCGATCTATCTATCGATCGGGATCCTTCTGCTGGTCTTTCCAGTTCCCACGTATGAGGTACCAAGTACACCCACACAAGACAATTAGACAAACAGCCGCTCCACACAGCCCACGGGCCATTCCATGGATAACGGGCCCTTGGGCAATCGATTGTTTAACGAGCCTCGTGCCAGAGGGCAAAGCTGTCACACATGCATCCATTCTTACGCACATTTACTCTCCAGGTAGTAGGTAGGTGTGCGAGCCTGGATGTCAGCCTTGTGGCTAACTATAGTTAACCGTTAAATCCTTACGAATTGGTTGCCTTGCCCCTGGATTTTCCCTCTGGCTATCCAAAACAGCAAACCATCCACCATCACCTGGTATTCGCGTCGTACACATCAAGTGCCATGTCGTTCCCATGTCAGCAGGAAAATTTTCTGTCCAGAGCAAGGTACCTGAAGCATGCAGCCAGTGTGCTGATGCTCGGTGCGCATCGCCGCTACCACCTATCTAGACTGGTCCAGAGACCAAACGTAACGTACGGTACCCAAACCAAGCATTTCAGGTGAGATTGAGATCTCGAATGCGACCATGTATCGATGCAAGGGATCTCCGACGATGTAGCAGCATTCGTGGGCGGTTTTTCCGGACTTGCCTCCGTTTGCTCGTCGTCCCTCCTGGTCGGGTCTTATCTGGTAGTGATTCTGATTCTGAAAGGGTAGCGAGTCGGTTAGCCGCGCTTCACGCCAGGACAGCCCACCGATACTAGACCGGCTGGAAGAGGTTAGGTTGCTGGAAGGAACTGTCCTTGACTCCTTAGGTCTTAGGTTAGGGTTCAGACTCCAACGCGCTGAGGGGCCTAAAATGCTGTGTTTTCCCGTTAGTGTGGTCTGGAGGCTTCATGGAGACGAACCAAACTCTGTCGGGGGCCCGATGGATCCTGTTACGAAAACTCTGGGGCAGGACAACCGGGCCGGTGACTAGTAGCTACTTAGTGACCACAATCCACATTTTTGTCCTGGGTTGGCCTGAGATTTCCCGAGACCGGCCTGGAAGTGTCTTCTACTCACTGCTGGGCCCTGAGGCAGAGACAACATAGCCAGCACTCAGTACCCAGTATCAAAGTGATGCTGAGAGAGAGTTATTTCGGGAAAGCTTTTAGCGTCAGCAGCCATTGTACAATCCGCGACGTGTTCCGAACCAATACCTGCTGATGCTAATGCCTGTTGCCTTGGGAAAATGGGAATGGGCCGGCGGGTAGTCATCCAGTGGAAATCGGCCATTATCAACGGAGTATCACCTGGGCGGTCACCCTCTTGCCAGTCAGTGTTGCCTTGCCACACGCTCACCCAGCAATAACTTCTAGAAAACCAAATTCGGGTCTTCCATGCAGCTCATTCTTTTCGCACCAGCCACTCATGCGGTTCTGGCTGGGCATGAGGGCTTGCGAATGGACAGGCACTGCCATCCGACCATGGTTGACCCCGTGGGTTGAACCAAGACCGGTTTGAAGTCTGTGCCCATAGGCGGTTCATCCTTTCATGCATGTGCCCTGGAACCTGTGCCTGTCCTCTGCCGAACATTCTGTGCTCTGTGCTCCGTACTCCGGGCAATTGTGCACATTGGAGGTTTATTGACATATTGCTTATGAAGGATGGGGGAATTATTATCGGTAACTCCGTCTGCTGCAGTGTTACTGCCTCGACGAACACAGCAAGTAGTCACTTCTTTTCGAGGCCAGCGAGGTACAAGTGAGATGCAGGTTCGCTGTCCCGCCGTAATGGTGGGGTATTGGAGACGTACCGTATGGTATCGGTGTGGAAGATCCTGACAGTTCCAAAGACACTTTCCCATCTTCCATATGATCAACGTGGAACTGCCCACCATTGAAGACTCAAGCTTGCTTTCTTTTGCGGCCCTGAGAAAGCCTATCAGGGCGCCAGGAAAAAGATACCAATTCCGCTAGGGACCCAGTTTACATCACTGATCAGTTGTCCCTTGGGGCCTCAGATCCCATCGCCAAAATCACGAGTTGTTGGGGACTGCGGGATGGCGTCACTGCTTCTCATTCGGGGCAATTGCAGCGGTTTCGATGGCGGTCATGCGGCGGGGCCTGATCTACGCAGCGCTGGGTGGCCGCCCTGTCCGCCAATGATACCCTCTACCTGGCCATAGTCGGGTTCCCTCGGGGCCCTGGCGAGTGCGCCCTGGTACTGGCGTCGTATGGCCTGGGTGTCGAACGGACGGGAACGGTCCTCGGCTGCAGCAATGCGGTCGGTACCTTGGACTGCCCTACATAAGTCCGTACCTCTGTCAGGAGTCAGGGCTGAATCCCTCCACAGGTATTGCAGCAGCATCGGTCGCTAGCTGAAGCTACTACAGCAGAACCGTCTAGTCGCGATCCCAGCGTGTCCCAGGATAGAAACCATGCTAGCCAACGATATGAATCACTGAAACACCAACACCCTGGCAACGCGGGTGATAGGGCAGGATACAGTTTAGTGTAGAGTTAAGTTGCTCTGAACGCTGAACGCTGAACGCTGGAGGAGGGCCCATCAGTCCGTCCATATTAAGACGGAACGTATTGTCACTATTGTGACTACGGAGTATCTGCGCCTCCACCGTCGGAGTAGTCCGTTACTGTTATTGTTATTATTACTACCCAGCCGGAGTCTAACTGGCAACTAGCAATTAGCATGTCCTTTAGTGCCAGGCTGACTTGCCTTGTCTGGTGGATCATCACCATCCCGGTCACTCCATCGAATTCCCCAGATAGTTCCACTCCCCAACGATCCAATCCTCAGCCGATCGCCTGGGTTCAATATTGACCCCCCCCCCAATCCGGGAACAACAGAAAGCAAACTATTAATGCCAGAACCATTGAATCGATTGTTCTACATTGCGGATCGCCCATCGGCGAATTTGCGCCATGACACTCTCAATGCATGGCTTAATTTTAGGTAGGCAAGCTGCTGGTAGCTTAGTACTAGCTGGGACAAGACGCGGTGGGCCTGTTTCAGCCTACTGCGCACCGGTCAGCCCCAGCCAACGGACCGTGCCCGCGATGTGGAGGATAACTGAAGCTATTGCCGGTGGTGCTTGGTTGAGGTGGAAACGGTATCCTGGGAACGGTTTGGTCACCGATAAGAAATTATTGCTGAAGAGTCTAGGTCATCAGCTATCTAGAATTCCAGATAGTCTCGGCAAATGGCTTGGTTCTACCCCGTATTGGGATCTAGGTAGGACCTGGTTGTCTCGAGGAACCAGTGATGCAGGGGGCGTTTGTTGGTCGATCTTTAGTACGACCACCAGGGACAATGGGTTTGTACGTGGCTTTCGACACCTACCGACTATCGAGGGTGCGAAATCATCTTCTCCGAGAAAATAAAATGTGAAGAGCTAAGTCTACAGGGGCACATCCCAGCTCCTGAGGGGTTATTTGTCGCCATTCTCACTGACTTGTTGAACGAGGCCCCTCCGATAAGACACTACTCCGTTGTACCGGGCGTCTAAATCGAAACCGACACAACGAACCTTGCCAGTTTGAACAAGGAGCAGTCGAGTAAACTGTCGCAAGGCACCAGATTGCCGTAAGGGGTACTCATGGCTTGCGCAAGCAGGATCTTCCTTCGTCGGGGGCCACGATCTATCGGTGAACTAAGCTATGATACCACGTTCATATGCTTGAAGCTTCGGACATGACGCCCCGTGAGCCGGGGTGTGAAACCAAGAATTTCTCCACAGCTGTGCATGTTGTATTTTTTTTCATCACCGGGCCACAAGAATCGCCGACGTGGCAGAGTTGGATCCTACATTTGTTCGAAACCAAGATTACCTTGGAGGACCTGTCGAAGGAACGGTTCAACCAACTATTGGAGCCCTGACCTGGGATGCTGTAGGACTAGACGTATAGCGATTAAAATGCCACGAACGATGGTGACTCGATCAAAAGTAGCCAACGTGGAGACAGAGAGCTCTTCAAAAGGGCGAGTGCCGTTTTGCTGGCCGCGTCGTCAATGCAAGAAAGCCAAGCCTATTACATAGACACGTCGAAGCTCCTCGCTCAGGTTGCCGTGACAGGCCCGAAAGAAGACTGTGGTTCTCGAACAGCCCTTGAAAGCTTCGGCCATGACTTGAAGAATGCATAACGATGCCTCAAAAACCATGCCGGAGATTTAAAGCACGGCATCAGACCAAGTCTGCTGCAAGCCGGCTTCTTAGGAGGACAGCCGTCGTACATACATTCTCACGTGAGAACACGCCACATGAGGCCGTACGAGGAGACTGGAAGTAGAGAATTTTGCTTGGAGCAGCTGGATAAGCCAGAACTAGAGCCAGACGGGTCTCCCCCAGGTATGAGTGGAGGTAAACACTGGGTAACATGTGTCCCTGAGCGACGGCCGCTGGGGAACGGTCAACCACGAGACCCCTCGCAATCGCCTCGTATACCAGGCCAACAAGGGGAGGATAGGAGCACAGGCAGGGGATCGTGAGGACCAGAAATCCGGCGAAAGCGAACCCGACTCGCACACCAACCGGGCAGAACGACTGAGGCCGGCAGTTCTGGGGGCGAACGAAGAGGGTTGGTCGAGTTCTGGGCCGGTGGGAAATAGTATTAATCCGTCGCTGGACGCAGAAACAAAAGGCCGGCCCTCCGCGTCGGCGCGATCATCCCAGTATGAAACTATATCCTCGTCCCCGAATCGACATCAGATTCGATGCGATGGACTGACTGCCATTCGGTCGCGAGATCATGTTTGCTGAGTCCTGCTCGTCGCCGTCGGCCTTCGGCGCTAACCCTTTCGAAATTCTCCCCGCCCAGGTAATTTTAGCCTGTAAAACCTTGCCTGCTGTTCGCGCGTCTTCCGTCCTTCAACTCTCTCCCTCCTCCATCATCCGGAGCATCGCTCCACCATCCACCCCCGGTCTTCCCTGGCGCTTTCATCCCCTCCACCCACGATGAACTCCCGCGAGCACGCCGATCTGCCTCCGGCCCCTTCCTACCCCTCCCCCAACGCGGCGCAGATGGGCCAGGGCGCCATGCAGTACTACAACCGACAGCTGACTGCCGACGAACTTCTGTCCGCCGAGCTGTCGCGTGAAACCTCTGGCCCCGGCCTCGCGGATGGCTCCAGCAATGGAGTCCACCATGGTCAGTCGATGGTCCTGGGCTCCTCCAACCCTGGTGGTGCTGATATGGGCCGCCCGTCGTCTCCCGACCAGCACCAACAACAGCACATGCTCCAATTCACCCCCAGCCAGCAAGTAGGCGTCGACCCCAATCACGACTTGAGTTATGGAGACCAGAGTGCTAGGCGGAAGAGATCCAAGATTTCCAGGGCTTGCGATGAATGCAGGCGCAAGAAGGTACCCACAACACGCTTTTTTTTTCCATCGCCTGGACGCGACGTGGCTCAGTGATCTAACATCTTCGTCACATAGGTTCGCTGCGATGCGAGCTCTGAATCAGGTGTTGAGACTTGTTCCAACTGTCGCCGGCTTGGTGTCGTCTGCCAATTCAGTCGCGTGCCCATGAAGCGTGGTCCGAGCAAAGGGTAAGAGTCATGATGCGCGTCGGGATTTACGGGACGGATGGACGTGATTCACTAACACCGATAAAAGTTACATAAAAGAGCTTGCCGAGCGACTACATACCCTCGAAAGTCAGATGCAACCTGCTATGGTCCATCCCGACATGCCTTACCAGCCGATGAACGAAGTCTCTTCTCCAAGGGCCTACCAGGACTTTTCGCCACCAATGGATGCTGGTCCAATTGGTCGCAAGAGGACGTACTCGGTATTCGAAGGGCTTCCCAGCTCATCATTTGCGCAGGCACCGTTCAACCCTCGCTCTCAAAACGCGTTTGGTTCGTGCCTCCTGTCATGCCAGCTTGCGGATTCATTAGACTAATTGTACTAGAAGCGGCAGAGAGCTCGACAGACCCCTGCAATCCATCGGTTGTGAACCACTCCGCACCTAAGCCTGGGAACCTTTTCTGGTCAACGGGAAATGAAACTGAGCTGCCGCCTGGCCTCGAAATACCCGAAGTACCTAAACAAGCTTTGGATGAGGATATGACGCCCTTGGATGTGGACGAGAGTGCTCTTAATGCGTAAGTTGCATCACTAGATGTGATCTATTCTTGCTTGATTGGCTTTCTAATTCCGAGCAGTTATTATCAAAAGATCCACCCGGTACTCCCTATCTTGCCACACTCCAAAGAACGTCTCCTCGAGCTTCTACACCAATGCAGTCGCGAGGTGCAGGAGATATTCTCTTACAGTCTCTTCACTGTGACACGTACCAATATGGACCGTGTCACAGGGATCTTTGAAAGAGTTACCTCGTTCGATAACGCGCAGGATCTTCTCTTGTACTATACCCGACAGCCTGCTCTGGTACGTCCAGCAGGAGTGAACTTAATCTGGCTTCAGACCCTCCTTCTCATGATCCTCGACTGCGATTCACGAGGGCCCGACAACTTCGTGATGAAAGATGGCGTACCCAAGCACAGCCTCATCCACTCTGCTACCAAGCTTGGCTCCGACATGGCTAAGGCCCTCGGTCAGTTAAAGACCAAGAGATCGTCAGATCCAGATGTCGACTCCGACGCCAACCTTGTGAGACGCAGTTGGGTGTCTTTGGCCATCCTGACTCGCTGGTATTCGATTAGCGTTGCTGATCCTAGTGTTTTGGGCACATTTGAGATTGGTGGACGTGAGGATGAAAGAGTCCTTGGTTCCTCCACCGCGGGAATTGGCTGTATGTCTGACAATATTTTTTTTCACAAGCTGAATTCATTGACTGACTTTGATACCCTCCAGCTTACTCCACATTCCTCGTTGAGATGGTTACACTCGCCGCGCAAGAGCATAACGTCTGTCAGACAAACACAGGGCTGGGCCGTATGATCGCAGCGAACTTGGTCGCATCACTCGAGCGTCTCGCTGAGATAGGAGATTTCCGCAAGCCTCATGAACACGCAGAGGACGGTACACCCTATGGCTTCTTCGATAGTCTACAGAACCAATTGTACTGGACCGTCCGGTTGTTGGTCAAACGCCACATCTTTGTCTACAGTCCTTACGAAATTATCTACGCCGCCGAAGAGGTCATTAACGAGCTGCACAAGGCGAGCATGCAGTCCCGACTGTCCACACCGTTTGATCTGCATAGTTTGGCGTTGGCGTCCATGACTCTTCTCGAGGCCACTGTCCTTCCCGAACACGCGAACCAATGCTGGGAGGCACTGAAGAAGGTCGAAGAGATCCTAGACTGGCGCTCCAAGCGGACCGCCGAGTCAGGCGAGTTTGGTGACATCTTCGGCACTCCAGGCTGGGATGCGAAAATCCGCGTCTTCCTGGAATGGAGACGAACGAAGGCACAAGAACACCAATTGCAGGACCCCAATCTCGGCAAGAGCGGTTCTGCTGCTCCGCCAGTGATGGGACCCAATGAGCAGCGCTCCCTCCAACACCTGGCTGATCTGGCCGTGGGTGCTGAGGGCCAGGTGGCCGCCAACGCCTCTTCGCCGCCCCCTGCCATGTCCTCGGCCGAACATAACATGAATGCCACTTCACCAAACCTCGCCTCGCAACCACACGGTCACATGGTGGTTGACTTCACTCTGCTCACCAAGGAAGGTTATCTGAATGTGTTCTCCGGGTTGATCTACCGTCGGTCTCGGTAAACTCGCGTACACTGAGATTGTATGAGTGTATTCTTCGTAATGGTTTCTTTGGAAAATTGAATCTGTTTTTTGAGCTCGAATTTCTCTTCTCATATATCCCCAGAAAAGAACCTTATTAAGGTTATCCACTTCTTAATGACTGTCTTTTCGTGACTAGCGTATTACTTTTTAGGGCCTGTCTATCTTTACTCTTTTCACTAAATGGATATTTTGGTAGTTTCCTTTTATATCATCCTGGGGATAATCGCTGACAATTGAGCTATGCGTCAGCTTCAAAGATTTGACATTAATTATTAGTATAATCAGTATTCATCACTTATCATCAACCCACCACGACCGACCCAGCCACTCGCACATCGACTTCGATGCATAGCCATATAAACGTACAATCGACAGCAAATACAACATCACGTCTCATTACATCTCATGTCGTTTCCCGAACCCGATCCGTTGCCAAATCCCCTCCATATCCTGACAGAGCTCGATGAACCCATCATCCTCAAGTTGACTACAAATCCATGCTTCTATACTAGCCATGCGCTCGGATGTGGGAGCGGCCACGTATGTCGAGAGATCTACTGTCGTGAAAGCGTTTGGCAGTTTCCCTTGTTGGGACTCTCCGTTCTTTGTCGGGCCTTCGTCTACTTTGATCAGTTCAGTTGGGTGGTGTGTGGAGGGATGAAATGGATTCAGGGATTGTATAACCGTTGCTGGGTCTGTGGGGTTATAGATTCCAGTGGGGGGAAGGATATCAGGCTCGGTTTGTAGGGGTTGTTTATTATGATTGGGGTTGTATCGCAGTATAGTGACTTTTCCGCTTGAGGTGGATGGTCTTGGTTCGAGGGTGGAGGTCTTTGGTGGGTTGGTAGATGTGGGTGTTGTTCTTGTTGGACCTGTTTCTGCGGTTGTTGGTGAAGATTAGCATGGATATATTCTACTCAAGTCTCAGATCATTGATTCTGGTACCTCGAACAGCCTTCGTAGGTGCATTTGTTGTTGCTTGTGAGAAAGTGGGCGGGTTCTTTTTGGTACCGGTGCTTTTCGCGGCACTGGGAAATGGGAGCTCTCTTTTGGGTGGTACATCTAAAGGCTTAGTATGCTCTGCTAGCAGTGATGGTGTTGATGTAGATGGTCTAGGACGATTGTTGTCCGGGGCGCTGAAGTACTCCTGCGTGATGGGCTGTGCGAGATTGAAAGGCGCTTGCACTTGTGCTGGGTGATTTTGGTTGGTGCGGGCTCTAGTGAAGTATGTGTGACTGGTCTGGACAGTGCTAGATGATGTGGTTGGTAGTGAGGTCCCTGTGGTTATTAGGTTTTAATGTCTGTCATTGGGAGTCTAGGATACTTGCCTGCTGTAACGCTAGATGATGAACCCGATGTACTGGTTGTTGAGGGGTGTTGGAATAGAGTAACGGGATGAGAAGCAGATGAACCCGGCATTCCCAAGCCATATGTTGGCTCCCTGGCTATAGATCCGCACTCGATTGATCCCGAGTTCCACTGAGATGAGGTTAGTTTCCGCATGGAGCCAACACTGGCCTCCGAGAATGGGCATTTCATATCGCTGAGAATGGCCAAAGCCGTATAGAAGTCTCGGTCGAAGGAGAACTTGATCTGGAAGCGGTGAACCTATGATACGGTTAGCGATGGGCTGGCTTGTCCATTGAGTTCATTTCCCTACCATGTTTCCTCGTGGGTATTTCACTGCAAGGCAGGGTAGCTTCACGACTACAGCGAAGATTGGTTTTGACGCTGCACTTTGGCTAAAATGGGTTATGTTTCCGGACTCGATAGCGAAGTGGGTAAGGTCGATCTCTTCCTGGTGATATATTCGATTAGCTTTTGTTTTACTCTACGTGTCAAAGCCGGTGGAGATCACCAGGGTCTCATGGACACCAAGGACCTTCAATAGTACTCTGTCTGGTGTGAAACTTGTCATTGCGCGCTTCTCAAATATGCCGATCAGGTTCCCGTTTCCCATCACATGGCTCCAGTGGAGTGGCCCTCGGTGGTTAAGTGATGTCGTCGTATGAGAGAATTTGGCTAATGATAGACGAGCGAGAGTGGTGGAATCGGGGGGCTGTTGAGACAGCGGATTCATTGTGTCAAGTAGGTTCTCGAGATAGGGAGATTATAAAAGATCATATTAAGATACTACATAGGAAATTATATGAAAGCGAGAGGGTGGCCTATACTGCAGAGGTGTACGAAGTAGATGAGGGGGGTTGGATGGTGGATGAAGTATAGGCGCAGGTGACCTGAGACTAGGCCTATTATCGCCAACCCAAAAAGATTGCGATAAACGGGTGCTATGATGATGCTTGCAGATTGATACCAGGGAGACATTGCCAGATTGTGTCTCTGAGTGCTTTATCTGACACTAGGCCACTGCAGCTCGGGATGATCGACGAACGCTGATCGACAGTGCTGGCTTCTGATCATGGATGCCTTAAATGCCTGAAATGCTAGGCATCAAGGGCATTCATTACTCATCCTGCCAAACCAGGCAAACAGTCCGGGAACAACCCTTCGGAACCAAGGATAATCCGGACACGCGCCTGAGGCCCAAAGGAGCAGCGCGGACTTTTGCCTGCGGATGGACCAAGGACGGATCGATCGCAGGATCAGCTTGTCTTTATATTTACGCAGCGCCCTCGCTCCTTGGTTTTCCCCAGAGGAATTGGCATCGGATTCTAGGGTGTATCTGTCGCTCATTCCAGTCGACAATACGCGCAGTGATTCGAAATAAATTCCTGAGCGCTTCCTACGCGAACGTCTTATGTTGTTGTCCCGTCGTCGCATCCTCTTTGGTTCCCAGCAGGCTGTCCTCCGATAGCTTCATATCGCGACCAAGCTTCCAAGCCGTCGCCGGACTACGTTCCTTGAACCCAGCCCACGAACTTCCGCCCGGAAAACGATCGGATTACGAATCCACCCCCGCACATCCACATCGTCTCAGCAGGAAAATTTCAGGATATAATTGGAAGAGACGGAGGACCGGGGTCACAAGAGACGGCGTTTGGGCGTTCGACTTCAATTCGGCGCGTCTAACCACGAGAGTCTCGCGCTTAAGCTGCTGAAGGTGTGTTTGGGTAGTAGGTTGGGTCAGTTGGGTCAACCTTGGTCTCTCTCTGAGGCATTCCAGGGCGACCTGAGATCACAGCTTTCTTGGGAGGTATCGAGTGATACACGGCATCGGACTTAGGCGTGTTTGAGTTAAGCTCAACATGTCTTCTCAGACTCCACGCACATCTTTACGAGGCAAGTGCTACCACCTAATCTCTCTGCTCCTTGCCCGTAAGCTCTGTTAACGTCTTGTAGAGGGCTTGCGGCAGGCTCCCAAGGCTAACCAGCCATTCATTCCTGACACTGCTCCGGTCCGGCGGTCACATACCCAACCAAATCAATCGCCGCAGCCCACAGCAATGTCACAAACTCATTCGAACTCGCCCGCACCGAATTCGAACAGTTCGCATTTCCCCACTGAGGCGTGGGACGGAAAAGAGCAGAAAGTGCCCATGAACACACGCGAGGTAGCAACGCCAGGCAACCGGCCGGGCCTTTTTTTGAACCTACATGGCAAGGTGCCAAAGCAACCTGACTTCTATGACCCCTATTTCCCCCTCAGATACCTCGAGGTCCCGAAGTGTGCGTGAGCCTTCACAACAACCCCACGTTGGTGTCGTTGACATTGCTAACACGCCTGTACAGCGGACCATATCTATAAACGTGCTCATTATGGGCTACAGTCCGGCATTCCTGATGAGGTCGATTTCGCATTGTACCACCTTGTTCAGATTTCGAACCAGCGTTGGGACAAATTCAAGTTTGAGGGGTTTCCATTGCTTGCCGAGATGTTGATGGAAACGGCCATTGATGTTTCAATAATCTGCACGGGGGTCAAATGGGAACTCCAGTACGATTTCCGTCAACCTATGGAGCGAGTCAATGTGCTCAACTCGCTACATGGAACACGCGATCTGCTCGAGAGGATCAGCAAGATACCCGTCACGCTGCCCACTGACACGCTTGAAACGCGCGAGTTCAACCATAGTTTACGGAATGTCAAAGAGGCTACCCTAGTTCTCCGCAACATGGTTCTGCTCCGAGAGAACGCGTTTTATGTTTCGCGTTATGCGAACGGCCTACTGAGGGACTTCCTAGTCATACTGATCAACCTCCCTAATCAGCCCCGTCTCAACGAAATCAGGAACGACGCCTTGGACATCGCAGAAGAGGTCACCAAATTTATGCGAACCGATCCGGAGGATCCTCTTTGGAATTCTCTGCTCAACTGCCTCGAGTCACCCGATCGTGCCCACATCGTCCGGGCGCTCTGGGCGCTCACACATTTCTCAACCGAAATAGACGAGCCCGAGGCAAATCGCGCACTGGAGCGCATGCCAAAACAATCCTTACAACAGATGTACTTCCATACTCTTCTGGACTTGGACAAGGACATACTGAGCGGGGCGCTCGACTTCTGGTATCAATATACGCTCTCTCGCGAGAACATCGAAACCATGCTGGACATCTTTGATTTTCCCAGTGTTTTCGTCCCACGAATGATCGCTCTCCTGATGCACGAAGCGCGACCTTTTAAGCAAGAGACCGTTCTACAGGAGGAGAAAGTCGCGCCCCCGCCATCGGAGATTCCCCGTGTGCCAGCGGAGCTTCTGAAAGATCTGATGGAGCTACAAGAGCCGGAGCGCAGCTCCCGCTGGCTGCGTTGCTGCTTTGTTGAGGACGCCGAGTGTGAAATCACTCAAATAGCTCTGTGGCAAGCGTACCAGAGCCGATTCGCGGATCCTCGAGTTCCGGGGGGTGGTGTCCTTCCCGCAGCCGAGTTCATTAAGAATGTCAGCACCACTTTTACCAACGCGCAAGCGCAGGTCATCAACGGGCCTGGTGCGGCGACTCGGTTCATCATCAAGGGCATCCGTCCTCTGGAGACGGCCTACACATTCCAGGGATTCCCCTACATTTACTGCAAGTGGGCGGACAACTCGAAACCCAGCAAGACCTGCCAGCGTGCTTTCGCTACCCCGACCGACTTGCGCAACCATGTATTCTCAGACCACATGGAACTCAAGGCCACGGACACGCCAGGCCACTATAACCTGGACCAAGCCGAAACCCCGGTCCACACTTGTTCTTGGGACAACTGTACTCGGTTCCGCTCGTCAGGCCCCAGTGCCAATACCGCCATGGTAGCCGGTCATGTAGCATCACACTTGCCCGAAGAGCGCCCTGCTGATGCCGATGCCCCCGTTCCTAAGCGCGCCGTGCTTCAAGAGCGGATCGTCCGCAAATGGTACAATATGAACACGCCCACCAACGACAGGCATGAACCCATCGGCGTAGCCTACAAGGCCGCGCTAGTCCTGCGCAACATAGCCAGGAACCTGCCAACCGGCATGGCACAGAAATACAACGGGCTCTCGTGGAAGAAAGCCGTGTTCCTCAGCCATCGTCCGAAGATCGTGGAAACGTGGGACCGGAACCGGTCGCTACGCAAGGAACTCACCGAGTTAATCATGATAATAGAGAAAGAGGATTACTATTGATTGAAATGAATCTGGACTGATCCTGACCTAACCTTGAGTGACGAAACGTTCCATTATCATTATCATCGCACGATCTATCGCATTCTTGCCGAGTTTCATCTTCTCTTTTCTTTCTTGATCTGTTGTACAAATACCCTGGCTTATTCTTCTGCTTCGCTTTCCTGCCTGCCTATCTGCTTTAAATTCGCGCGGTGATATTATCTTTCTTCTTCTTCTCCCCCACGGGGAAACCACCGAAGGGGCATTGTGCAGCCTCCTATGTATTACTCTTATTATATGGGCGGCCGTACAACACTTTTTTGCCGCGTATTTGGAGAGGATAGGGAGCGATATGTTTTTTAAACGGTGTGAGTGGAGTGGTGCCATCTGACTCTATTAGGCGTCCTGGTGATGGTGACGAGGTAGAACTGGACACGGAGGGGGGCCGTTATGTCGATCTATTCTGCTTTTTCTTTTCCTTTCTCTTTTTCTTTTTCGATTCCACTTCCCCCCCCCCCCCCCCCCATTCCCCTCTCGCAGTCCATCACGGGCTGCACTTTTTCCTTTCGACGAGTGTATCATAGGCGGAGTCGGTGTGGTAAGGCGGGATCAGATCATGTCCTCCAAATGTTCTAGACAATAACCCATTCTAGAGCCTCTCCTGTACGTGCCATTGCATAATCCGGGATCTGCAATATGCTTCTTTCGGAGCATTGTACTTCCCTGTGTAGTTCTCAGGTCCCTATCGCCCACTTGTTATAGTATTCAACGATTCACCAACGGATCATCAACATTGACGTAAAAGTCCGCGACAAAATTCTCATAGCTCATCCACGCCACCTGGGCCGTTCCGGGAGCCGCGTAGCTGAAATCCACAGCATCCCAAACATTAGGCCACGTGCCATCAACAACACTCTCAGGCGTATTCATAGCCGCAACGGCATGTTGCAATCCGACTCTCCCATCTATGCCCGGGACAAAGCCCTGCGTGTCCATTTGCATAGAGATAGGCTGTTGTTGGACGGCTGTCGACAGAGAAGGAGAATAAGCGTCCGGACTTGGAGAGGCGAGTAATTGAACGCGTCGGTCCCGAGCCCGCGCCATGAGCTTTTCCATCGGTTTCCAGAGCATGCCGCGTTGGGAGTCGGCGATGAGACGACCTAGTAGGTGGAAGGATTCCTCGATGGGATCCCAGAAGCGTTCCATTACGGCTTTGTCGTCGCAGACGCAGAGTTCGGCGAGGGCGACGGCGAGACAGTGCCAGGGGGGGAAGGCGAATTCGAACCATTGGTAGGTGGTGAAGCGGGGGTCGGAACGGAGGCGGCGGGAGACGATGAGAACGTTGACGGCGAATTCGAGGAGACGGTCGCCGCGAACGAGGGGAGGGGTGAAGTTGGGGGAACGCTGGAGGGGTCGTAGCGTGATGAGTTGCATGCAGGCGTGGATGCATTCGGCGATGGCACGGGTGATCCAGTGGAAGGGGTGTTTGTCGGGTTCGGCGTGTTGGAGGAGTTTGGTGACGGATTGTTGGAATTCGAGGACGAGTTGTTGGCGGATGGCCAGTGTGGTTATGGATGGTTCCATGAAGCCGGAGAAGTTGAGGGATCGGGCGACGTATTGTGTTTTGTGGACCATCATGGTGAAGGTCATGTCGGTGAATCCGGGGGAGTCGGGCGGGTTGGCTTCCATGTTTGGGCTGAGGTCGATGTCGTTTACGTTGGCTGGGGGGTGGGATTCCAGCCAGCTGGCTTGCATCATTGGTTCGGAAGCGCGGTCCATGGATGCTTGGATATCGAGGAAGCCGATGGCCAGCCAGAGGCGTCGGCGGAGTTCACGCTCGAAGGGCCGGACGTGGAAGGGAGGGTCGGGGAGATGGAGCGAGAGGGCTTGTCCGATGCGGAGGGCCATGCTGAGCATCGTCCACATTCGGCGGCTTTGGTCTTGAGAGCGCAGGGCGATCTTGGGAGAGGAGGGTTAGTGGAGGTCTGTTGAAAGGGATTGAGATGTGTAGATACGTACTAAGAAGAGCACGTAGGCTTGTAGGACGGTTAGGTCGTTCGTGGTTATGAAGTCTGCGCGGGCCAGAGCTGCCTCTGCTTCCTTCTGGTACCTAGAGACCATGGTTGACTTGGGGACGCCGAAGCTGCGTATACTCTCTTCGTCACTGAGACTGCACGAGGCTGCGTAGTACACAGAATAGGCGAGAGCCGTTGGGGCCAGATGTCCCGGTTCGTAGTCAAGATAGGGACTTCCATCCACGAGAAATGCCTTTAGTGAAGGCCTGTGTAGGATCTTGCAGATCGGGTCTACCCTCTGCATGAATAAACAGCATAGCTGCTGATGGGTAGACGAGGTGCCCGGAGGTTCGCTGTTAGTAGTACCACCACTGCCGCTAGCCATGGTCAGGAGCCGACGATAGTTGATGAGATTATTAGTCTCAGCATTGCGGTCGTCACTCTTTGAGCTCCGACGCTCATTCGGATGCACGTCCGGCACCTATCCAGACCATTAACGACCCAGCAACCATAAGATTTCATCGCACCTAACTCACCTCATTCAAGAGATTGGCCCAAAACGAAGACCCTAGATAGGTGTCGGGTCTGCGGACACCGCCAGCCTGCGAGTCATCCTCGCCTAGCGAGTTCTCGCCATCCTGCGAGCTTTCTTCGACAGCAGCAGCTAAGATCGCCCGGACGGACGCTTGACTACCACCACGGGCGAGATCCCGAATGATGCTTTCAAGCTTCGACACGCGGTCTTTCAAATTTGCATCCTGGTCACCTGGTCGCTCAGTTGCCAATCGGCCCGATCTGCCTCGCGGCAGCCGTGCACGTTCAACCGGGACGCATCTCGCCCCGAGACGCTGGCAGTTGGTGCAAGGGTTTAGCTTATCGCATTTGACTTTGCGCTGCCGACAGGTTTCGCAGCTCAGACGGACCTTGGGTTTGTTGACCGAGGGCGAAGACGGAGCGGTTCCTGCTTGGTCTGTGGGTTCGCTGAGAGGATTCATTGCTTAGGGCCAGTTTCTTCCTGGAAGCTGATCGAATGAGGAATGATAGCTTGGTGGCTGGCGCTTACGACAGCGCGACATGGTTCATTTGGACCAGCACGATGATTGGAGTTGGTTGAGAGGTGGATTGGGCAAGTTTGATGAGCTGGAATGGAATAAGCTGAGGAGGATCTTAGGCTAGATAAGCGGCCAAGAAGCCACCCGTGGGATCGCCCGTCGAGGCCTCAGGAGTCCGGACCCACCCTCCCACGGTTCTATGATTCTATAATCTACCATAATCTTGATTGAGTGAGAAGCAACCATTAAGTTCTATGTGAGTAGATGTGCCTCTGGCCCGGGCAGCAGTAGCAGTATGCTTCTAGCCATGAGCTTGTCTGTGTCCCTTGCGTCGATCATGCGACCGCAGATTTTACAACCACCGAACCCCAGGGCTAAACCATAACAATGAGGCGGTATACAATGAGAATGTGAAGAATATATATCGCATATAGCACGTACGGCATGACTACGTAATCTTATGAATCCATAACCCCGCCCATTTTACAATCCGAATGTAGAGTCCATCCCTGGTCATGAGTCATAGGAAACAAGATGCCAAAAAAGGGAGAGGAAAGCAAGATGGACACTGTAGAAGTGAAGAAAGGAAGCGGAATGGTTATGAGATCACATTGAAACCTGCCGCTGAAGTCTAAAAGTTAGACGATAAACACCAATATGTGCAAATTAGACGGAAGAAAGCCGACGCAATCGTCTTACTCCCAAACGTTAGAAAACAAGTCGTCGGCTCCGCCAAACCCGCCCGCCGGTTTGGATGAAGCATTCCTATTAGTCGTGGTAGTGGTCGATGAGATCGGGGCTGCGCTGGCCCATCCGCCGAAGTCTTCGTCTGCCGCAACAGTTGGCGCCGGCTTGGAACCCGCAGAAAGAGCTGGAGTACCCCAGCCTCCGCCGACGTCATTGGCAGTCAGGGTATCAGGCACCTTCATCATCGAAGACGGGGCAGGGGCTGCCGCAGGCGCAGGGTCCGGCGTACCCCAGGCATTGCCTCCCCATGGATCGATGGTCGTGGGGGGAAGTACACTTGCGACGGACGCCGTGGTGCTAGCAGGCTTGGGGGCTTGGGCAGGGGCAGGGGCAGGAGTGAGGCTGAAAGCAGACTTCAGCTCCTGCTGCGGAGACGTCGATGCGAACGGTGGTGGCGGTGAAACGGCAGCGGGCGCGGCTGGGGCCGGCGAAGAAAACCCGAACAGATCGTTGGATAAAGGCGACTGGGGTGGATTCGGCTTGGGAGGCGGAGGAGATGTGAAGCTGGTGAATCCCGCATCAAACCCATTGGACGAGACTGATGTGGTACGAGACTGCGGCTTTGGTGCAGGGATAACAGGAGAAGTGAGGCTATCAAAAAGACTGCCCCCTCCACTACCAACAGAAGCAGTAGGCGATGAGACCTTGGGAGCTGCCGGAGTAGACTTTATGCTAGCAAAGTTCGCCAAGTTGGCGAAGGGTGAGGGTTTCTCGACCGGTTTGGGGGCCGGAGGGGACATGGTTGAGGGAATGCTCAATCCGCTGAAGGCATCAGTCAGACCGCCCATGTTCGAGGCGGATGCCGAGCGAGGCGGGGGAGAGGCCAGATCTCCGAATGAGGATGTACGCTCATGATGCGCCGGGGCAGGCGGAGGCTTCGAATATAGTGAAAGAATAGATTGCTTGAGATCGGGCCTAGACATTCCAGTTGAGCCAGTAGGAGTCGACGCTATGCTGGCTGGCCGACTGCTAGGGGCCGGCTGAGTGCTGCCGAAGAAATCCAGACCCAGTAACGAATCTCCAGGACGGGCCGCCGGCTTAGGAGCAGGCGCAGACTGAGGTTGTTTGGGAGGCGCCCGAGGGGTGGGATCTGTCGTACTAGGACGTGCGGGAGGGGAGATATCGTCGGCGAAGAGGTCGATGGATGCTTGCTGGCGATGGACTGCAGGTTGACTGGCCGTCGCCACCCGCTGAGAAGCGGAGCGCTCAAGCTTCGCCTTTTCCTGTACCACTGCAAGAGGCTTTATTGAGCTGGATTAGTGCCTATCCGACAAGGGTGTATTGGTCCGAACGACTTACCACATCGTCGTCGCCATCATCCAAGGTCGAAGGGTCGGGCATCTGGCCGTCCATGACCCATCGCTTGGACTCGTACTTCGTCCGGATGAAGTTCTCAATTTTCCTAACCGCCGTGTCAATTCAGCCACACAGTCACCAGGTCGAATAGTATGCGGGGAAGATATTCACTTACGCTTCCGAAGGAACATGACCGGGTGCCAATTTCGCTTCCCAATACCTGCCAACAACAATGAGCTCAAGGTCCCAAGAACATGTGAAATGTTGCGGAAAAGACGAACTTGTTTGCCCTGGAGTTGCCCCATCTCACGACGCTCTGAAGTTGTTCGTCTGTCCAGGAGTCAAGGTCGACGGATTTCACCCGACTGATATGGGTGCCCATGCCCCGATGAATGCCCGAGCAACGGATGCAGATGAAGATTCCAAGATTCCATGACGCCCATCGCGGATCTAAATAGAAAATTATTAGCCAGCGATCGCAAAACACATTTGTACATTCACATTGAGCGGGGGTCGTGGCGCGGTGACAGAAAAGTATAGACTGGAGGTAGTTGCGGAGGGTCACTAACGCTTATTGCGCTTGCAATCGGCACATGTCTTGTTCTGGTCGAGTTTCAGCAAGCTCTTGATGACCTGCTGGTTCTGAGCAGCCTGGGACGGCGTGGCACGTCGAGACATGACAGCTAGGGGCGCAGTCCGAGTCGAATTACCAGGGAATGCAACAGGAGAGGAGAAAAGGAGACGAAAGGGGAGTTGAAACGGGGACGTCAATGGGCCACCAAGTGGCGGCTTGCGGTGTCCCGCAGGCCTCAGGCTGCAAGGCGGTGGGTTCGCCGACCGGCCAGCGGCACGTGCCAGAGATGCCCGTTTGATGTTGATTGGATTCAAACAAAAGGGTCGCTCTCATCTCTCATCATTGACATTGTAGTACTCTAACAAACACTAATTTACACCACAGACTACTGCGCAGCCCCTAGTTTCCATCCCCCTTAAACCGCAAGCTAATACTATTCACACAATGCCTCTCATCCGTGGGTGTCGGATACCCCTCTCCCTTGAACACATGTCCCAAATGTCCCCCACAGTTACTGCACACAATCTCCGTCCGTTCCATTCCAAACGAGCTATCCGTATGCCTTGTAACCGCGCCGGGAATAGAATCAAAGTACGCGGGCCAGCCACATCCCGACTTGAACTTGTGTGATGCCTTGTACAAAGGCGCATTGCAACCGGCACAGTTATAGACGCCTTGCGAGGGATGGTGGCTATCGTATTCGCCCGTGAAGGGTCGCTCCGTGCCTTTCTCGCGGAGGACTCGGAATTGCTCTAGGTTGAGTTAGTTGGAATTATTCCCGGATGGCTGAGAGGTGAGGGGTTGGTTGCCGAGGTAGGTGGGGAGGTATACCGGGACTTAGGACGGCTTGCCACGCGTCGGGGCTGCGCTGGTCGGGGTAGGACATATTGCTGTCGTCTTGGCTGTTAGATTTCGCGCAGGATCCGAAGAAGGAACCGAGGAAGGGGATCGTGGGAGCGGCTCTCAGGACAGTTGCGCCGGAGATGGGGAGAGGAGGTCGATGGAGGGATCGGGCGGAGTGCGATCGGAGGGGTAAGGTGAAGTTGCGAAGGACAGAGCTCAGGCCCAGGAAGCGCATCGGGTTGAGGCTCAGGGTGTAAGATAGAAGATGTGTCGGTTCTTGTCAGTTGTAGAGACTGTGATATTGGAAGATAAGATTGAGGGAAGGAAGAAATGTGAAGGCGGATTCAATCGTCTCCTACGATGGTCGCCGCTGAAGCACCAATTTGCCTGAGATTTTACGTCATCCGGACGGAAGCACCCTCAATATTCACCAATATCAAACACTATTCCTTGTATGGATTATCCCGTAGATACATTCCCTTTTCCAAAGCCACATACGTGCACGTATGTCTATATGTGCAGTAGATGTTGACCATAACTCCGCTCTTTCTATGGATCCGCACTCTAGATGGATGTTCCAGGATATCTTGAGTATGAAGAAAAGCAAGGTAGGCCAAAGCCCTAGCGATGCCGGACGACGCCCACAACCGTCAAAACCCCAGCTCCAATCTCCACCCTCCAGCCTTCTCGGGCGAGCATCTTTCCAACAGCTGGGCCCAGGCGTGAGGTGCCGTCATGGCTATGTCTTCCAAGACCGGTGACAATGCGATAGCCACCCCAGGCTGGGTCACTACCGCCTCGTCTATATTTTGTATCCCCCAAAGATTCCCACCACTCTGACACTCGCGCGCTGGCAATCCGGACCGCATCCTGTACTGATACACCATGGAGATCGAGCATATTCCACGTAGACTGTGAATCTACCAGGGCGTCGGCGGCAGCTGCGGCATTGCGCTTTGCGCGTTCCATATGATCCCGTCCCACTGCAGAGTAGTATGCAGCAGCACCACCCATCAGTCGGTCCGACTTGCCGCGTCTATATGCTAATGATGCCTTTGATAATGCTTCGGCTCCTGCCGCGAAGTGCAAGCCTGCCGCGCTTCTCGCTCGATAGAGATCTCGGGTAGCCGGTGGATCAGCGCCTCGTCTCGGATGTACATCCTCTTCGAGATCCACCGGTGGCGGTGGTGTTGTGATCTTGATCATCTCAGATATAGAGGGGGCTACTGGTTCCGTCAACATAGCCGCCGCGAGCTCACTAGCGGCCGATACAGAGCTTCTTGTGATCTTGAGCAAGCCAGCGAATGTGAGTGGTGGGACCCAAGCGAATTCCTGTGTAAGTTCTGCCACCTGCGCAACCATGACTGGGTCATCATTGATGACCTTTTCATCTTTCGGGGCATGTGCACTGGCAAGGGTCCGGATCGTAGCAGAAAGGGAGGCACCATTGGCGTGATATGTCGAGCGAACTATTTCCATTTTGAGAATCGGCGAGGTTCGCGCATGAATAAATTCCACATCCTTTCCAGCAGCATCCCATTTGTTAAGACTGGGCATGCCATCCAAAGTAGGTTGGGATCCTAGGGGTGAGGGAACTTCTTGCTTCCGGCCAGATTTGTTCTTGGGTTTACGCTTGCGTCCTTGCTTCCTCGCCTCTCCGGGTCCGTCTTCGAAGCCATCCACGCCTTTGGGAACGGCAACCTTCAGCCCATCCTCATCAGGGGCCTGCTCGTCAAAAAATACGAGATTAAGCAGGACGTCCATTGCACGGTCGACGTCCCCGTTAGACTTCTTGATTGTGTGTTGGATTGTGAAGCGGTCCGCCGAAGGAAACATCTCCGTCAAATAGCCGATCTTGTCTTCGTCGCTAGCTCCAGACAGACAGAGAGAGCCGTCCGGCCCAATAGTATACGATACATGATCTGATGTAGTCGAGCCGCTTTTGCTTTTACTGTTTGAGCTTCGGTCACTGAGACCGAACGAAGAAAAGCCAGACGTCAAGCTCGTGAGATCGGTTGTGCGCGACCGATCACACTGTGATCCACTACGCTCTGAGAAGATCCCATCTGCTTCTAGGCTGTTTTCTGGGCTTAAGCCGGATGTGCCGGACGGATCGAATGGTAGATCCTCCTGTTCCCAGGCGGAAAGTCGAAGAGCATCCAAGGTGTCCCGAAGTTGTTGCAGTTGGGTTGAATCCGTAAGATCATAGTCAAAGGCAATGGCCGTGAGCAATGCTGGGTCCAGAGGTGGGCAGTAGGTCTTCTCCAGGTCCTAATAGCGCGATTCAATGGCAGGATTAGCTATTCACGCCTCCATGGCTCGGGCCATTGCATTGGCGAATGCCCACACAAATGGAAGGTGACGAACCTGCAGCGGACCATCACCCTTATCACCCATATTCGAAAGCTATGATACGAAGTAAGTGACAAGAAGATCCTCTGGTCATGCCTTATTTAGTGGATAGTCGGGATAGCTGCTAGTATGTGGCCCAAGACTGATCCTGGAGGACTTTGTCGCGCAGGAGTCACCGAGCCCTCTTCTCTCTCGGTTTGTCTTTCCTTGAGCGGGGGAGTTTGATCGGTGCAGATGTGGCTGACATAAGCATACTACGTGAACCAATCTATCGATCTAGCAATCATTATTCAATTTGACGAGAATATTTTTGGTCTCAGCACAAACATCAAGAGAAGGAGGAAACGCTGCTGTCCCCGTCCCGGCCCTTCCTATCCTCCAACGGTCACTCTACAAGGGTTCCCGCCCCTAATATACGAGCCTGCCGTCAGCATGGGATTTGTGCTACTCAAGGTTGAGTGGTCTTCTGACTACCGTACCTCGGTGAACACTCGCAGGCCTGGTGTTAACTGGCCAACCCAGCTCTTGAAGGATAACTGGGCCCGGTCGGCACTGTAAAAAGTGCGGGTACCGTCATTGGGCCTCGGATTCCCGGCGAGCTGACCCGAGCGGTCGATTATTTCCACCCTCCGACCCCGGTGGAACAGGAAGGCCATGTGCAGAGATTGTAGCGATAGTTCATCCCGAAAGAATTCTATAATCTGCCCCCACGAGCGCTTGAGCTCGTCTCTGTAGGCCACCGTGGGAATGGCCTCAACGATCAAGCTGATGGCTCTCATGGTAAGGATCTTCAATGTCGGCGCCGCGCTGCGTATGAAGCACTTCAAGGCATCGGGAGTGATTTCAAGTTCACGGACATGGAGCTCCGCAAGACGTGTGAAACAAAGGCGCTGCGAGATCCCGGACAAATAATGAGGGTTTAGTCGGTACCCCCGATTCCAAGGCGAGAATGTCAGGAGTTCAAGACTGGGGGAAGCGACAGCGAGAATTTCAAGGAGGTATTTGAAGGCGACTTCATCTATTTGTAGTCCGAACGCAGAAATGCAGAGGTGTAGCTCCTTGAGTTGCTTCAGAAGCGGCAGCAGAGATTCGTACTGAGCCGGGGTAAGTGTCATGGCCCGGGGTGCCAGGCCACGGCATTGATGGCGGCATGTAGAAAGCCCGGTGAGACCGCGGTTGCATGCAATGGCCGCTCGGACAAAATCGGAGAAGGCCAAGGCGTGGGATTGAACGAGCCGGAGATGGATGTCGCTACTTTGTGGCGGTGGGTAGGTCCGATTGCTATCCAGCTGTTCCTCTACCTTGCGCAGGCCCAGACAGCAGATATCAGGCTTCGATGCTAGATGGGAGACATGGCGATATCGCAGTCCGAAGCGGTTCAGGTTCTCAAAACCGTCCAGGCAGATCTTGAGAACATCACGGAGAGTACCAGCCTCGAGGGTGTCGAGATGTTCCGTCACTATCGCCTCGATAATCGCCGCCGTGAGGATCCGGCCCTTTGCCAACCCGCAATCAGGCTCGGCGAGGCTGCCAAACAAATCGGGCACAACCCACAGCTCCTGGACTCGCAGCCTGAAGATTTCATGGGCGGCGATCTTTTGGAGTCGTTGAAGACTATCAGTTGTCACTAGGAAGGATATGCTCTTGAAAGCGCCGTCCGAGAAGGCTTCCAGGGACAGGGAGTACAGATCTCTGCAAGTCAATCGGAGTGCGCACAAGTGGGAGGGGTCCAAATGGCTGCAAATGATGCTCACGATCTCGGTGGGGAGCGTCAGGAGAGGCATCTCACGGCGTGTGTAGGAAGGAGAAAAAATTGGAAAGCAGAAAAGAGTCGAATGGCTTGAAGAAGGAAAAAGGTTGATCATCTGGGAGGTGGTGTGGTCTAGATTCTTTTCACGGATGTATTTGATCGACGATCGCTTACAGCAGATGACGAGTACTATCTAACGATACCCAGTTAAAAGATCTCGCCCACCTGACAGAAACAAAGGAGTAAAAAGATCATAGGACTGATCACTAACACCCTAACTACTATGATACTACAATATCAGTCTAACAATCCATGCCCCCATATTTGGGCCGAGTGGATCGGTGACACTCGGGTGACCGGATCGTCCCTTGGTTCCACTCCAGAATCTGGATCCCGGGGGCTTGACTCACGACGCCGTCCCCACTCCACGGCTGGCGGCTTCAGTACTAATACTAAGTACCTTTCTCACGTCATTTCATGTTCAACGAGAGGATCGGACTTCGGGGCAAGATGAGGGTTACTAGGTGAATGCACAGTTTCTCGCTCGGTATGTGTCTACTCCCGCTCATGTGTCCACAGCAGCCATGCTTCGGTCCGGGTTACTCGAATATAGAAGGTATGTATGTACGCACAATCAAAGCTGCATCAAATAGGCTATTGAAAAATTAAACACGTTCCTAGATGGTATTCTTCTTTGCTTTGTGAACAAGAAAATGGTATAGCTCTATATCTTCATAACGCGTACAGGTTGTATAACCTTCCGTCTTAGTTGTATTTGGCCATGAACTCAGAGTGGAACTTCACGATCCGCTCAACCCAGTCCGTTCCAGGAGCCAGGAAGGTTGTGCGGAAGTGCAGTGTGTTCTCCTTCTGGCCGAAGCCGGAGCCGGGAACGACGCAGACACCGGTGGCGTCGAGCAGACGGAGGCAGTAGAACTCGTCGGCAGCGCGGTTCTCATCCTTGGCGGCCTGAACGGCCTTAGGGGACAGGGTGATGGTGGGGAAGAGGTACATGGCGCCCTAGATATTGGTCAGTGAATATTTCGGTACATATGTTCGATTATGGTGAAATTACGTACCTGGGGTTCCTGGCACTCAACGCCCTCCATGCGCTGGAAGGCTTCGTACAAAGCAAAGGCGCGCTTCTTCAGGCCATCCCGGATGCCGTTGTACTCATTCTGGTACACCTCGTGGCTGGGCTCGCCCTTCTTAGGAGGGTTCACCATCAGCTCGACCAGGCACTGCCCGATAACTGGCGGGCAGAGCATGATGCTGACGTACTTGTAGATCTGAGCCGCGACCTCAGGGTCGAATCCGACCAGCTCAAAGTAGCCACCACGGTGACCACACTCACCAACCATGCCCTTGGAAACACTGTGCAGGGAGGCCAGCTCCACATTGTCGTACTTTCCGGGCACTTCCTGCTGCAACTGACGAAGTCTCTTCTTGAAAGAGATGAACTCGCCCGTGAAGACGTTGGTTTGGTACACCTCGTCCGCGATCACCACCAGTTTCTCCTCAGCAGCAAGGTCCAGCACACCCTTAATATCCTCAGCGCTAAGAGAAGCACCGGTCGGGTTACCGGGGTTGATAACGACGATGGCACGGACATCGGTGCCAGCAGCCTTGGCCTGCGCCAGGTTCTCGCGGATAGCGTTCACATCGGTACCCCAGGCCCTGTGCTCTTCCAGGTGGTAAGGAACGCACTGGGCATCTAGGAGAGAGAGTGTGGCCGTGTAGAGAGGGTATTGAGGAATAGGCACGAGGATTCCAGCACTAGGGCCATCGCAGATGATGTTGAGAAGAGTGCTGACACCGGATGAGGCACCACCGGTCAGGTACAAGTCCTGGGGGTTGGCCGGGAAGCCATCACGCTGCTCGATAAATTTAGCCACGCTGTTACGGATGACGGGGGCACCCTGGCTGTGACTGTAAGCACCAACGCTCTGGACGTCCGCAAGAAGCACCTTGGCCCGCTCAATAACATCCTGCTGGTAGCCGAAGGTAGTACGAAGAGCCTCGGGGTTCTCCAGCAGGGTGGGGTTTTCGAGAAGACTGAGGACCTGACGGAAGAAGCTGATGGGCTTCTGGTCCAGCTGCTGGGGGTTGCCGATATTGGCAAAAATAACGCTGTCAAATGGCAACGACTTGTCCCCCTTCTCCAATTTCACACGATATTCCTCTGCCTTGACGGCCAGCTCACCACGGACGGCATATTTGGCAGCCTTAACGTGGGGGTTGATGTTGTCCAAGGTCAAACGACGCGGGCCGAGGCGGTCAGGGTGCGCTTCGTGGTGAGAGTGACGGTCATGGTGGAATCTGCGACGGCACAAGGACAAGGTATGGTCAGCTAAGATGCGTGACTGGGCCCGATACTAGGACAGGAACAATGCATCCGGCCGGGACGGCGCAGCAGGCCCCTTTGTATGCCAGTATACGGGGAACCGGAAGTCACAAGATTGGGCTGGACTGGACTGGACGGGGCCCCGGGGTGCCGTCTGACTCTGACAACCCCGAACATGGGGGACGGGGGGAGGCCATATCCAATGACAATCAGAGACACGGGAGGGGGAAACTAGTAAGAAGGACTCACCCCTCAGCCCCGAGCTGGCGGGTAAGCCTGCCCTGGAGGACAAATGGCGCGGGGCGCTCTGATGGCACGACAGCCAGGCACCACCATTCGGCCGGGAAACAGCGCATCGCAGCGGAGTTGCCCGCAGATGAGAGGCGAGCTTAAATTGCCAGGTCATGATTTCGACAGCTTTGCGCCAATGTCGGCCAATTGAACGATCAATCCTTCTCCACCGTGGGGGCTAGCGGGGGAGACTCGCAACGGATTGCTGATTGAAGCAAAGAAATGACAAGTCCGTCTAATAGGCCGACAAAGGAAGTCTCCAGGTGATCGTGGGCCAAACAGCAGCAACGGAGAAAAAAAGTATCCCACGGGGGAAATCCCACGGGGCGGTGAGCAGATGACTCAGCGGGCCCTCCCATCCTTTTAGTTTTACATGATAAGGCCTCGTAAAAGGGGGTTGCTGATTGAGTTCATTTTACGGAGTACGCATCGAGACTCGGTGTGTGTCGAACTGTCAAGATATGGGTTTGGGAGCACCGGAGACTTGAGCGGGAGACGCACCGCCGTGGCTGATGACTGCGCTGCCCCCATGGCTGACCAGGTCGTACCTTCAGGCCAGCCATCCCACATTCTTTCTCTCCGGAGCGTTCCGAACTTCGGCTCGGCTATCTACAGGGCGCCTATCAGTATCTGCCTATCTTTTCCCTACGCCGTGTCGGCCAGGGTAGTTTCGGCTCACTCTCCACAACGATCACCAATCTTCAAGAATATGTTGCCTTTGGTCATTATAGGTATGATACAGCACCCTCGCTTGCCTTGGCGCCCGCAGTGAGTGATCAATGGTTAACAGAGTCAAAAGATGAATGTATCACTAAAGTATCTCATCTAGAAAGTCATGAACCATATGGGGAGTCAAGATCAGACCAATCCAGAAATCCACTCTAGCTCCGTTCACTTCCTCGCAAACGCACGGCCTGGCCGTACTTTTGCAGCTTCGTGATCAGAGCATCGCCATGCTTCACCACATCCGCGTACTGCTTGTTCTTATCGTCTGGCCGGTTCGTTTCGATAATGCCATTGACACGATCAATGGTGCAAGAGATCCGGTTGCTTGCGATGAACTTGGCAAGATCACTGTAGCTGTCAGTCAATGTAATTCACGAGTCGCAGCCCGATCGCGGACTTACCGATCCAGGTAATCAACGGTAACTCCGAAGTCGCTGGCCATGCTGTTCAGGCCAACAACGCGATAGCTCTGGAGCAGTTGCTGGTACGCACGCAGTCTCATCTCCCGCACAAACCACGCACGGTGCTCATGCAAGTAACGGTCCTGGTTCAAGAAGTTGTCCTCCACTGCTGCCAACGCCAGGAAGAAAGACCGGTAGTTGCCGGTATACAGGCTGTCCACCAAGTTTCCAAGGGGCGAGAAGTCCACGGGAGTCTCGGCCTCGGCCTGGATGCCAGAGCCCGCCCCGAAAGTGGTCAGATTAACCACAGTAGTAGCCGCGGCTGGCGTCGTTCTGGAGACAGAGGCATCCTTCATCTCCTCGTCCTGGGCACCCGGTCCGGAGGAAATCTGTCCGGTCAGAGCAGCCAAGCGATCCTGTCCAGGGCCGAGAATGGCCTTGATTTCGGGCGCGTCCACAACTTTAGCCTTGAAATCGACTCGCTTCAGAGATAATGAGCCGGCAAGGATCGAATAGATGACCAAGGATGAATAGCTGCAGAGTTCGTAACTGGTGAAGGTTGACAAGCTATCGAGCAGTAGGGGGGCGGCAAGGTTGTAGGAACGGACAGTGAGCAGATGTAGACCCTTGTAGGCCTTTAGCCGGTTTCTCCGGTCCCAGTCGCCGCCACTCTCGATAAAGGTGTTCGCTCGCTCAATACTCTTTTTGACGAATTGACTGTCTCCGAAGAAGAGGCCAATCCGGACCATAGCCAGCATCAGATCGATCTTGGTACCAAGGAATGTTGTCTTCTCAAGGAGGGCTTCGTGGGATTCAATAGCTTTGTCCTGCCAGGCGCGGTCTGGTGTCAGCAAGTCGACCAGCACTTGAAATCTATCTCTCATATCTTCATAGCTATAACTTTTCAAGACATACCTTATCGCCTACACGCGCCCAGAACTCAGCACGCTTCCCCCGTGCGGCCAGCACCTCGGTTTCCCCGGCGGCTTCTTCCGCCTCGTCTTCCTCCTTCTGAAAAGCGTCCAACTCCTTCCGGTTATCCTCTACCAATGATTGATAAAGAGCCTCATCCCAAGGAAAATCTATTTTCTGAGGTGACTTTCGCGAAGCCAACATATTCGACGTAAGCAGGGACTTGGCCGGGAGCTGAGGGACGCCTTCGCCGGAGTGATTCAGGATGCCTTCGACGGGGTGGGCGAGGTGTCGGTAGAAAGGGGCCATCTTGTTCTCGGATATAACATCCTGGAGCTTCTTCAATGATGTCTGTCGAACTGCCTGCGGAGATGCTGGGTTGGAGAGGTTGAAGACATGTTGGGCGAGAGTGAGGTCAGGGTACTTTATGTACTGCGGATCGGACCCCATGCTGGCGATGGGGGATAGGATAGCGTACTAGAGAGGTGACAGTGGCAGAGATAGTGGGATAGCAAGGCTAAAAGGCAAAGGTTGAGTGACTTGTGAGCAGAGGGTCGGTGGATAAGATGATGGATGAGGCAGATACATCACCGCTGGGACGTAGCTGACCCGAGCTCAGCTGGGGAAAGGTTTTTCCGGAGCCGGAACCACATCCAATGGCTGGTCAACTACGCTCTCTCTGCTGAGCATCGCGAAGCCATAAAAAAAATAACATGCTTCTTGTGCTAGCTATATGAATGGGAAATTTCATTCTGACCATGATCTAACAGAGCACATGATCAGTTAGAGTCTAGGGTGTGAATAGACACCCGACCTCCCCTCCTGCATATCCGTTAGGATAGGCATCCTCTAGCAAGGCAGGGCTCGATCCATAGTTATGAGTCTGTGTCCATCTCGTACAAGAAGTGATTTTACATGCCCCTCGATCAGATGTCAGCAGATCGGAGCCAGTAACAGTGTATGCATATTAACGATGGCTTCCAAGATTTGTAATTTTGAAATGTCCAGTTCTGTTGTAGTTCTCCTGTCACATTGTCTCATCGCAGTACCCCGCGTGAATACGTGGAATCATCCACAGGGTTGATTTTTTAGGTTACGTGTTGAAACTAGGTAAGTGCTCAAAGCCTCAATGAGCCGAAGGTCACACGTGCGCTTGCGGCAGGCTAACATCTTTACCAGCAGCAGTGCAGTCCGAATGGTAAAAAAAATAAAAAAGAAGGAATGAAAAAACACAGTCACACATTGGGGCGTGAGATGAAGTGAAGGCTTTGCTAGTTGATCTCGATAGAAAAGAGTGCAATCCATGATCGCAATGTGGCGGAAGTCACATCCGATGATGATGCTTATTGTTGCATTTGGGTCAGTTTAGTAAGTATCTAGTAGTATGGGGCGTACTACTTGATCTGGCCCGGTAGCTCGATGATTACGAACAGAAAATTGAACAAATTATCAATCGTATTCACATGCATGGCAAGATGACCACGGAGTTCTCCGTCCCATGAAAGAGTACCCGCCAATTTGTTGGGAAACTCTATACCGAAAGCATCATGTTTATAAACCTCAGCTGCTTATCAGAGTTCTCTACTGGTAACTCTGCATCGACGCTTGGGCTTTCATTCACCTTTCTTGCAGTTGTAAGATACTGCATGTCGCCTGCAACCCTCATGTGCGACGGGACGAAAAGAAAACCAAGCCAGAGCGAGCAGACGGGAAGGCTGCCTTAGCCCTTAGGTCGCAGAGAATCTCGCAATCGCTTCGATGAGATTCGGCCGGTCATCAAGGACAAGACTTCAGCGAATGAAAACCTGTAAATATGGGGTGGGCTACACCTAGATGAGACTAGCGTAGCCTCCGGTCTGCTTTTGAAGATGGGGTACTGGCTCCACCTGCCATATCGAACCCGCTGATAATGCCGCTAACGCTGCTAAGGGAGGGGCCATACAACCTCGACTGGAACTAAACGTGGTACTGGAAGAGCATGGATCAAAGAGGAAATCCATCATGTGCCCTCAATGCCTCTGAAAGTTTTTCTCCCTGTTGATTTCCTTGATTTGCTTTCTTTCCCAATTCCCTTTCGCTTTCCCTCTTTCTCTTTCGTTACCCCTCTGCCAACGTTCTATCGTAACATAAAATAGAGGCACAAGCTTCCATACTATTTCTGTGTGCCGGTAACTAGTTCCCAACTCTTCTCCTGGGTCACCCTCGCACAACGCCCATAGCGGTCCAATTCTTGTCCGTTCTTCTCGTCTGACTGAACAGTAGGACAGAGATCCTAAATCCGATCTTGGCATTCGTCTTACGAGGAAGCAATCACCATGGAGCCAAAAACAGGGATGGAGCCCAAGGTCGATGTCCCACCCGAAAAGGCCCCTGGCTCCCTTGAAGCAGTGGCCTTGGATGCAATCTCCGCAGGGAAGAGTCGCTGGGAACGCAGTTGGCCCACAATTGCTTGTGGTGCTGGTCTATTCTCCGACGGTTATCTCAATGGGGTATGCGTGTTTGATTCTGCCCTTCCCGGTGCCTCAATTGCCCTTCACGCTGGTTCTAACATGGCTTGTCTCTAGATAATTGGACCAGTCAATACCATTCTCAAGAGGCTCTACCCTAAAGAATATGCCGACTCTCCTGCCAGCCAGAATGTTTCTTCCATCACTTTCGCCGGCACTGTGGTCGGTATGCTTATATTTGGATACACCAGTGATCACTGGTCGCGAAAATGGTCTCTTATGATTTCCACGATCATTTTGTTTATCTTCGCCGCCTTATGTGCTGGGGCCTATGGATATAATAATAGCCATTATGGCCTATTTGCCGCTCTCACGGCATATCGTTTCTTCCTGGGGATTGGAATCGGCGGCGAATACCCTGCAGGATCTGTTGCAGCGGCGGAGAACACCGGTGAACTCAAGCAAGGCCATCGAAACCGATGGTTTGTGATGTTCACTAATTTTCAGATTGACTTCGCCTACGTTGTATCAGCCTTGGTTTCCATGATTTTGGTCTTGATCTTTACCGAGAACCATCTACGTGCGGTGTGGCGTATTGCATTGGGACTTGGGGTCATCCCACCTCTTAGTCTGATCTATCTTCGCTTGAAGCTGGAGGAACCCGAAGAGTTTAACCGGGAGCGCATGCACAGCTTCCCTCTTTGGTTGATTATCAAGTGAGTCCCCCTATTCGCTTTCGCTCAACGGTCTGAGCAGAGACTAAGCCACTTCTCATAGGTTCTACTGGAAGCGTCTGGTTTGTACCCCTCGTTATAGGCAATACACAGGCCATGTCTGACCATGAACAGTTTGTGTGCTCATTGATCTGGTTTCTCTATGATTTTTCTTCCTATTCCTTTAGCATCTACTCGTCCGACTGGATCGCGATCATTCTGGGTGACTCTGCTCCTCTCTGGAAGAGCTTCGGCTGGACCACACTGACCTATTCATTTTACATCCCCGGATCCTTTTTGGGAGCCTTGGCAAGTGATTGGATGGGACCACGCAACACTTTGGCACTTGGCGTCCTGCTTCAGGGCATTGTCGGATTCATCATGTCTGGCTGCTATGAGTATCTATCAACGGCGAAGAACGTTGCGGCATTTGTTGTGGTATTCGGGTAAGCCATTATTTCTCATTATCCTCGCTTATCGGCTGATTTGGAAATATAGCATCTTCTCGAGTCTTGGTGAGTTTGGTCCTGGTGACAATATTGGACTCTGCTGTGCCAAGAGCAGCGCAACTGCTGTTCGTGGCCAATTCTATGCCATAGCTGCAGCCGCCGGCAAGATAGGCGCATTTGTTGGCACCTATGTGATCCCGATCATCCAGAACAACGCACCTAATAAGGTCCGCTCCGGTCAGGACCCGTTCTTTGTCTCCAGCTCATTGTGCATTTTCAGTGCTGCATTGGCCTTTTTCCTTCTACCGAACATCGGCCAGGTATGTCCTATCACCCAAGTTGTAATGTATCCACTGGGGTAGGTGAGAGGCGGCTAACAGTCCCTCTAGGACACTATCACGTACGAGGATGCAAAGTTCCGTGCTTACCTTGAAGCCCACGGTTACGATACCTCTTCCATGGGCAATTCAGAGGAGCGATAGTCGATGTCTCCTACTACCCACGCGCCATACGGATCTGCCCAAGCAATGTGGGCACTGTTTCTTCGGCCAACACCGACCTAATAGTGCCAACCCTTTCTGAACCCGAGCGACACCCTAATCTAGGACGGACAGCCCTTGCAACATCGAGTAACAAGCCCAAGCAGCGAAAGCGATCACCAAGAGTCTCAGCCGGAGAAGAGCATGCCCAAGCGACGCCGAGAAGATAATTTGCCCAGAAGCGCGATTTTGGTAACAGATATTTCAATTCCACCGAGCTGACCCTTGAAATGGTATGCTCTGGTTATAAGTTGGTGGTGTGCGTGTAAAGAGGTGACGGCTATTATGTTAGTGATGTAGCCTATGATAGAAGAAAGAAAAGAATTTTTGACAGCCAATGGGAGCCTTGGAGAGCGGACGCGGAGAGAGTGGAATCTTGTGATTGACGGCACGGGGAAAGAGGCGCGAGCTCGGATGCTCCGACCAGCCGAGGTCCCCAGGAGATCCATGATCCAAGATCCAACCAACAACGGAACGTTGGTCGATCGCCGGCCATTCAATTACCGAGACCCTATCATCCAGCAACCTTGTCCAGTACCTAAGTACTACTAATATCCTTTGCTCCGCCCCTCCCCCGTCATTTCTTCCTTCGACCCTCGGTGTGGAGCATCCATCTCCAGTCAGTACTAGTAGTATCTATCTATCTCGTTGAAAATCCCCCTCCGTCCGCCAGTCGGCCTGTCACTTTCCCTTTCACGCTCCCCACGCCGTCCCGACATCGCGCGGAATTCGACTCCCGCCTTTCACCTTTTAACTGCCCGACATCATCCGGCGCTTTAATTCGATCCAAACACATCCCCCAACACCATCCAAAATGGTTGCCGACGCCTTGGTCTACCATCCTGCCCTGGCGCACTACTTGCGCTTTGTCGCAACGACAGGTACGTGCCGATTCCTTATCTTTCCTATGCCGCTCTCTTCTCGGCCGGGAAGAGACAAAGCCATCCCCTTGGCCCTGAGGTCCTAGTGCTCGTGCTCCGGGCGCCCCTCGATCATGCTGCTCTTCAGGCAATTGCTGACGATTCTATAGTCGGTCGCGACAAGCTTCTTCGTACCTTGCAATACTTCTCCCGCTTCTACGCCTGGTACCTCCTCCGCACCAACCGCCCCCAGTCTGCCATCGACCCTTACAATGCTATTAAGAAGCAATTCGGAACAACCCGAAAGATCCTGAGGATCGGAAAGTTCGTTGAACACCTTAAGGCAGCTGCGCTTGCCTCGGACAACAAGAGCCCCATTGATCCCGTGCTTCGCTATCTCTCAGTCGGTCGTCAGCTCGGATACGCCGGCTACCTGAGTCTTGACACAATCACTGTTGTCGATACGATCGGGGTCCGTAAACTCGCTTCTGCCAAGCGACTACAGGAGTCTGCTTACCGCTCATGGATGGCGGGGCTGGTCTGCAGCGCTCTTGCTGGCGTGTACACACTGTTCAGGTTGCGGGAGAAGGAGAAGACGCTTGACCGCAAGGAAGGCGAAGGTGTCGTGGAAGCGAAGAAGCTTGAGAAGTATGTGTTCTTTGACCTGGATCGCGGACACTAAATCGGGTTACTAACGTGTTACTGCCAGGGAGCGTTCTGCCGCCCGCATCCAGCTCATCTCCGATCTTTGTGACTTGACTGTCCCGGTTTCCGCCCTCGGCTTTGCATCTCTTGATGATGGCGTCGTGGGTCTTGCAGGAACGGTCAGCAGTTTGATCGGCATTTGGTCCCAATGGCGGAAGACTGCGTAAGCGGTCGACATTGGGGCTATGTGTCATGAATGGAAGGGCCCAACAAGGCCAGATATGTAGTGCGTGTTGGCCATCGCTAAGCACGATCTGCACTGACCTTGATACTGCAAATGATCATTGGCCTTTGAAGTGTGCATATTGCGGCCAATTTCCCGCCAGTCTGGTCAGAGGGCAAAGAGGTGCGCAGTGAGACGGTGCGAGAAGTGAATTATCATGTGTTGGATTAGCTGGATCGTTTCGCCTGCCATGCGGGCTCCAGTCTTATTCATATGGATTCATGTAACTTAGAAATTATTCCCCTTCTTTTCTTAGCTAAATAGGAAGCTGTGCTCTGCTGCATCTGCTTTGTCACTCCATCCAGCTGCTGATTCCTTTTGTACGGCTGGGCCTCCTGCACCTCCCTCCCTGTTACAGGTCCAAGTGACTGTCGGACACGTCAACTCGCCGCGTCTCGCATGGGAAGGCCCCTTGCAGCCCTCGGATTCAGGCACCCAGGATGGCGGCTACCTGCAGCAGCAACCGCTGGGTTCTAAACTCTGCAACATAACTTCTTAAAGATACTTAGCCAGGTCTTCCATTGTTTCAACCCCGGCTGGTGGCTACACAGTATGTACTTTGGCATACATAATATGGCCAGTGGAGCTCGTTGCCACCATTTCAGTCTTGCTTGGACACTGATGACCCGTCCCTGGCCCCCTACTTCTTGTTCTCTGTGGACCAGCTACTGCCTGCTTGTGCATGGGGAAACAGTACAACATCACAGACAAGTCCAATCTCACTTGCGCCATAGGCCAGCTTCGTCTAGTGTTGTTGGCTACGTACAATCTTGCTATCTTGCTGCCTTCCATCCCTTCGGTGCAGATCACCCTTCCTTGCCATTGAGTGACACGCTGCGTTGTCCAGGGTCCCGAACGCGCTCCTCGATATTGCTTCGATCTGCTAGTAATCGGAAGCTTAATGTCATACCGGCATTCTCCGTTATCTTCCACCCATCAGCATGAAGCCTGGACTTATCATTCTTGGCCCATTCCAGAGCCACTCGCCGATCATTGTCCAAGAGTGCAGCCAAGCTTTGAAACTCCAATCCCTTCTGCAAGGAGGCGTAAATGGACCCACTATATACGCATCCTCTCGGAGGTGTGTGATAGCACTCGGCTATCTTGCACAGTGTACCAAGGGGTTGGCAGGGGTCGGCTAATGGCCTTAGGATGATGTATGTACAGGCAAACTCGCCCCCGAGCTTCTGTGCTTCCAGGTCAGGTCCGGATCTGACTGGTATCCTCGACTGCCTCAGAGGGGTCATTTCTCTCTTCAGCACATTGAGTTCAGGAGTTGATTATACTCAGTATCTAGCTGCGTAGGGATCCAAGCAGCTTTCCCAATCCGACTCGGAAACTGAGGCTTTTTTGCCCCGGCCGGACCCAGTCAAGACAGCCATTTAGCGTTCGAACAGGATGTTGCATCCATTTCTAGATGTTAGCAATTTCAACCTCGTCCTCTCTGTCACAGGTGAGGAGACCAGCATTCGAATATTTACTTGTAAGGAGACTGACACTTAGCAAAGGCCTCTACATTCTGCTATTTGGTTTCATCTCATTAAAGATCAAGCAAAGGTGGTACCTTGGTGAAGCTTGTATATCTCCGCACGATCTTATTAGGTTCGAAGACTAAATGCTAACATCTACTAAGTGCCTGCCTTTATTATTGGCATTTCATTTGGGCCAATCGGCGCGAAGTTTTTGAACGTATCCCAATGGGGAGGCAATGATGACGATGAGACCAGCGAAATAGCCTATGTGGGATGCCCTTATGATGTGAATGAGCTTCTACTGATTGTTCCAGGGCCTAACACGTCTGGTTATCGGTATTCAGTTAGTCAAGGTTGGATATGAACTTCCCAAGAAGTACTTGAGGCAACGTTTGGTGGAGATGATCATCTGCCTACTTCCGTTGATGACCATATCGTGGCTTGCAACCACTGCCTGTGTGAAGCTTATGATCCCACGCATATCCTTTGTACATTGAGTCCCTTCCTTCATCAGATCTGTGCTCTGGGCATAGCTAACCATCGACAAAAGCTCGCAGCGCTCATCATAAGCGCTTGTGTCACCTGTACCGATCCCGTTTTATCCCAGGCGATAGCGAAAGGCCCCTTTGCTGATAACTATGTCCGTCGGCCACTACGAGAATTCATCTCCGCGGAAGCAGGTGGAAATGACGGATTCGGATTTCCTCTCCTGTTGCTTGGAGTTTCGCTCCTACGATATGCGGAAGCGCCAGCCAATACTCTTAGCCTAGAGGAATTTGACCTGGAACGGGGTATACCAGATGTGCTCGGGACAACTGGGGTTGGACGCTTCGGCGGCGGCGCTGGTATCGCGCTGAAACACTGGGCTATCGAAGGGGTTTTATATATGATCCTTGTGGGTGCGGCTTACGGTGCCGTTGTGGGATTTACGTGCCAGAAGCTTTTGAACAAAGCATCTGAGCGGCGGTGGATCGACAATGAGAGCTTTACATTGGCCCCCGTGGCGATCGGATTGCTCATTGTTGGTACCTGTGGCTGTTTTGGCTCAGATGAAACACTCGCTTGTTTTATTGCAGGGTGCGTCTTGAACTGGAACGGGCTTTACCATGAAGAGATGCAAGCTCGGCACGACTCGTTCAACTCAACAATAGAGACGCTTCTGAATTTCTCGGCGTTCATGTTCCTGGGGGCGACCATGCCATGGAAATCCTTCCAACGGCCCTATGATACGGGAATCACGCTCTGGAGGTTGTTTGGATTGGGCTTCATGATCCTGGCGTTCCGGCGCATTCCATCGATTCTGCTTGGATACCGATTCATGCCCAAGGTTTGCAGCAACTGGAAGGAGGCGCTGTTCCTGGGACATTTCGGGCCGATCGGTAAGTTGTCAGATGCTCTATGCCTTTGCCTCTCGTACTGACATTGATATACAGGGGCTGGTGCAGTCTCGTATGTAGAGTATACTCGCCGACTGTTCCCGCCTCCCGGGCAAAGCGATAGGGAGATCAATAATATGACTGCTGCTATGGTACCAGGTATGGGTCATGCCCAGAATGTCGGGAAGTGTATACTAACCGAATGTTATACAGTTGTCTACTGGCTGGTGCTGTTCTCTATTGTTGCTCACGGACTATCTGTTCCCGCGCTCAACCTACTCTACCAAGTCTTCAATGTGCCCCGAATCTACGATCATCCTGTGAGCGTTGTCCTCCTGTCCGAAAACGAGCCTCTTCCGAACAACAGCACGATTGATCCTCAACGTCACTCGATGATCATCAACAACCGGTTTTCGCGTCCCTCAGAGAGTGACGGTGAAGAGGAAAGCAAAGAGGATACGGAAACGATGCTTAGATCTAGAGAGGATAGTCCAGCTGGTAGAAGCATGGAGCGACTCTCCATCCAGTCCGGGCGGTCAGATAGAACCGTGAACATGAGAAACATGGTTTAACCCAGTCTTCTACAGTAATCACCTACGGATCAACAGGAAGTCAAGAATCTCACTCATGTCTCATTCATCGTCACCGTCATCATCGTCAACATAAATATCAGGGACCTCCACCCCTCCACCCACTTCTCCCATTATCCCATTATTCCACCCCGCAAACCCCCAAATCTCATCCTCTCAGACTGACAACGACCCTTAAACAGGGCAAGTCTACAAACATTAGCTCCCATTCTCAAATCCCATGAACAAACGCCCATTTACCTTTCCGCAAGAGCTGCAAGTCTTAGTCTCGCCAGGGATGGCAGCGCCGCAAGCGGGACAGGCGTTGTGAGCTCCAGCCATTTTTTTTGATTCTGATCTGACTTGATCTGTCGAATAAGACAACGAGCGAGAGTTATTGTAGTAACTGTATGCATGATATGTCATTAGTGGATGTGTATACTACCACAAACCATCACACTACCACCGGAGTACTCACCTGGGTACGTATAAGCTGAACGACAAAACACGAGATAAGCAGCGCAGAGGATAAGAAAGAAGAGAGAGTTGGGAGAGAAAGGCACAACGGACTAGAAAGCCTTAGGGTTGGCAATGCAGAAGCGATGATTCACTCGATTTGTTGTCGACCCCGCCGCGTGATGCCCCGCTGGTGCGGGATCCGGGTGGTCTGATTGGTTGGGGTGATAAGACGCAGTGGACATGTGATCCATTAGTAGTATCGTTGATGCCCAGCGGGGCAGGTGAAGATCGCCATCGTGCATGACTGTAAGATCTAAGGAAGAGGTATTGAGAATTTCTCCCTGGTGGGGATTCACGATGAATCCTATTCACCGGTAGGAAGGAGGAAAGGAGTGCAGTTCTTAGTGTTCACACATGGTTATACATGGGGTTATATGCAAGGTTATGATACACGGGGTTATGCACAGAATGACATCTAAGTACTGTGGTTCTGGTATTCTTCTGGGTAGCTTGTCCAGTTTTCGGGGTGTGTCAGAGTGTGAACTATACTAGGTCCTGGCCTTCGGGGAGATTCCAGCCCAAGGCGTTTCGAATCGCTTTAGTAAGAACCACGCAATGCATTTCTAAAAGCATGTAGTTAAAGGCATCCTGTATAGCTAAAGAAGCTACGCACTGCGCGCTTTGAAAATCATGTAGGTAACGGTTACATATATACTTAACGATATTCGGTACCTTTACATCAGGAAACAGCACCTTGGGAACATATCCTCCATGAAGCATATTTTGATTCCCCGTAGCCACCATCCCAACCTTTTCCTCAAAGCATCCTCCTAGTACTGATTCCTCCCAACTTCTAATCGTCCATACCTCTGGGCCTTCAACCAAAAACAAGCGACAAGCACCTTCTGTGAAGCCAGAACTAGCTCAACAGTTTAGTTTGGCGTAATCAATAGTTCCGCCAAGGTAACAGTATTCCCTTCTAACAGCGTCAGGGTTAAACTGACACAACCAGTCGCCACCTGGTCCCGAGTTGTACAAGGCCATCATCGACCCGTATTTCACCGCGAGGGTGAACATCGCGATATCGCTCATACCACTTGGGAAACTGATATTGTACCATTCTGGCAGTAGAATCCATGTTGCTCGGGATCATTTCGCTTGGGTTCCTTTCGACAAAAGCATTAGTGAAGACAGCCTGCGCACCTTTGATGTAGTTGGAGACCGTTCTTAAAGGAAGCACTCACCAGGTAATAGCACAGGTAACCTGACTCATACTCATGTCCATTCTGCCTGTGCTTCCATCGGCAGAGATCCAAGGGTGGGCCTCGCTCAGTGTGATAGTCGGGCCTGGAGATTGTGAGGAAAGGCCATGGCTGTAGTAGCAGCGGCAAGAATAGCGAGGATTGCTGGCTTCATCTTGAAATTGTGTAGAGAGATGGCCTGGAATGAACCTGTGCTAGCTTTGGGGTGGAATAGAACCTGATTGTCTTATCGCGATGATACTCTGGAATGATCTCGTCCCGAAAGCTATTGAGCAGACTACATATCTCTGATTATCAGAACCTGAGCTCTCTGCCTAGCAATGCACAGAGGCATTATAATAGTCCCCATTGGCACGACGAAGAAGGAAATATGGACGCCAATGGTATATTCGGAGCTATAGCTGAGTGTGATCGGAGGGCTGGTATACGTCTACTTTGTTGGTAGTGATTGTAGTCAAATAGAAAGTAGAACTGCTTACCTCCCTGTAAGCACCGGAAGCCTGATATATGTAGGATAACAACTGTTAGCGCGGTGAAATATGCATTGTGGTTGATATATAGACTGGGCCAGCGCTTTCACGGCATGATAAGCGCGGGCTTGCGGCTGTTGATGGCATAGACCACTAATTACTCTGATTACTTAATGTCGGGATTGAAACTGTGTGTGGTGGAATGTATGTCATGGCTCGCACAATCGGAGGCGAGATATGAAGGTGAGATTGAGATGTAGACGGGAATTCTGTCCGGCCGGGGGGGTTGTTTCTTACTGTGATAGGCAGGTACCCCCACTCGGCGATTTCCGATGGCCAAGAAAGAGGAAAGAAAGAGTTGAAGACAGCGTGACTAACTCCCTGCGCGGATTGGCAGTTGTCGGGCCCAATTGAAATGGTCTCGGCCACCGACTCTATCCTATTCATTTACCTTGCCTCTAGGAAATTACCGCCCCTCACTAGGTCCTAACTTCTCAGCTCTTTTGTTCTCTTCGTTCGGATCACGAAGCAATCGTTGCCCCTGAAATTCTGAAAGAAGACTTCATAGAAGACTGTATAGGTTATTGCGATGCCCTTTTGTCCAGTGGCATTCTAAAGTCTTTCAATTCTACTCCCAACCGCTATAGACTTGAGCTGGCTCCTGAGTTCCAGATGGCCTAAAGGTCCTTTTCTTCTCGAAAGCTTTTGCCCACAGCACCAATAATCTCTATAGTCAACATCACAAGGACAAACTCGAAGGATACCTCGTATCGTTGAGCACGTGGGACAGGGGTATTGCGCTAGGGCTTGAACTATCAGCCCTCTACATGGCTCTCATGTGCTTTCGATATTGCAATTGAAGCTAACATGTCATTGAAGCGCGTGGGATATCAACACTATAACATAGAGTGCAGAGATCATGCGAATATACAATCAAGAACGATGTACGCAAATATATGGTCCAACGACTTGTCAGCTAAACCAAAAGCCCCAAATAAACCGTGGCTAGCCTTTGTACATCGACAATATATACCTGACAGGGGCTAGAACTTATGGTCGGTCTAGAAATAGCCGGAGTGCGTCCCTTCTCTGCATAGACACGAGTGATTGTAGAATGGTGCTTCATACCATCAGGCCGAATCCAATAATTGTTGCCTGATCAACAACTGCCTTCATCTTTCTAAGTTCTAAACGGGTAGGAGGATTTAACTCTCCCGGGCCTAGTTCTCCATTTAGATCTTATGGCACCCATTGATAAGAAGATACAACATTCCTTCTTGGCTATATTTACGTTGCAGATGGGTTACGAGACACGTTTTCTTTCTTTTGAAAGCCCCAAAGGTGATTTTCCTTTGTAGCGATTTCCGCTCGGGTGATCTGTTTTTAGTGGATATATATATAATTTGCTTGGAACTACTATGATAGTAACAGCACTAACTGCTTTTAACAGAAAGATACATTGTTAAATTCTTACACAGGGATGCATTACAACCTAGAAATACGAACTTATTTGATAAGGAGTGAAGCTGTGGCGCAGAAGTCGGTGAGGGACTATCTATCAGTTTATTATCGGAAGCTAATGACCCGTTAGTGGCCGAAGTGCCAGTCCGTATTCGCCACTAAAAACCAAGTGATAGGTAACGCGCACCTCCAAGGATGGCAGGTGACTTGCGCTGCGATTCAAGAGCATGTTATGGCGTAGCCAAGATTGAGACTGCTCAGAGTGTTCGCGATAGCCGTCAAGCCCCTCGCGAAGACCCAAGCCGAGGGAGTCTGCCTGCTCTAGCCGGAATCGGGTATCCCCCAGGGGACGAGAACATCCGGGGAAAGGCCCGCGTGGCCCCGGCACACCTCGGATGCGGGGTACAGATAGCGGTCTTCCTCGATAGGGGAAAGACACCGCCATGACATCTTGGCTGAATCCAATGCCAGGGCACCAATTCTCCGTCGCATCTATCTAGTACATCTACCGTGATAACATCCCGGGCTACATTTCTTGGCCCTTCGTCATGCGCGATTATCTGGAGGCAAAACGGGGAACAGGGCACCTGACCTAACTCGGGAGCGTTTCGGATATTCTTGGGATTTCGGCAGGGGCTAGAGTTGATCTATCATGTGCGATTTTCGTAGTCGTAATTCCCCCCTTTTTTTGTACGCAGTAGGAAGGAATGGATGTGCAGCAGGCTCCAGGAACCTAATATTTGGGGATACGAGATGCTGTGTATGAGTGAATTTATGTATGAGGGACATATGGACATGCCGTTGGATTGACAATGATGAAGCATGCATGCATCGGTATGACCTCGAAACCCAGAAATGTGACTCGGAGCCAGGTGATAGCTCTTATTTGCCTCAAAATGCAGCACACCCGAAAATGATGCTTGAGCCCGAGAGGACGGCAATATCTTCTGCCCATGCTGGTGACGTTGGATTGCTCATCCGTGACGAGAGCGCGCGATGATTGGCTGGCGGGGGGAGTAATTCGGGAGGCAGATGACTAAGAAGATACCGGAAGCGGGAAAGTGCGGACGAGGGGAACCCGAGTTTCTCCCCCGGCATTTCGTCACTCGGAAAGATTCCTGGTGCTGGCCGGGCCCAGACTGCAAGGCTCTGTAAGTTTCTGCCATTCAGCGCATCTCAGTAGTAGTCATTACACACAAACCGCCCCGTCGGGTATAGTCCAGCCCTCCTAGCCGAAAACTGCCTCCCCCCGCAATTTCTCTTAGTGTGTCTATCGTATCGCCTTTAGACTCCGTCTGCTGCATTGCGCTCATTCAACGTCACCACTCCAGCAGTTCCGTCCCTTCATCCATTGGGCCCCATTGTCATTTGTTTCCAGGTGCCAAACCGCATGGTCGTCCTTGGGTCTTCGTAGCGTAATCCTTTGCAGCTGCTCCAACGATGACCCTGGCTCGTTGGTGGCTGCGGCAGGCTGAAAGGCAATAAATACCTCGTTTGTAGCGCTTGGGGGCCTGGTCCTCACTAGCAGCTTAGCTTCCCATCCCTGTACTCCAACCCAGCAAACCTGCGTACCAAACTGCCACTAGTGCGGTGGATGAGACATTAATTCATCATCCCCTGACGCGCTATCCGTGAGACCGCCTCAAATCTCTGATCCAGTTTCCGAAGCTTCTGCGAATCCGTGGCCTCTAGTTGGTGCATCCGCCAGGCCTTCCGGGACCACCTCGTGCCCACATCTGGGGTTCGGGACTTTTCGGGCTACCCGAAGAGGCATTTGTTCTTCTTTTCGACCTTTCACGATAACCACAGCCGCCTCGACTCGGTCCTCAGCCCCGACATCACCCGTGGAACGGTGGAGTACGCAGTTCGACCTGGAATTCCAACCCTCGCTGCGCCTTGGATCGTGTCCAAAATGAGCCCTGCGACAAACATTCATATACCCCCCGTTTCCCCCGTCGAAACTGGACCTCTCTACTCAGATTTCTTCCAACAGCAAGTTGCCAAGCAACGAAATAATAACTATCATTCTACCTCACTAAGAAACATGGTTGCTGCTTCGGTCAATCGCACTGCTCTGCACCCTGGTGGTGTTTTGTATGTGTCTTCTCTCCTCTTGATATCCTGTCGCGTTGTTGGCGTCACCTTGTTGCCTGCTCGCGCATTCTGTCGCAATCTTATATCATCTTGTTAGGAATGCATCTTTGCTAACTATGACCTTCCAGGCCAGGCAAGGGTCACACTGAGCTCGAGGAAGAACTCCACGAGCACGCCCACATCGACTATGACCGCGTTGCTATTGTAAGGCTTCGATGCTATCGCTCTGCCCTCAACTCCACTAACCTCGATAGATCGCCAACCCCGCCGTCCCTGCTCTCTACGAAGATGCTCTGGTTTACGAGACTGGTACTGCTATCACCTCCAGCGGTGCCCTGACTGCATACTCTGGCGCCAAGACTGGCCGTTCTCCCTCAGACAAGCGTATCGTTGAGGAAGAGTCATCAAAGGATGACATTTGGTGGGGACCTGTCAACAAGCCTATGACTCCTGATGTACGTGTTGTGTTGCTTTTTTTCATACTGGGTTCACATGCAAGCGCAATATATCGCGCATTAGCATCATCCCTTGCATTGGCCCGCTCTCATTAGCCGCCTGGCATGGGATTCAAGCTTTTCTGGCACCACACTGGCAGCACGTCGATGGGAAATAAATGCCTCATGTTCTCGTGAGGCATTTTTGATCTCGCGACTGCGGTGCGACACAAAGTTTGCATTCTGTCCGGTTGTGTTCCTGAGAATGCTTGTTTCGCCGTGTCGCGCCTGGCCAGGGTCTCACTGATGACGTCATCCACGATAAGGCTAGTTTGCTAACAGGGCTTTTGGCTTGCAGGTCTGGCGTATCAACCGTGAACGTGCCGTCGACTACCTCAACACCCGTAACCGCATCTATGTTATTGATGGTTTCGCCGGCTGGGATGAGAGATACCGTCTCAGTGTCCGCGTCGTCTGTGCTCGCGCCTACCATGCTCTCTTCATGCGCAACATGCTTATCCGCCCCTCTCAGGAGGAGCTGAAGCACTTCCACCCCGACTATGTCATCTACAATGCCGGATCTTTCCCTGCCAACCGCTTCACTGAGGGTATGACCTCCGCCACATCGGTTGCCATCAACTTTGCCGAGAAGGAGATGGTCATCCTGGGTACCGAGTACGCTGGTGAGATGAAGAAGGGTGTCTTCACTGTCCTCTTCTACGAGATGCCCGTCAAGCACAACGTCCTGACCCTCCACTCCTCTGCCAACGAGGGTGAGAACGGCGATGTCACCGTTTTCTTCGGTCTGTCGGGTACTGGCAAGACCACTCTCTCTGCCGACCCCAAGCGTGCTTTGATCGGTGACGACGAGCACTGCTGGACTGACCGTGGTGTCTTCAACATCGAAGGTGGCTGCTACGCCAAGTGCATTGGCCTTTCTGCTGAGAAGGAGCCTGATATTTTCAACGCCATCCGCTTCGGATCCGTCCTGGAGAACGTTGTCTTCGACCCCATCTCCCGTGTTGTCAACTACGACGACTGCACCCTCACTGAGAACACTCGCTGGTAAGCATACTCGCCTGACTGTCCTGATGATCAATGGCTAACGATACCAGTGCCTACCCTATCGAGTACATTGACAACGCCAAGATCCCCTGCTTGTCCGACAAGCACCCCACAAACATCATCCTCCTCACCTGCGATGCCCGTGGTGTTCTCCCCCCGATCTCCAAGCTCACCACCGAGCAGACCATGTTCCACTTCATCTCTGGTTACACCTCCAAGATGGCTGGTACTGAGGACGGTGTGACCGAGCCCCAGGCCACCTTCTCCTCCTGCTTCGCCCAGCCCTTCCTGGCTCTGCACCCCATGCGCTACGCTCGCATGCTGGCGGACAAGATCTCGCAGCACAAGGCCAATGCCTGGCTTCTCAACACCGGCTGGGTTGGTGCTGGCGCCACCACCGGTGGCAAGCGCTGCCCGCTCAAGTACACCCGTGCCATCCTGGACGCCATCCACAACGGCTCGCTCAGCCAGGCCGAGTACGAGACCTACGATGTGTTCAACCTGCACGTTCCCACGAGCTGCCCCGGTGTTCCTGCCGAGCTTCTGAACCCCAAGAACAGCTGGACCGCGTCGACCAGCTTCAAGGACGAAGTCAACAAGCTGGCCAGACTGTTCAACGAGAACTTCTCCAAGTACGCTGACCAAGCGACCAAGGAGGTCATTGCGGCCGGTCCGGTGCCTCAGTAAATTTCTGATTCCCTTTTCCTTTTTCTTTGCTTCATGATATCTTGCATGGCGTGCTGCGTTCAAATATGGGTCATATGAATTTTCCGAGTTACCTACCACATGTGGCTTGCCCCGGCAGGCGGGGAAAATACCTTGGGAATTTCCTTGGGTTTTGGCTTTCTACTTGGTAGAAGTCAGTAAAGGCTAGAAATTGACAATGGATACATTCAAAAATATGCAGACCTTTGTAAGTTGTAGCTTGTATAGATTTAGATGTGTGGGTCACGGGATACGCAGTAGGCAGGGATTCCCCTTGGCTTGGAGCCTTGGACATGCCTGCCGACTCCACATGTGATCGTCGTTTAGCGTCGTCCTTCTTTCACCCGCGGGTCTTCCCTCCCCATCCATGCATGCAGTCCTTGCAACTCCGAAACCGTTGAATTGTCGTCAACCTCCAGTTTCAGACATGAAATCATACCCTCAAATGTCTGGGATTGAATTACTTCCAAGCATGCGAATAGACACCATCAGAAACCCATTTCAAGGTGAGACGCATCTGGTATGTCACCCACTCCTTGACATGCGCAGCACAAGCTCTTCTCGACACAGCCGCAATAATTGTAAAGCGTCATGCAAGGAGGTACAAAATGTCTCACGTCAACAGGAGACAGAAACAGGTCTCTCTACCTCGTATGACATGTCCTCTGAACTAACACCAAATAAAGTTTCTACTTGCATTGCGCAGGATACTGACGCGAATGCACTCTGTAGGTCTGCATCTCACGTTAATCTCCGATCGCACTTAACCGGGGCATTCAACGCGTGGCCTGCGCTTTTCAATGTCTAACATGCCTTTCGATCGAGAAACATGCTTCACGTCTAGTCTTCAATCAAGGGGTGGATACCAATGTTAATTTGGCAAACACTATTCGTCAATAGAGGCCCCTTCAGCCACTGCCCTTCACAAAGGGTTTGCTGCAGGACTACATTGAGGCCCGGCATCTCCTTTACCCCCTTGGTGCCAGCCTCCCTTCATAATGGCAAATCCACATATAAGCATATCTGAAGCCTACGCGTGATGTGCGCTCAGTTAAAGGCTCTGCATCTTGTTTCTTGGACCACGTTACCGCCATGACACAGGCGTGGTGAAGTTAAGAGCAACATGGACGAGCATCTAGCGGTTCCTCTTTCTGTCCTTTCCCGCATTCCGTTGGGTGTTGGGATTGTGATCCTCGCGGTAAGTTCATGGCTTGGATCGTGTTTTTGAGTATGGTAGCTGACGAGACTAGATCCTAGGTTATGTCATCTATCAAGTATATTTCCATCCATTAGCCAAATACCCGGGTCCATGGCTAGGAAAATTCACCGAGGCTGGGGCTGCGTATCATGCCGTCAAGGGGGACTTGCATCTGCACATTTGGTGGTGTCATCAGAAATATGGTATGCGTTCTGTATAGGCGGATAGGATTGCGCTGAGTGTCGTCAGGTCCCGTTATACGGTATACACCGAACTTGGTCATCTTCAACACGGAAAGTGGTTTGAAAGGTCAGTGGATACCAGAAGCCACTAGATTTATACTGACGACCGATAGATATCTACGTGCGGGGGAAAGACCTCCGCAAGGATGTCCACTATGGGGTGATCCAACTAGGCACGAAGAACCTTCTCACAGTGACAAGTCCTAAAGAACATGCAAAACGGAGTAAAATCATCGGACCAGGGTTTACAAGCACCGCCATGCGGGAATTCGAGCCAAAGCTCTTGTCCCATGTTCACAAGTTCCGCGACGCCCTCTATCCCTCGCAAACGGACACATCTCGCAGCTCATGGGGACCACCGATGGTCATGTCGGAGTGGTGCAGCTATTTCGCGTTCGACGTGATCACCGAACTAGTCTTTGGCAAGGCGTGCAATTTGCTCGGGAGCCAGCAGTTTCAATGTACGGTGTATGATATCTCAGGGATGATGAAGCGCTTGTCGCTGTTAATGTATGCGCCATATGTGTTTCTCGGTCGGCTGGACAAGAAGTTGTTCAAGGACGAGGTCCGCGGGATGAAGCGGTATCATCGACTGGTCAATAGCATGATGGCGGACGCGGCCAGTATGTCGGGGCATGTTCTGAGTCGGTTGACCAGCGCCCGTGATAGTGTCACCGGCCCGAGCTTCACTGACGCGGATGTGTATTCCGAGGCGGCAATGCTGGCCGTTGCTGGTATGTGACCTTAATCGTTGAGTGATCAGCACTAACATCCCTAGGATCCGATTCCACCTCCGTCAGTCTATGTGCGAGTCTCTTCTACCTCGCAACGTACCCTCACGTGTGTGCGAAACTGGCGCAAGAAATCAGAAGCGTCTTTCCAACGGCCGATGACATCCGCAGCGGCCCCCTGATGCAGCAATGCACATACCTTCAAGCCTGCATCAAGGAGACCCTGCGGATATCGCCAGCCGTGGCAGGATGCCCGTATCGTCGGGTCGAAAAAGGCGACACGCTCATTGTAGATGGCAATGTGATTCCGGCCGGGTGCAGTGTTGGGACAGGCATCTACAGCATCCATCACAACCCATTATATTTCCCCCAGCCGGACAAGTTCATCCCCGAGCGATGGCTATCGGAACAATCCGAAGCCGGGACAGGTCAACTCGACGTCAGTTCAGCCGCCTACGCGCCGTTCTCGCAAGGCTCACGAGCGTGCATTGGGCGACATCTGGCGCAGCTGGAGCTGCAGCTGGCGCTGGCGAGCATTGTGTGGAGCTACGACTTCCGGCGGCCAGATACGGCAGCCGGGGCGATGGGGGCAGGATACTCAGGGGCGGGAGTTGGGCGAACGAACCCGCAGGAGTTCCAACTGTACGATCACATCATTAGCCAGAAACGAGGGCCGGTCCTTCAGTTTCGGCCTCGCACGCGGTAGTGGGAGAGAACAGGGAGTAAGGGGCAGGCCAGGTCGGCTATTCCCCCCGGATACAAGGAGCAATATAGGCTACCAGCACCAATGCAGATGGGATACTCCGATATGTACGGATTCCAGCGAGAATCGGCTGTTAGGTCTGATCTAGGCCGCTCGCTTGTGGCAGGCCCACCGTCCCAGACATCCAGTAACCGGATCGTAGCCGGCCCCAGTAGCTAATCCAGGCCAAGACCAGTCACCACAGCGGCGATTACCTCTGCTGTAGCTCTTTACCGGTCAGTCGTACCCGAGGCCACCCCAGCCCGCTACCGCTACCGACACCCGCTCCGGGATCCCGAGATATACTGCCGCCCAGGGATGGTTGCCGTCCAAGTATCCGCTGCTTGAAGTTAAATCCACTGGATGGATCCCTCGCTTGTAGACTTGTAGCCCAGATAGACCCTGAGCCAACCCCTAGCTGTAATCCAATACACGAGTACGGAGTCAACTGTGGAACAATACGAGCATTGCATTGATGCCATCTACCTACCCAGGAAGCTAGGAGTCCAGTGCTCCGCTCCAACCCCCCTAGTCGATCCTCTTCTCTTGTCAGGGCCCCAGGAGTCGATAGGTTAGGACGGAGAAGGACTCCTCCGGCTGACGTAGAGCCGAAAATCGGAGGAATCGGGGGAAGGGAGATATGGATTCTTCGGGTATAACATTATTTGACATTTTTGCTCAATAATATTACATTTTGATGCTGTAGGATGTCTATAAGGCCTCTAGAACCTTTCCAATATTTGTCTTTGATACTTTTCTATATAGATATGTAATGAGTATTAAATAATGTAAGTATATGCTAGACGACCTGATGCCTCCGACGGAAGAATATTGATCAGCTCCCCTGGATCGACGAGCCGATCTGGAGAGAGGGGCGGCGTGGGTGACTGGTGGCGTATCAGCGGGCGTGCATAGTCAGCTTCTTAGCAGTGTTCTCCAGCTTTCGACATGACGCTAGTGGGCCGGCCGTTGGGTAGAGGCGGCGGACCTCGGGTATGGCTCGGGGCATGAGGTGCTTTTGGTGTTATGATGAGGGGGATGGATTGGATGGTGGTGGTGGTGGTGGTGGTGGGAGTAACCTCGGGAACCCGGGAGAGAGCGGCCAGTTTGATTGTCGTCTACTAACTATGTAGGAGAGGAGAGAGAAAAGACTAGGCAAGGATCTGGAATTGCCCGGGGGTGGGGCCCCGTATGGTTCGGTAACGCCCCGCCATGACGTTGTATCATGTATGTCTTTCTTCTACACATTACGGACAGTGTAATGAGAATAGCACAGTTACTGGGCTTATGGATCAAGATGATAGATGGTAAATGATAGATAGACAGACATGGATAGAAGAAGAAGAAGATAAGTAGAGCTGCACAACGACATCATCTCTCCAACTCAGCCAGACGTGGCATACCCCGCATTCCAGCTGGCGGCATCGTGCAGTAGCACTCTAGTAAGTAGATAGTACCTAAATGCTAGCAAACCCGCCAGCATCGATCGCTCGGGCCTTAATTCAGGTGGGGATTCCGAGATCGCAAAGTTGAACAAAACTGTTCCATGTCGCTGCTGTCATCTGCCCGGCAGGATGAACTATTAATACATCATCGATGCCGCGGATACTACCTTAGAATTAATCCAGAACTGCAGTACTATTCACAGCCCTCATTGCATCATCATCATCATCATCTGACACCAGTCTGGCTTCCTGCTCTTTCTCGTGCCTTTTCGTCTCCTCCGTGTTTCCCCTCTTTTTCCTACGGTGACCCCGAGCTGGATCCAGTGAATTGAATCCACGGTAAGTGTTAATCCAGACGGACCTGTTGGGTGCCTGAAACTCACGCGTCCTTGACAAGGCACCTGTTATATGGTTCTCCTCTCTTTCTCCTCTCGCTCATCCCCGTGTTTCTCCATCCCCGCCTTTCTTTCGTTTGATCTCCCTCCCCCGTGTCTCATTCCATCTCTCGTTTCCATCTCATTAACACTCGCTCTTGTCCTAGATCTGGTGTGAATCCTGCTTTCTCGTCAACATGGCGTCCCCCACTGCTGCCAAAGACGCCGAGCCCGCTGTCAACTTCTTGCACCACCCCTACACGCGTGCTGCACTGCCTTTCGTCAATGGTGGTCTCGCCGGCATGACCGCCACTGTGGCCATCCAGCCCATCGACATGATCAAGGTCCGTCTGCAGCTCGCCGGTGAAGGTGTCCGCACCGGTCCTCGTCCCTCTGCCATCGGCGTGGCCCGTGACATCATCGCCTCCGGCAAAGTCCTCGATCTGTACACTGGTCTCTCGGCTGGTCTACTCCGCCAGGCCGTCTACACCACCGCCCGTCTCGGATTCTTCGACACCTTCAGCAAGACCCTCAACAAGCGTGCCGAAGCCGCCAACCGCACCGTCACCTTTGCCGAACGCGCCGGCGCCGGTCTCTCCGCCGGTGGCATTGCCGCCATGATTGGCAACCCGGCTGATCTGGCGCTCGTGCGTATGCAGTCCGACGGTCTTAAGCCTGTGGAGGCGCGCGCCAATTACCGATCTGTTCTGGACGCCCTATTCCGCATTTCCAAGCATGAAGGTGTCGCGGCTCTGTGGGCGGGCGCTTTCCCCACCGTCATCCGTGCCATGGCGCTCAATGTGGGCCAGTTGACCTTCTTCGCTGAGTCCAAGGCCCAGCTCAAGGCGCATACTAGTCTGTCTGTGCAGAATCAGACCTTTGCCGCGTCGGCTATTGCGGGCTTCTTTGCTAGTTTCCTCTCCTTGCCATTCGACTTTGTCAAGACCCGCTTGCAGAAGCAGCAGAAGGATCCTAAGACCGGTCGGCTGCCGTATAAGGGCGTGTTGGACTGCGCGCGCAAGGTCGTCAAGGAAGAGGGCTGGTTGAGGTTCTACCGCGGATTCGGCACTTATTATGTGCGGATCGCTCCCCATGCGTTAGTGGCCCCACTTGTTTCTGCTACTAGTGTCTTTGCTAATGACCCCACACAGCATGGTGACTCTTATCGTCGCTGATTATCTCAACTTGATTACCAAGTAGACCATCACCCTCTTGAATTGAGCAGCGGTTGATTTAAGATTGACTGAATCTGTTGTGTACTCGTTGACTGATGATACGACCATTAACACTACGCCAGCTTAGCGTTGTTGATCACGCTAGATTCATCGCCGCATCGATTGCATCGATTGTATGGATCGCAACTGCCGGAACAGATGCGTTAATACCCTGATTGAATGAGGAGCCTGGTGTTATGTTTCTTGCGGTTGCTTCTTTGTATTTATTATACCCTGGGCTGCTTACAGTGTGGGGTTGAAGCGAATAATATGATTTCAGTCAGTATGCAGCGTAGCAGTAGTCAGTCTAGTCCGACATTTCTTCATCTTCGTCTTCCTCTTCCTCTTCCTCTTCCTCTTCGTCTTCGTCTCCCATCTCCTCTTCTTCTTCCCCTTCATCTTCATCGCCATCACCCTCACCCTCAACAGCATCATCACTCTCCACATCCACCACCTCCACATCCCCCACAGCAACCGACATCGCCCTCTCGCGTTTAATCCTCGCCACCGACATCCCCCGTTCCCTCTTAACCCGTATCATCTCCTCCCCATCATCCCCACCCGCTTCCTCATTCTCCTCATCATCACTCCCAAGCTCAATCTCCGTCCCCTCCCCCTCTTCCTCTTCCCACTTCCCCTCTTCCCACCATCCTCCCCACCATCCTCATCCTCATCCTCTTCATCCTCCTCCTCCCTCCTAACAGCCAACGCCCTCTTGAGCCTCCGCACCAAAACAGGATCACTCCTCAAATCAAACTCCGTCAAAAAAACCTCGCAAACAGGACACTTGACACTGCGGATCCGTCGTACCCGTCCCCCCCTTTCAGCGGCCCGGGGATCCGGCGCCGTGGATTTGCTTCGTGCGATCATGTCGGTTATGGCTTCGCGTTCGAAACTGTGTGGGCATTTGGTGCTGGTTACGGGGTCGGTGAAGGGGAGGAGCGTGAGAGGGCATTTTAGGGAGAGACGTTCGGTTTTGATTGCTATTTCGTCGGAGGAGTCTTCGGAGGGGTCTTCAGAGGCGGAGGCGGAGGTGGTGATTGTGGTGGTGGGGTTAGAGCGGTGGGAGGGACGGTGGGATGTAGAGGCGGTGGTGGATGGTCGTGCGGAAGTAGAAGAAGTAGAAGAAGGTTGTTGGTGTTGTTTTTCTAAGTGTGCGAACCAGGTCGATGGGTGTGGTGGAGGGGGGATATCTTCGCCGGTGTGTTTTGCTTCGTGGATGATACGGTAGAATCCGATGTAGGCGTTGTTGGTGGAGTACCTACCATCGGTACCTCGTTAGCATGCCCATATATACCTGATAAACACAACAAGATAAAGAAAGAGAGAGAGAGAGAGAAAAATATACCGTTCCGTAAGCGACAACCCAGCCCATCCACCCTCCTTCTCCTCCACCCCAGACTCAAACTGCACGAGCAAGGGTTCCTGCCCCTCCTCTTCATCCTCATCCCCCTCCTCCCCCTCCCCCTCCCCATGACCATGAGCATGAGCAGCAGCCCTCGTCCTCCGTTTACTCCTCCTCTGCATCAACCCCACCACCCCCTCTCCATCTCCCCCAACACCTTCCCCAACCCCTCAAACCGTACCTCAGCATCAATACTCCCTCGCATAGTTTCCTCCAGCTGCGTAGTCGTCTCACCAACTGCTTTTTCAAACGCAGATATACCCTCATTACCATTAGCTTCCCCCTCGTTATCATCCCCTTCCCCACCACTTCCATCCTCATTCTCATCTTCATTATGGTTCTCTCCAGACCCAGGCCCCCGAGCAAGTTTCCTCCTCCTCTCCCTCGCCCTCCGCCCCCGTTCTCTCGCATCCGTCAACCGCTCATTGATCTCCCCCGCCGCATCGGTGAGTCTCTCCTGTGCGTGCTGGAGATGCGTCTTCAGGGAGGACGATGTATGGGTTGTTTGGATTGCCACGAGGGCTGGGTGCGCGCCGGGTTGGGCGGTTAGGTGGGTGAGGCTGCAGGTTGGGGGTTCGTAGGGCGGGAGAGGCGGGGTGCCGCCTCTGTCTCTGTCTCGGCCTCGGGGGGTTGATCGAGGAGGGGGCTGGCTTTGGCGGGTTTTGGGGGTGCGGGGGGCATTTTGCTGTATTTTTCTCTTTGGTTGGGGTGGTGGTGGTGGTGGAGGTTGGTTGGTTTGGGTTGGTTATTTGTTGGACAGGAATGGAGATATTGATGGGTGGAGGAAATGGAAAAGTGGAGAAAAGGAGAGAGGAAAGAGGGGAAGGGCTAGAGGCAAAGAGGGAGTCTCTTTGTCTGGAATCTGGATGGAATTGGTGGAGATAAAGAATAGGAAGGATAAAGACGAGACGCGACGCGATGCGATGCGCGGCGCTAGGCTGGTTTGGGGATGGTGGGACGTTATCTTATCGATATCGATAACTACTCTGTATAGTCTGGATGAATCTCTAAACATATTGGCTATCATATTATGGCTATTACTGCTATCCTCAGGTCACTCATGTTAATCCGTTTATCCTGCATTCCTGTCATGTCATATCCCTGGTCATCCGGCATCTTGCATTTTGTCATCCTGGTTACTGGTATCCTATCTACACCTTATAGAAGCAAAATGCATGGTAGAAACCTATATTGTTAGCACAATACCCAACAACAACCGGGGGAAAGAACTTACTGACTGCCTCCTGCTCCTCCGGAGTCATCGCCAACTCGCCCGTATGACGATCACGTACCCCCATCCGCTCGCTCAACGGCCCCAGCTCCACATCATCCTTCTCGTCCCGCCACACCTCCAAGAACGGCTTGCGGTACTGCAGCTCCAAGTTGTACTCCTCCGTCAATCTACTCCATTAGCACATCTCCATCAAGCCCTAGGCAATGTACTCACGCGCGAAACGCCTCCCATGGCACCACATATTCCGGAACCTCTCCTACTGCCTCCTCCATAAAGTAGCTGTACTTCCACCCAAATGGCGGCCGAAACACGCCATCCTCTGGTGTCTCACCCGGAAACCGCACGCGATATATCGAGTTCCCCCATTCTACCTTCGCTTCTTCTTCCACCTCACCGTCCTCCGGCTCCGGCTCCTCTTTCTTCGTCGCCTCACGGTCCTTGCGCTTGGTATTGACCTCGGCCACCCGCGCACTGATCACATCTGAGTTCGGACACACACCGAGGAATCGACCGCCCTTCCGTAGACACCCTGCCACGTTGCGCAGCATCTGTCGGGCCTTCTCCTCGCTCTCAAAGGCGTAGTGGATTGCAAACATGGACGTCACCACGTCGAACCCACCGCCGCCCCATCGCGAGCTCATCAAAGACCCTCCAGGACCGGCATTAGAGTCAATTCCCACCTGTTGAACAATGTCAACATCCCCCAGCCACTCTCCAAAGCAATCCTTGGCCCGGAACTCTCCATGGAACAAAGGAGGACCCCGACGGCCTCTTGGGCCTCGACCCGAGCGCATTCCCGCGTACCGCTCACGCGCCTGGATGACCGACACCTCCGCTGGATCAAGTCCCACGTAAAGATCCACCGGCTGCGGCGCCAGCTGCCATTTGCCCAGATCACCTCCCTTGCCGCATCCCAGGTCAATCACCAGCAGCCGCCTCTCCTCCATCGGCGGGGGCCCAGTGCCATCAGCCCAGTCCTTAGTGCCAATCGATCGCGTAACAAACTCCTCATCCGGCGAAAACTTCTGGATCAAGGTACTCTTAACCCAGTTATTGAAGCTGCGCAAACCCTTGATCTTACTCTCCGTCTTGCGCCACTCCCGGCCACGCTGCGGGACTGCGTTGTAATGCTGTCGAACAATATCCGTCATCCCCCGGCTCTGCGAGTTTCGAATAGCGTCCTCTTCCTGTGCGCGCTCCCGCTGCTCCTGTCTCCGTCGTAGCGTCTCTCGATCCACCAGACCCCGTCGAGCACCACCGCCCGGTCTCTTGCGCTGACGCCCCTGAGATTCCGGGGAAGGTGATCGAGGAGGCAGATCCGGCGACGGAGAACGGGCTTGCGGCGCGGGTCGACTAGAGCCTTCATCGCCGTCTCGTCGCGAATAAGCTGACGGGGGAGCCTGGCCGCGTTTCCGGTTCTTCTGGTGTCGTTCTTCGAGACGCTTGCGCTTCGAGATGGGCCGGTCAGTCGTATACGAGGATTCCGCGGGCTCCTCATCGAGCTTGCGTTTGTGGTCGGCCGCATTGTCGTACGCTCCATGATCGCCTTCGGATTCGGCGTAGGCGGAGCCAGAGCGGTAGTAGTCACCCATGTTGGACGAAACGGAAGTCTTGTGTTTGTGTGTTGGTTGAGATGGAAACGGGGGTTGTGTCGGGGTCGGAGCGGGCGGAGAATGGGACAGGGACGGGTCGGGGAGGGAGGGGGCGGTGGTCAGGGAATGAGGATTGGTTGAAGTCACAGTAGATTCATTCAACTGCCAGATCTCAGAGCAGTCAGTCAGGGCCGGATCCTGATGGGATGAATGAGGACAGAAATTTCGCGGAGAGACGCGCAGAAGTACTGCCGGGATCACCGCCTAGCGCCACTGGGAAGCTATTCGACTCCACTTCGTCTCCAGTCGGCGTCCAACTCTGGGCCTTCGGGGCATTTGGGGCCACTTACCTGACATGTCTCCATCGAAGTCAACAAAGGTGGATCAGGACGAGCCGGTGGTGGCTGTTCCTCCCATCGGTCCCGCGCGGGGTCGTACATGCTGATGCTGCCTCGCTTGCCTGCGCGCGGTTGCTCCTCGGCCATGATGAAGTGCGACGAGGGGAGACCTCGCCATGACAGGGATGCGATGCAGATAAAAAGCAGCTGGAAGTCCCCATTCCAAGACGGTCTGAATCGGCATTGGCCGAAGTTCCTTGGTTGGAGCCGGCATTAACCGTGTTTCCCCTGGCCGCATCCGGACATGTTGAATGTTGGATGGACGGCGGCGGGCTTACATGTCTGCACAACAAGGCTACCCGGTGTTACAAGGCTGCATTACCCCTCTATCTATCTCTTCGTGAAAATCAAATGATACCGTGGCATATGCGTTGTGAAACAGTCCTGTGGCCCTGTCCCTCCCAGTGAGCCCAGCGATTCCTTTCCTTCTCCAGGTGGAAACTCGATCTCGAAATGCCTCACAATCGTGGAAACCAACAGTCGCATCTCCATCATGGCAAATGGCCGCCCCACACAGGAGTAGGTGCCTGTTGAAAATGGAATCATCGCCTCTTTTCGAATCACCAGCTCGGGATGGCTGGACCACCTCTCTGGGATGAATTCGTCGGGCTCGCCAAAGTTGCGCGGGTCTGGGATGTCAGCTGTTTGTCTTTCAGTGGAACATAGCTCTCACCTCGTTGAATGGTGTAGGTCGGCACCGACACAAGCGTATATGGAGGGATGTAGACGCCCGCGGTTGTTAGGCCTTCCGGACCGGTCTCTCGCTGCAACCCGCTCAGGACGGCGGGATAAAGACGCAGGCTCTCGTTGATGCAGCCCTCCAGATACGGCTTCCCGATCAACGCACCGTGCGATAGCTCCTCATCCGCTGAAACGGCCGAGTCGATCTCCTCGCGCAGCCGCTGCAGCTTGTCCGGGTGTCGTGCCAGGAGATAGAGCAGAGTGTTGAGGGTGCTGGCAGTAGTATCGCTGCCCGCGCCAATGGCGAGCTCCGTGTCGCGGACGAGGTCCCCATCGGTGCCTGTGGTGTCCTCGATGAGATAGCTGAAGAGGTCCCGACGGTCAAGTTCCGCCTGAGTCTGTTAGCCATGGCGCACATTGCACCCGTGAGGAACGAGCATACACTTCTCCTCTTCCTATCCTCCACCTCCTGTGCACACCACTCCAACCATTGAACCGTCACACGTCTCACGCCAACCATATTCCGCAGGAGTATAATCGTCCAGGGGGCCCACACCAAACCCGCACCCCCTCGACCCATACTCTTCATCCTCCTCATCATCTTCGACAGCGAACCATGCAACACATTAAATGACTTACTAAAGGCCAGAATGCCCATCGAGTCGAACGTAACCCCATCAATCAACTCGGTCACCTCCTGCCTCTGCGACCCTTTGGACTCAATAAGCCTGACCAGGTCTCTACAATGCTCCAAAATATACGGCTCATAGCCCGCCAACGCTAAACACATCAGCCCACACAACTCAATCCACGAAACAACAAACGAGCACAAACCTCTCGAACTAAACCCCCGATCCCACACCCGTCTCCTCCTCGAATGATACCCCTTATCCCTCACCATCTGCAACGACCGATGCGGATACTGTAAATCGTAAAACGGCCCTTTCACACACGTTGTCCCAACCCCATATATATCCCTAATAGCAGTCGGATCATTAATCGAAATCTCACGCGGCTCTGCAACCATCAGCCAACTAATCAGAACACTCCCCTTTCCCCCACCACCCAAGAACCATGAAAAAGGAAAAAAAAGAAGAAACATACTAATCCTCACAACATCCCCATAAACCGCATGCAACTCCCTCACTTTGACATACCACCTCGCCTGCACAACAGCCGGCCAAACCGCCCAAAGAGCAGATATCCTCGCCATCCTCGGCCCAGGAAACCCACCCACCGCATGAAAGAAATACCGATACACCGCTATCGACAAGAAAAGCCCGCTTTCGTAGCTCACAAACACCATCCAGCCCGATCGCGCCGCATCTCTATACCCGAGTACAGCTAGGGAAATTAGGCCCAGCACCGGCCAAAAAAAGAAACAGTTTGCGACAAGCACAGCATGTTTCTCGATATCGGCGTGGATGAAGTATCCGAGGTGGGTTGAGATACCTAGGATGAGGGAGATGAGGGGAATGGCAACTGGTGGGTTGGACATGGTAGGGTAGGATGGGGATGGGGAGTTAGATTGTAGGTGGTGTTGAATGCAAGTATCCCTTATTGTTCAGTTATTTGATTTCAGTAAATATCGTGTGGGAATCTTTGTCTGTCTGTCTGTGTCTGTCTAGGGGATGGGACGGGACCTGACTGTGTCATTGCATGTAATTTGGCTTGTGGGGAAGGGAGGAAGGGGCTAGGGGAGGTGGAAGATACACTGGAGATCGAGCATAGCACACTGGAAATTGGCTTGTGATACCCGCTCGTAGTAAGGGAAAGATTGCACGACATTCTGCCTAGACAATCATACTTATGAAAGATTGATTGGTTGCAGGTTGTGGTCGTAGATAATCTCCGGGGAATTGCTCCGAACAATGTCAGGTGGAAATGGTTAGCGGAGTAGCATTACTCCAGATTGTTGCAACATGATATGTTCGGACTATGTTTGTGGCTTTATTTGAGCCGATGATAGGGCTGATGCAGCCTACAGGCTCTATTTGGTCCCTGCTCGTCTTGAGGTATGGATTCAACAGATCATGGCCAGCGATTGATTGAAGAAACAAAAAGACGTATAGATGTTTACATATACTCATTTCGATCTAATCGTGTATGCGTATTAACACAATTACACAGAACCATACCCAAAAGCAGTGATATCCACTCGATATATCAATCCAAGCTGAAGGAAGCATAAGCCCAGGAAACTATGCCTGCTGGCTCTTCAGATTCATCTTCTCGTTTCGCCCCCAGATAGCTAACCAGTCTTGGACCGAAGCACTCGCGGATTTGAGCTCCGTAAAGCAGGCTTTGCGCACCCTCTCGCTCTGAATCACGGCGAGCGCGTTGCGAATATTGCGCGGTGAGCTGCTCTCTAGTGCACTCGCTACCCAGTGGCCTTCGGGGGCCTCCAGGGCAAGGATAATCGGATAGGACAGCTCCTGGTTGCGCAGGTCTTCAGCCAGCGCGCCTTTAGCCTTGGCGTATTCGGACGAGTAGACATTCTTGCAGTCATTCTGGAGCTGGGAGCACCATCTATTCTAATCAGCTTTCGTACTCGGGTACTTTGGAGTAGGACTGTATACGCAACAGTCGTCATCGTCTCATCCATCGACTTGTTCTCCATCACCAACTGGCCTAGCAACCGGAAGAGAGCTCCGGTTTTCAACGACGCCATCTTGCGATACGCCGCAACTCGTTCCTCCGGATTGGTGGAGAGGCTGCTCAGTCCATCTCGTCGCCAGATCAGGGACAGATCTTGACCCTCGAGGATCTCTTCCAGGTTCTGCAGTAGGAATGGAGCCAGGTTTGGGAACCGCTGAACCGTTTCATTGAGAATCTGCGTTACTCGATAGTAGGCGCGGTTTGCCGTCTCCGATGGACCGTATATCCGATGGGCGGCTGGGTTTCCCTTTCGAAAGTCGCTGTTGTCGGTGATCTAATCAATGTTAAGATGTGTCTTCAGTGTCTCAGAGCATGCGTACATCATCGACCAACATTAAACACAGATGAATAGCATCCATGATTTCCAGTACCATTTTATACTTGGCTGGGTCCTCATCCTTGAGCCTCGGGGAGAGCTTCTGCACGAATGGTTCCCAGTGGTATTTGCCGTAGATCTGCCGGATGTAGGCGTATGGACATTCAAAGGACGTCACTGTTTCTGGTTTCTTCTTGCCTATCAAAAAGACCTTCTTAGATGTCGGCCACAGTGGGGCCATTCGATCCAGGACATAAAAGACCAGAGGAACAATGCCTATGGTTACCACCAAGGGAACAGACATGGAGGCAACTTCTGGAAGTGCCGTCATGGTTCGGATCTTCCTGGTGAAACGAAGGTGCAAGGGTAACGACGGCTAACGGATGACGGTGCAGATATTCCCACAGAGTACGAAGGGGCGCTCTATATATGTATGCCATGGACACGGCACCCCGCATCAATGGTCCACGTCTCGCCTCTTTAGGCAATGCTGTAGCTTTCGACATGTTACACTATCCCATCTCTTCAGTGCGCTTGAGCCCGCGAGCGATTCCGTTGCCTGACTCTGTTCCAGGTGGCAGGCAGCCTGTGAAGTATGGCGACATGCGTCTAGCAACACAGCAGACGTGAATACGACCCTCGAGTGCTCGGAAAATTCCCTGGCTGCCTTACAGGTAGCTGGAGGACATGAGAATAGCACACTTGTGAAACGCAAGTATTGATGGTGGTGGTGTCCTACCTGAATTGAACACAGACCATAAATTGGCAAAGAGGGACCCTTATTGCACAATTCCGGCATATCAAGTCCCTGCGCTGGTATCGCGGTCAGGGACCGGCAACGGCAACCCACGATACCTATATAAACGGCCTCAGATCTGGACGGGAGCAGTATTGTCCAGGCCTCGTTGTCGCCACCACCTCATCAAGCTATATTCTCTCCCATCCTCGCTTCAATGGATGGCTTCGATCATTTTAATGCTCCTCTGGAGTATCAGGAGATGAAATGGCTCGTCAACATCTTCATCATCGGTATGGATGTCGGCTGGCTTGTCCACTATCTGTACATGGCCTATACATCATTCAAAGACCAGACATACTGCATGACAATCGCGGGCCTTTGTGCTAATTTTGCCTGGGAGCTTGTATATTGCATATTGTACCCAGCCAAAGGTCTTGTCGAGCGCGCAGTTATCCTGTCGGGTCTGTTCCTCGATTTTGGGGTATTCTACACGGCAATGAGGAATGCCCCAAATGAATGGCATCACTCCGCAATAGTGAGGGATAATATGGTTCTTGTTTTCACTGCAATGACGCTCTTCTTTTTGAGTATGCATTTGACCTTGGTGGCCCAGTTTGGATCTGCACAAGCGTACACGTGGGGGGCCGCTGTATGTCAACTCATCATCAGCATAGGGGATGTGTTTCAATTGCTGAGCCGGGGAAACACGCGTGGAACTTCGTGGACGTTGTGGTGAGTGATAGTTGGTTCTACCTGTGCAATCAGCTGTGTGCTAAGGCCTCCGCCAGGATATCCAGGTTCTTCGGGTCAGCATCAGCTGTTGGCTTTGCACTTATTCGTTACTATCGTTGGCCAGCGGCATTTTCCTGGTTGAACTGCCCGCTTATTCTATGGACTGCAACCATGTTCCTGCTCTTTGAGATTTTGTATGGGGCTCTATTCTTTCTTGTGAAGCGACGCGAAGAGGATTTCCAGCAGCATAAGAAACAGAAACAGAGATAGACGCATTCTCTGCAGAGAAGGTATGCGCCATATAATCTGCATTAGGCTGGTATGATATGCATAAGATATCATCACCAGCAGTTGGAGGTCTGGAATGACTCGAAGGTATAGGAGCAAGTAACATAGTACTACTACCTTGATAAAACTGGCGGAGAAAATTTATATTGTGTCACCTTTTGTAGTATTCACCGTGATACAGGGAGTTTCTGCTTCGTGCTGCACGGCCTGGGTCAGGTAGATATGGTCATCTGAACTAGACGCATTGAGTACACCTTCTTCAGATCTAGAGCAGTCTCTTTACCCTTTGCAGATGGATGCCCATGTTTATTCACCTCCCTTCTCCTGCTTATGATTGCACAAGTAGATGATGGCGTGATGGCCAGTCCCCGTGGTAACACATGAGAAACTAGTCAAGCACAATGTGCCACAGGGGTAGAGGCCAGTAATTCAGATTGAACGACTGGATGGCACCTCTCCTGGCTGTTCTGTGAGTGGGTCGTTCGAGACGATTTACTGAAGCTGACAGGAACGCCGGAAGCTCTGCTTCTTTTCAGCATCGCCCTCACTTCGCCCATTCCATTTTGATAAACCTAACTTCAATCCCTTTTCCAAAATAGCCCACATCCTAAACTGAAGAGGCACAGAACATGGCCAACTCTCAACAACCCCCCTTCCGCGTCATCATCGTCGGCGGCTCCATCGCAGGCCTCACCCTCGCACACTGTCTCGAACGCGCAAACATCGAGTACCTCATCCTGGAAAAAGGCGATGACATTGCCCCACAGCTCGGTGCCTCGATAGGAATTATGCCGAATGGCGGCCGGATCCTGGAGCAACTGGGTTTGTTTGAGGAGATCGAGCGTGTGACTGAGCCATTGTATCAGGCGAATATCATTTACCCGGATGGGTATAACTTCAGTAGTTTGTATCCGAAGGTTGTGAGTGATAGGTATGTTCCTCCCATTTTTAATTCTTCTTCTAGCACTTTCAAGGGGGAACGGATGGTGTTGTGGCTAACGTTCCAGGTTCGGATATCCGATGGCGTTCCTGGATCGACAGCGATTCCTGCAGATTGTGTATGAGAGACTTCGGGCGAAGCAGAACGTTTTGACGGGAAAGAGGGTGGTCGGGGTACAACGGCAGGAGCATGGTGTTGCTGTTGTTGCCGCTGATGGATCGATGTATGAGGGTGACCTGGTGGTTGGTGCTGACGGATTGCATAGTCGGGTGAGGCGTGAGATATGGAGGGTAGCGGAGAGTCAGCCTGGGGCTGTTGGGAAGTGTGAGAAGACGCGTATGACTTTTCCTTCGGTTCCAGGGTTATTGGGGAAGCTGATTGTGGCCAGACATGACGGTTGAATATGCCTGCGTATTCGGGATCTCCTCGGCCATCCCAGGGCTTGAGATAAGCGAACAGATCAACGGGATATTTGACCATTTGACCGTGCTGACAATCCATGGCAGACATGGACGGGTATTCTGGTTTGTGATCCAAAAGCTGAATAGAAAGTACGTCTATCCTGATGTCCCGCGATTTTCGGACAAGGACGCCGTACAGCTTCTCAGTCGGCTCAAGGGCGTGCGGTTCTGGAAGGATATATGCGTGGGCGATCTGTGGAAGAATCGAGAAGTGTTCTCTATGACGGCGCTGGAGGAGGGATTGTTCGAGACATGGCATCGTGAGAGGATGGTACTGGCGGGCGATAGTGTTCACAAGGTGCTTCACTCGAATATAATGTTGGAATATTGAGCTGATTTGCATACAGATGACACCTAACTTTGGCCAGGGTGCCAATTGCGCCTTTGAAGATGCCGCAACGCTCTCCTCACTTCTGCACAATCTTGTCAACGTGCGTGGAGTCTGCAAGCCATCGAACGCCCAGATCGAGCATCTCCTTCAGCATTACCGGCAGACCCGATATACTCGCATGGTAGGCATGTGTCGCGCCGCGGCTTCGGTTTCCCGCGTTCAGGCCCGAGACGGCTTCTTCAACATCGTCTTTGGGCGATACTGGGCTCCGTATGTGGGCAACTTACCAGCTGACATGGCATCAAAAGTTATTGCGGATGCGGAGATTGTTACGTTTCTGCCTTTGCCTGCGCGCTCGGGGCGGGGTTGGGAGGTGAATGCGCGGAAAGGAAAGAACGCAGTGCAGGTAGGATGGTCGGTTCTGTTTTTTGCACTGTTTGCCGTTGGGTGGTGTTGCATTTGGCTTCCAAAACCTAGTTTTACGCTTGGTAGATAGTGACGTTCATCCTCTGGCCTCTCACGTTGGTCGGAAATGATTTTAAATATTTGTTGATCAACAGCAGGTAGCATAGACTTTCTGGGTTGTAAAGAATAAAAACCAAGGATATGAACAGGATAAGATATCTATGAAAAATGCCATGAACGCCACGCTGAACGAATAGACCAGATAATGCGGAGAGTGTATCGGATGCAGAAGATGTAGAAATGACTAGACAATCACTTGGAAGCTAGCTTCTTTCTAGGTGAGTTGACATTTAGGACTTGTCTCATCCGGCGGAGCTTGGCCCACCATTCTCGATCGCTGGCCTTTTTGGCCTCTGGGTTGACATCATCTACCACCGGCTCATCCGCGGATGGCACCTCAGAGACCGACCGACTGACGGAAGCAGTCGATCGAATCAATCGACGATGGCGCACATCAAGTGCCTGGCCTAACAGCTCCCAACCACAACGCAAACCTTCTGGCTTCTCAGTGGCCCGACCTATGCCGCTTTGAGCCTTTCCGTTCACCCAAGGACAGTACTCCATGTGTTCGTTAATGACGTCCAGTGAGTCGTAAAGCGCTGCGTCCCCGTTGCTCTTTGGCTTGTACATCCAAAGGCCCAGTCGTCGAAAGCACACGCTGCAGCCGGCCAGACCAGCTGTTCCGTCCGGGACAGAATCCCAGCCGAAAAATGCCAGCATGAAAGCGGTTTTAGAAAAGGATGGCTCGGGCTCGGAAGCGATCTGTACGCTATTTCTAGTCCCATCGACATCCTCGGGAGTGGGCGTCTCGACGCTCTCCGTGTGCGGTCCCTCTTCTGACCCTTTAAATTCCGCTGGAAGTATTCTGACAAGGGTTTCTATATCGAACGACTCGGGCGCTTGGATGACTCCTTGGGCCGGCAATTGGTCAGCCATCTTGGCGAGATTCGAGTAGCGGTTTTGCAGGCCAGAGATTGCCACTACGGGGTTTGCTAGGGGCAACCGATGGATGGTAGCTTCAACAGTCAGCATGCAGGTTGTAACCCGAATAACGATGGCATACCGTCACAGCCCTTGTTCCTCCACGGGCAAGTCTCTCTATGTCCTTTGACCAGTAGCCCTGCGTACTCTTCCACGAGTTTGTCCCCTGGGTCTATTAGCACTGATGAAAGAATACGGGCCAGCTGCCAAACTCACGAACTTCCTTCCGCTCCTGCACCTTATCGCCATCGTATCCATCCAATTCATCCAGCTCGTCCGGAAGTTTCACAACAACCGAGCCACCGCAGCTCCCAACACATGATACCCGGGCCACATCCGTACATATCCAGCCGCGCTTGGCCCATTCCACCTCACTGATTGCAGATGGTTTCGGTGCCCATCGGTCGACGCGACGAAAGGTCTCCAACCGCTCTAGAAAGCGCTCGCGGTCCCATGGAACGAAGCTCGGTCGCGAGGCTGACGATACGGACGAATCTCTGGAGCTGGGGCGCGCAACTTTGAGTAGTGAGTTGCGCACAGTCGAGAAGTTGTTTGTGTCTAAACGGGCTTTCTTGTTCGATGGGTCTCGTGCTGATGACGCTTCGGGGGAGGCTGATCTGGAATCGGGGGTTGAAGATTTGGTCAGAGATTCAAGGACTCGGTGGAATTTTCGCTTTTTCGTTTCGACTGCGTATGACATTTTCTGGTACGGGAGAAGTGTTGGAATGTGTTGAGTAGTTGACTGCGTCGGAGTGAGTCTGGTTCTTGGGACTCTGGGAGGTCCTGGAGCTGGGGCGCTAGGCCGGATTGGGTAGCTATCTTGTTACTGCCTCAGGCATGACACATATATCTATGCCCGAAGCCATGAACCAACTAACACAGCTGATATGTGGACGAATGCTGCTTGTGGGTCATTAGCCCCTTGGGTACTACCTCTTGTGATGAATGTTTTTTTTGTCAATTAGGTGGGTCTTCATCCATGATCTTCGATAGGAAAATACTCGACTCCACAGTTACAGGTCAATATTATGACAGGATTTAGTCTGCTCATTGCGACTTCTACTAAATGAGATGGCTAACTTAATGGCTCCGGAAGTAACTCAAATGGCTTTGTCGTGCTACTACTCGAGGCAGGTAGATATCATCAAGCTTTCAGTCTATTGTTGGATCCTATGATGATTCACTCCCCTTCCACTATTATATAAGTAGTGAACGCGTTCTCCCCCTTGGGTCCTCACTCATCCTCTTCTTTTTTGTTGTCCCAGCGGTGATGTTCACTACGTCGCAATTCCCCGGCCTTATCTACTTGTCTGAACCTTCCCCCCGTCTTCCTCGTACATGATCAGTCAAGGAGTAACATTCTACTGGATTATGAACACTCGGCTAATTGCGCGATAGAGAGGCATGAACCAAATAGTTAAGTTATCTAGGATGTCTATCTGAATAATTGTATCTCTTTGGAGAATCCTCTTACCAGACAGTGTGACTCATAAAGTGTGACAATTTGTCTGAGCAGACTTGTGGCTGCATATGCAGGATATTCGAGTGATCATTGTTCATGTTCTTATTGTCCATTACTTCAGTTCTTGTGTATATCACATATTCCCGGCCCTCAATATGAAAGAACTAAATTCAGGCTAATCTTCAGGGGGAGAATGTATACCTGGGCATCCACGTCGTCCGAGTCACTGAGCTCGAGCACCAGCATCGCTACGATTCGTCAGCCGTCCAGTTAGCCCTAATCCCATCTTAGCTAAACCCCCCAAACAGCGGACTATAAAAGCGAGGTCATCCTTCCTCCAAGTTATTCCTCCCAGAAGCTCTGTATCCTCGCTCCTTATCCTCTTTTACAAGCTTGTATCCGTCCATCTTCATCATAAATCACTACTCACCGCTACCGTGATCCTCCCGCCCCGCACAATGGCATCCCCAACCATCTATCTCATCACTGGCGCCAACAAAGGTAACCACCTCGCCATCCCTTCCAAACTCTTCCACCTTTCATATAATATCCCCCCCTAACCGCCGCAGGAATTGGCCTCGCTCTGACCCAAACCCTCCTCTTCCGCCCCAACACCACAGTCATCGCAACCGTCCGCAACCCCGCCACGGCCGCCCTCCACACTCTCCCCACCTCCCCCTCCTCATCCCTCATCATCCTCGCCCTCGACGTTCAATCCCCCACCGACACCACGGATGCCATCCACACCCTCAAAACCACCCACAGTATCACACACATTGACACCGTGATCGCCAACGCAGGCTACTACAACGACGCCGAGTACCGCATCGACAACGTGCCCCTATCCAACGTGCAGTTGCACTTTGACGTCAACACGCTTGGTGTGATCCGTCTCTTCCAGGGCGTTTACGGGCTGCTCAGGAACAGTTTCAAGCCGATGTTCATCACTGTGAGTAGCTTCCTGGGAAGTATTGGGGGACTCAGTATGGAATATTTCCCGGGGGGTGCGTATGGATTGAGTAAGGCGGGTGTGAATTGGGCGACGAGGAAGATGCATATTGAGAACGAGGGAATGGTTTGTTTTAGCGTGCATCCGGGGTAAGCTTCTTCTCAATCCGCCCCTCCTTTTGTTCTTTTTTCCTTGTATTGATGCTAATGATGTGGGATAGGTTTGTGAAGACTTACATGGGGGATGCGTGTGCGAAGAGTCTTGGGTTAGAGCAGGCGTTCACAGAGCCCCAGGATTGTGCGGATTCTTTGATTAAGCTGGTAGGTTTTATTCTGGTCCTGGATGATGTTCGTGTTGTGACCACGTGCTAATAATCTTTGCTTAGTTTGATGGCGCCACGAGGGAGACTGTTGGAGGCCGATTTGTCAACTACAAGGGCGAGGAGGTACCCTTCTGATGCAGTAGACATGTGTTTAGAGTCGTTAGCTTGTAGCTAGTTGTATTTTGAGGCTGTTTAGATCTAGTTTATGATATATAAGCATACAACCGAGTAACCTCCGATCTACATTCAACATCGTCCACATAAGAAATAGACATCTTCGGCCAGCAATCTCTATAGAATGATGCTCCTCCCCAAATTTCTATTAATACTGTGACATCCCTGTGGTCTTGCCTATTCTCAATGCCTCGCTTAATTCCACACTCGGGATCCAACACTTGCTCCCCCTTCGACCTCCCCTGGCTAACGACAATAAAGGTCATTCCCTATAAGACCCTAGAGCCTCAAGCGCTAGAGCGTCTTGTACCAGATCACGCTGCGCCAGAGCCTTTCCAAACAATCTAATCCCCAGAAACCTTTCAATCATCTCCATGCACATATGTAGCCACCTTACAATAGGAGGCTGTTGTACCCAGCAGCTATCTATTCACCAGCAGCACTCACCAGCTCTACCTCTTCAATAATAACAATCTTAGATGCATTTGAAATACAAACACGCTCCAATCCAAAGAACAAGCCACACATAACGCAACAATCAGCCCACAATATCACACCGCTGATACCAACCAAGCATAACAGATTATGCTCTTCCTTCGGACCGTCCCCAATCCGTATGCATCCACCAGTCTCTACACCAGCCAAATATCTCCGACATCTACCTAAACTCCGTCTCCTCTCCGGAGATAAGAAATAATATCCGAATCCCTTCGAACAACCCCCAAACGAAGTATATAACCATCCAACTGTCCAACACCACCACCTCCCCCAATCCCAAACCAGAACAAACCCCCAAAGCCACCCAAGAACAAACAATCTCAATATGCCCCCCCTAATCTTCCTAACCGGCGGCAGCGGCTACATCGGCACCGCGATCACCACCCACGCCCTATCCCAAGGCTACGCCGTGCACAGCCTATCACGCACCCCCACCAGCGACACCAAAATCCTCTCTCTCGGCGCGACCCCCATCCGAGGAGACCTCACCTGCCTGCCCACCCTCCGCGAACAAGCCCAGCAAGCAGATATAGTCATGCACCTCGCGGACCCCATGTCCACCAACTACAACATGCCGTACGAGGAACGAATCCGGATCGACGACGCGGCGGTCTCCGCCCTCGGGGACGGGCTAGAAGGGAGTAACAAGCCGCTTGTCGTGACGTCCGGGTCGATGGTTGTTGCCGCCACGGGAGCGGAAACAGACGAGACGAGTGCGTTATGGGAGAAGCCGTTGAATGAGCGGATTGTGTCGGAGAGGAATAACCTGCGACTTTGTGAAAGGGGAGTGAGGGTTTCGGCGGTGCGGTTGGCGCCGTTTGTGTATGGACGGGGTGGGAGTGGGGTGGCGTTGTTTATGAGGATGTTTAAGGGGGTGGGGGAGGTGAAGGTTATTCGGGAGGGGGAGGGGGTGAGTACTTCTGCGGTGCATGTGGAGGATGCGGCGAGGTTGTTTTTGCTTGCGGCGGAGAAGGCGCGGGCTGGGGAGGTGTTTAATGGGTGTTCGGAGTGGGGGGTTACGTTTGGGGAGTTGGGGAGGGCCATGGCGGAGGTTATGGGCGTTGGGGTTGGGTATGTCTCGCTTGAGGAGGCGGTGGGGACTTGGGGGGAGTTCTTTGCGAGGTTTTTGAGTACGGAGAATAGGGCGTCGGGGGGGAAGGCGATGAGGGTGTTGGGGTGGAGGCCGGAGAGAGTGGGCATTTTGGAGGAGGTCAGGAAGGGGTCGTATGTTGACCTGGCGGAGAGTTTGAAGAAGGGTGAGTAGTGGTTTGGCTGTGGAGATGACTGGGAATTACTTTGTATAGGTATCGTACCCATGTACATAATGCGTTTTTATACAGGCTTTACAAGCAGTAGATGCTCACATCACGCCGGTATCGTTAACAATAATACCCTAGTTCAGCATTGAGCAATCTGGTCCTTGCGATAAGCAACTATCTGCACAGGAGCAATGAGTCCGTATTCTGCCTCATCCGGCGGCGACGCAACAGTCGCACTCGCAAGCTTCCCACTCGTCTCGAGCTTATCCCAGTATGTCCGCAGGCCATTCCCGAGCGGAGTGCTAACGACCACTTGAACATCATTCGGTCCACGTCGAAGCAGATGCCCGATATCCCACCTCGCCCAGAAGATTTCTCCCGGGGGCAACACTTGTCCATTGACTGTGACCCGCGCCGTGTGAGTAATGGGGCCAAGGTCGATTACCACGCCAAATACCGTGCCGTTGGCAGTTTGGGGAGGCCAGCTGAACGTTGTTGAGTAATACCCCAGTCCGGAGACGTTGGCTAAAGACGAAGAGATCTGGTTCCAGGGCAAAAGAGTTGGAAGCTCAAAGGTGTAGTTCGTGCGCGTGGGCCCCGCCTCAACGTTGTAGAGATCCGAGGGCGACGTCCATGACTCAACTATCAGCGTCCAGTTGCTGAGAGTAAAGGCGGGCGTTAGCATCGGGGCTAGCGTTGCAGCCTTTCCGCTTGAAAGCTGAATGGAACGTGTCTCTGAATCGAAGGATCTATAAACAGTGAGGGACGTCGTGTTCCCGGTGACCCAGAGGACCCCATCTGTAGTATTCAGGGCATGAAGACTTGGTTGTGTGTTCTTATGAAAGCCAATGATGATAGACTGGTTACCAGCCAGCTGGAGTGGGATTGTAGTACGCATCTCGGACTGCTGATAGAAAGACAAGGCAGTCACGTCTCCCGACCAGGCATCGTACAGGAAAGGCGTCCCAGTTGTCTCGAAAGATATGCTTCCTACAGAAAAGCCACCACCATACGGCACGCCAGTTGCATCATTGTATATGTAGACGTAGTCCTCAAGTGTGGTGGTGTCATGCCGCCAGAAGGTGTACCATGTGCGGTTTGCGCTCACCGAAGTCCGCGGTAGAATGTCGAGCGAACGGAGGGTCGTTGCCAGATTTCTGTATGAGACAACATGAATATCATCCAAGGATGTCAGGTTAGTCAGTGCCTTAGTAGCTAATTGCGCAGCTTCTGGATTGTAGCCGCTAAAATTCGAAGGTAGTCCACCAGAGAAGATAATTGGGAGCCCAGCATGAGCGTATTCAACAAGTTTTGCAACCCCGGCTGCTGTCAAAGTCTCATTCGCTCGGACCACGAGGGCCTTGAAGGCTTGCTGATTCGGCGCGAAGGTGCCATTTGAAACGTAAGCCCCAGGCAGTATAAAGTTGTCTGGGCTGAAGTATTCATATGTATAGCCTAGGTGACTGATTAGTACGATAGCAAACGTTAGCTCAGAAGTCAGGCTCGTTACCTGCACTCTGTAGATCAACGGGGATGTACGCAGTTGGAACTGATTTGTATGAGGTTGATTTAGACCAAAACGCAAGGTCCACCTTTGGAATGCCTGTCTGTCCGACAAATTGGTTCCGAGAGAGCTAATCAAGAAAGTCCTGATAGAAGGCAAATGCCGGTTGACGAGGACCATGCATGTCGGAAAACACATACGCAAAGGTCGTAAAACCAGGCCATGTCGTGTTCCCATAGTTGCCTGAGTTCGGATACCCATGAAGCACGAACTGATTGACTGAGCCGGCTAGGGCACGCTTCAGGGTCCATAGGAGCTCCGGTATAGGCTCCTGATATACTTTTGACATTTCTGCGCCAGCCTCGTTGGATATGACGCGTTTGCCAGCGAGGTGTGCAGGACCAGCAAATTGTCTGTAGCTGTCGATGTTGTTGCTGAAACCTAGTGTCTCGCACTCGGGACCGTTGACGTAAGGAATATTGGCGAGCATGTCCATCGGTAGGTTGTACACGACCTGGGCGGAGAACTGAATGCCAAGCTCATTACTCCATTGTGTCAAAGATGTGAGGTACTCCGCATTCAATTCCGTGAGCTATATGAGTCAGTATCTGACATGTCTATTATAATAGAATGGCAGCATACGAACAGTTTGTTGATAGTCCACAGTATGACTGGCACCTGCATCGGCCTCATCGGTAACGTAGGTAATATTTGGGGATGATCCACCGCCGGAACCGACTAAGATGGGGATGAACTTGTTGATGCTATAGCCTCGATTGGATAGGAACACCTCCTGTAGTCGCGGAGTCCACCAGGTGGAGACGCTGTATTCCTGGCTGTCTTCCCACATGTAGTTCCCAACCTCACGGAGAAGTGCGCCTATTTCACTGTCCAGTAACGACTGCTTCCAGAGGTCCACAGCTACTAGGGCGCCCTTGGAAGAAAAATGATCGATGACCCATGATCCATTCTGCGAGTACGTCGTGACCGGTGATTGGGGGACCGCGGCCTCAACGTCGGCAGGACTCTGGACCTCGCGGTATTCCGAGTGGACAAGATAATAAGCAAAAACAAGATGCTCGAATCGTTCTGTTGTATCATTGGGCTCGATTGTAAGATGTCCACTAGAGCCAATGAGATATGTAACGTCAAGCAGAGAGCTCTTCGCCAGCACTTTATAAGTTTCATTGCTGGAAGCAGTCGAGCTGATGCGAGCTGTAACGGCTGCAATGAGGGGACCTGCACCCCACCCCGGGAGAGTGTCATCAAAGCCTTGATCAGTAGAAAAGGTTGTGTTAAAACCAGCGAGATCCCACAAAAGGCCGTCGTCATTGTATGGAGCCGGGACACCGGCGCCTTGGTTGGGTCCGATTGCAAAGTCGACGAGTAAGCCATCCTCCTTTGCTGCTGTCAGAACCGTTTCAACTAAGTTTTCTATTTGACAAGTGAGTACGTTGGTTCATCTAAATAGATTATGGTACGACAGGCAAAACTCACTCCATGCAGGACTGCCATAACCGAATACAGTCCAGTCCGACTGTAACGGCGATGCTAATTGTCCACCAAAAGTCGAAGAATCTCCATAGAGGTAATAGCCTAGTAGCTCGAGCCCTCCTGCCCCGGCTTTACTAATGGCTTTTACATCCTCTGCCACCACGCTAAGGTTCACCGACGCATCATTCACCCAGTAGCGGAAGCGTGGTCTCACACTGGATGAGGGGTTCTGGAAAGTGCCGTAATCGATGTCCGGTTCGACATGATCATTGGTACCAATGCCACGCACATTTGTAGTAAAGAGAGCTGCTGCTATCAAGAAAGAGAGGAGGTACATTGCTGTTGCAATTCATTTATGCTCGGCCCCCGTGAAGTATTTCTCCGCCCTTCAGCGTTTCACCCAATTTATAACCCATGATTTCTCCATCCGCTCCCGAGATCGTCTTATTGGTGAGGGGTCAATGCGCTCGGCCCAATACTCTACCGAGATGATCGAAGGCAGATTGAAGCTTAGTGATCATGACCAACTTGTGTATGCATAGTGTTCACGAGGTAATCGGAATGAAGTAGACGGCTTCAACGATGTTGAGGTGAGCAGCTGAGGTACGCTCCAGCCTTGCCGTCCCATCAGCGGGGAAGTTAAATCGGTAAAACTTCTGCCGAGCTTTATGCTCACTTGATGTGCACGCCAAGTGGAAGAATCTTCAGCAGGAGGCTATGGCATACTCTAGAATCCGACACCCTGTTTTCGGCCCCACCAGTGCGGGGCCCCAAATCCCCGGAGATGGCCCCGACGGGACAGACCTTGAAGAATACTACGGGTGCGGGTGAGAGGCAAATGATCAAGGAATGAAGCTGATGCAAGCCACCATCTTCGAGGAAAGAACCATCGACAAATTCCCAACGCCATAGTTGATACCTCGAATAATGATCACTGCACCCTCGATGCGTGGAAGCCTGTAGCGGTATGTTATGGAGTTCCATTTCACTAAATGGCTTCCATGTTCTGAGAGGAAGGGCTAGATATTCCTTAGTGGTGTGTAGAAATGATCGATTTCAAGACTTCACTTTAAGCAGAGCGGATGATCGTGAGCTGTAACAGAACTGGATCGATACTGCGGTTTGATAAGTGTGAAGAAGTAACGAAAGACTCCCATTGGCTATTTGGGTCAGATGTGGCATGATAAGGCTTTGATGTCCTGATAGTATGTGATCATAATCACAGAGATGGTTTAGAAGATGCAAGGATTTGGACAGCTGAGTATCAACGGAGTAGATGGTGTTGGTTGGAGGATACCTAGATTAAGGTGGGTCAGGCTAATCACATGACTTCGCTTTTGAACCATATTTAGTTCCAGTGGACAACAGAGCCCCCAACCTAGATACTACTACAGAGTAGATAGACGAATGGCTACAAGGTCAACCTTCCAGCAACCAGTTAGGATATATTGACCCACCATATGACGAAAATGTCGATCAAATGGTTGCATTTGGGGTCGCTTGTCTAATAACGTAGGACGACAGGGTCAAACGCAGAGTACATCAGGCAGAGCTGATACGATCGAATGTCATCGAACCTGGCTATAGCGGTAGCTACGCTAAGGAAGGGCAAATGGAAGTTTGATTCATGATCGTAGTCTTGAGCCTCTTGCTGATCACCAAAGCTTTTGTTCAGATACAGCCTACAGGTGCTCTTGACTAGAGTCAGGTTGTACTGTAAATACACGTCCTATACACCATGTACGGCGCGCTACTTTATTTCTTCAGAATCATTACTGCCAATCGACGTAGGGCTGGTCTTTTCAGGGTCTTAAAGATGTGACTCAGCAAGAAATTCAGCCTGAGGCAGAGGCAGGTGCAAGCAGGTGAATGATCAATGATGACTTTTGTTTGTATGGGCTGATCGATCGCCAACAAATTGGGGAGCTCTGATTGGCCGTCGCTCTCTCGGCCCTCGGGGTTCCGACCGCGTTCTTTGCGACTGTCATCCGGAAATCCTATCCTGGAAAGCCTCCATCGGCTTCATTCTTCCTATCATCCGCCAGCATGGCATCCCTAGGGCCTTCCGTGCCCTTAATCCGGAGCTTTGCTCCTCGGCTGTCGAGGGAGCTCTTCACCTGCCGCCAATGTTTGATCCGGACCCAGAACCACGCCGCTAAGTCCGCCTTCCGCAGACAATTCTCCGCCCTCCCCTTCACTCAGAACGCCAACGGCAGAGCCAGTTCTGCCCTGCAGGCGAGGGCTAGAAAGCTTTTCGCATCTAGCCTGAGAAGAACCGTTTCGGGCTCGGCAGCTCCGGAAACAACTGCTGCCCAGGAAGGAGCTGCAAAGGCCAAATCTAGCTTTCCGGATGTGAGCGACAAGAAAGTGGCCTACTGGCTGCTGGCCAGTGCGGCCAGTGTGTTTGGTATTGTGGTTTTTGGCGGCCTTACCAGGTTAACTGAGTCAGGGTAGGATCTCTCTACCACGTGCCGAAAGCCAATGCTAACTAGAGCGTGCGCAGTCTGAGTATCACCGAATGGCGCCCCGTCACCGGATCCCTCCCCCCGATGAACGCTGAAGACTGGGAATCGGAATTCTCGAAGTACCGTGCCTCGCCCGAATTCCAGCTCTTGAACCCGCATATGACCCTCTCCGAATTCAAGTCGATTTACTACATGGAATGGATCCACCGTCTCTGGGGCCGCTTCGTCGGCCTGTCGTTCGTGCTTCCGGCCGCATACTTTGTCGCAGCAAAGAAGGTTAGCAAACCAATGGCTCTGCGCCTCGGTGGTATTGCAGGCTTGATTGGGTTCCAAGGTTTCATCGGATGGTGGATGGTCAAGTCCGGCTTGAAGGATGACCTCTTCGCTCCCGGTAGCCACCCTCGCGTGAGTCAGTACCGTCTGACGGCGCATCTGGGTGCTGCCTTCGTCTGTTATACCGCCATGCTCTGGAACGGTCTTGCCATTCTGCGCTCCCACCGCCTTTTCGCCGACCCAGAAGCTGGAATCAAGCTTCTGGACTCTCTCCGTGATCCCAAGCTCAAGATCTTCCGTCGTTCCGTTGCTGGATTGGCTGCTCTGGTTTTTGTGACTGCCATGTCAGGTGCTCTGGTTGCTGGGTTGGATGCTGGTCTCATCTATAATGAGTTCCCATTCATGGGTAATGGCCTGGCACCCCCCAAGTCGGAACTCTTCGATGAACGCTACTCCCGTCACGAGGATCGATCGGACTTGTGGTGGAGAAACATGCTCGAAAACCCCTCATTGGTGCAGCTGGATCACCGGACTTTGGCAATGACGACTTTCACGAGCATCATGGCTCTCTTGGCTTACACGCGCGGATCTCCCACGATGAAACGCCTCTTGCCCCGGGCTGCAAAGAAGGGTGTCCACGGAGTGGTTGCTTTCGCCTGCGTGCAGGTTGGTCTGGGTATCTCGACGCTTCTTTACCTTGTTCCCACGCCTCTTGCCTCTGCCCACCAGGCGGGCAGTCTTTTCCTCCTCACCTGGGTGCTTGTCCTGGGAAGCCGTGTCTGGCATCCGTCTAGGACTGCCAAGCTGCTTCAAATGGCGGCCAAGGCTCAGGGACAGGCTGTTTCCGGCACAGCTGCCCACGCTCCCCGGAGGCTCTAAGGGCCAACGCTGAGGATATGACGAACAGGCAAGAGTCCATAACTACATTCTGTATGTATTATACTGCCACGGCGTGGCCCTGCATGTCTCTAAATCTCTACTTCACGCACCTGTACAATATGAACGCAAGTCTCATTGGCTTCAGTCTGTCTCTTTTACTCAAAAACATCATTATCACAGTCTGGGTACAGTCTGGGGGTACGAGGCAACTGGTGTTGCAGATGAAAATCTTGTTCCTTTAACCCGGCAAGTCTTCCTCTCTTCCACATCCCTTTGCACAGCAGATTTATCCGTGTCACATTCTGCCGATCCATCTCTCGGTATGTTATCTTAAACTTTTCTCAAAGGTATCGGAAGTTTTGTTCGTTGGGTGTCTGATTTACCATGACCATTTCCGGCCGGGGCGAGTGCATCTTGACTGATTGAGATGAGCGCTTCTGCACCATTAAGGACACTGCCAGACTCACTGGACTGGTCGGAGGAATCTCTCCTGTTGCCGACTGCCGGGCTGGAGGTATCATCCGGCACAGCGGCGCTGTCGACAACTGCTGCTGCTGGAGTTCCTTTGCGTCTCATGAGACGCCTGGGCTTGGCCTTGGTTGTCATCTGGGATTGTGCCTCTGGCTTTGGCTGTGGCTTTGGCTGTGGCTTTGGCTGTGGCTTTGGCTGTGGCTTTGGCTGTGGCTTTGGCTCTGACTTAGGCTCAGAGCTTGCCTCTGGGGTTGGCTCTGGGGTTGGCTCTGGGGTTGGCTCTGGTTTTGGGTTTGGCTCTGGCTCTGGTTCTCGCTGCTCAGCTTCTGCGGCGGTATCAGTGTCCACGTTGTCTAGCTGCTTGTCCGCTTTATTGGAGGAGAAATGCAGCTGGCCTTGGTCAACATGGGATCGACCGGAACCCCTTGTCAGCGTGCATTGGGCGCATTCCTGATACGCACAGGGCCTGCAGCGCCATACGTCTTGGGCATCTTGTTTGTGGCATGCATCGCATTTGTTCGTCGGGCGCTTCATCTTGTAGAATTCCACCTCCTTGGCGGGCCTCTTCCGTGACCGCTTGGCTACTCTCCCCGATATGGCTCTGGTGTGAGTCGGGGAATTGGTGGCCGGGGGATTGGTGGCAGGGCGACGCGGTCCTGGACTGCCCACGGTGGAGACAGGAGTCAACGGGCCTCGGAAAAACCCACGGACGCCCACGGGCGAGTTATATCCGACGAACACGGCGCTCGGTCGTGGGGACACAACCGGGCTCTGCCTTTGATAGCCGACAAACACGAGTTCCCCGCGCTGCCTAAATCCTTGGCCCGGGCCCTCCGGGTTAACCGGGAAAGACATGAGCTCCCCTGGTTGTCTGTATACCACCCTTGATGGGGATACTGACATCATCACTGGATTGTTGTTGGGGAAGGGATAATGTCCCTGAGGGTAGACACTCATGCCCTGTAGCCGTGCGCTCTCGGCCATCATGACAGACCTAGCTGCAGGACTGTTGAACGGACTATTCGGGGGTTGGGGAAAGGGATAGTGTGGCGAGTAAACCCCCATCCTCGCCCCCGCCCAAGGCCCCAAGGCGTCATGCGGGCTGTACGGCTCTGGGGTCGGATTGTAGCTGAAGGGAGACGTATACGGCGACGACGGCGGCGCATTTGGATTCTGCTGTGGAGTTGACATGCTGTCTGGCTGGACAGGTTGTTAGCAAGCACACTCGGTGACAGTACTGACATGACACAACATTAGCAGGATACTCAACGCTGTCAAGCAACACCGTACCCTGCTTGATATCGAAGCGTCTTGCCCGATCTTTCCCTTTATCTAAACTAACAAGCGACTTGAAACAAGAGCACCAACCGTTCCAAGCAAACGAAGTCCTCAAATCGACCAAGACAGAAGTAAGAATCAAACAGTAAGACTGAAAAGGGTTCACACAGCCACCTGAAGCAAAACCACCAGCCAAACGGCATGCATCCGCCACCCCTTTATATCCTAACCATGGCCCATTTATTCCTCTATTCCCTTCACGCTTCCTCCCGACAATTTGTTGAAACCTTCCCATTTCCCCACGGCTTTTCACGACTCTTCTCGTCGAAACACTGGAATCTACCGCCTCGTGATCTAGTCCATTCGCCATTAAATCTTCCGAAAAGGCTTGTCGTCCAGCTACCTACGGCATATCTCTTTTTATAGAACCATGTTCGAGAACTCAATGTAACATTAATAGACCAGGAGATCCCTGGTTGGTGAGTAGATAGGGTTAGCTACCATTGTGGCGGTGCGATGATTGCTACTGTTACATTGACGAATAGGAGTATATCAGTGTCTTGAAGATTGTTTCATATATCTTCACCTCTTAAGTGAATTGGTTTCTGGGTGCTGCCTACCATTCGATCATTCAGGATTAGACGAGGGTCACGTGGAGCGTTAGGATCCTGCGATGAGACGGCGCGAGGCTGAGATCTTAGCGGTCTCCACTCCAGCTGATCTTTGATTTGGAGCTTGGCTTAGCTTGTATAGTGGAGCTGGAGGCTGCAGTCATGAAAGAGTGAAAAAGGAAACATTTACTGGGATCAGAAAAAGTGACTGATAGTGGTTTCGGGTGATACTGTGAGTTTTCATACAGTCGACATCTTATATCTCTGACTCGTCGACAGAAGATGATGGTCAAGCAAACAACCCGCTTAAGAAATACTCCGTCCTTACCAGGCCGTGGGGCGAGGCTGAAGGCACTCAGCTGGAAACACCCAACGAGTCAACGACATCCACAAAAGCAAGCATCCTAGCCGACATGCAAACTCTACAGTATCCACCTCAATTAGCGCTGACATCCTATGAACACGTATAAGATCTATCTGTCAGTCACTACTCACCTAGGTCTCTATTCCATACTCCATACCATCATCCTCCACAATCCCATCCACCTATCGACCTACCTCCCTCCCTCTTCCCCCCAACACTCACCACCAACCACCATGTCCCCCCTAAACTACAACCCCACCAACCTCAAAAACAAAACCATCCTAATCACAGGCGGCGCCTCCGGCTTCGGCGCCGCCTTTTCCACGCGGTGGGCCTCCGCCGGCGCGCAGATAATCATCGGCGACATCAACCCATCCGGCGCGGAAATCGTCGCCCAAATCCGCACCGAAACCTCCAACCCCAACATCCACTTCATCCACCTAGACGTGACATCCTGGACCTCGCAAGTGAATTTCTTCCGCCAAGCAGTGCAACTCAGCCCGCACGGGGGAATCGACGCCGTGGTCGCCAACGCCGGCATCAACAACGCAGCCGAGTCCCGATTCTTCGAATCCCCTACTATCGATTACCTGAGCGATCCGAACCCCCCGCCTCCAAGCCTCAAGACAGTCGACGTCAATCTCACAGGCGTGCTATACACAACGCACTTAGCTCAATGGTTTCTTCCGCGGAATCCGGGGTCGAGTAATCTCTCCAATGAATCAACTGAAACAGATGAGAGTGGACGAGACCGCCATCTCCTTCTCATGGGCTCGATCGCGAGTCTCCATGCCCTCGCTTCGCAAGTCCCCTATACTATCACTAAACATGCCGTGTTGGGTCTGTTCCGGTGTTTGCGTATCATGGCGCCCGAGACGACAGGTATCAGAGTCAATATTGTTTGTCCGTATTATACGGATATCGGGTTGATGAGTGGTCCTGCTCGTGCGATCTTGGCTGGGGTTCCGATTGGGAAACCTGAGGATGTGGTTGAGGCGGCGACTTATCTTATGGCGAATCAGAAGTGTAGTGGACGGTCGTTGGCTACGGGGCCGAAGTTGAAGTTGGATCTTCCCGAGGGGGGGTATCTGAAGAGGGGGGAGGTTGGAAAGTATACGGTGGAAGAAGGGGGGGATAAGGAGGAACAGGGGGTTTGGGAGTTAGAGTTGCATGATGCGGAGACGACGGATGTGTTTACGGATCGGATGTTGAAGATGGTGAAGACGGTGGTTGCAGCGAAGGGGTGGATTGGTTGGGGGAAGGGCATGGTGGAGGCGTTGCTTTGGCCGGTGACCAAGTATTGGACGAAATAGATTCCTGTCTAGGAATTGGGATGTATGATGATATGAGGAGTAGATTGGATATTGGGATTAGAATAAACTGGATGGATGTAAGATTGTGGAGAAAATAATGGCAATGAATATACTATATGGGAATCTAGACTCAAAGGTTCGGCACAAGGCGAGTGGACACTGCACAAAAGGTTGGGATCTCCAGCTCACTCCTGTTGTGCTTCTCAGTCTTCTCTTGAGTATAGTTGCATGTCCCCGTTAACTTCATGCATTGCGAACTACAGCACCAGCCGTGTCTACTTCATGTGTCCCCGCTGTCATCATCTATTTATCATTTTATGCATTTCTTCATTGCCGAATACCATGCTACTAGTCATCAAAAAACTATCATCTAGAATCGCTTCGTCACGTTTATTTGTGGGCTGCAATCCGTCAGTCACCGCATCCACAACTGCAATCAAGTTACTTACCAATGCCCTCCTCGGGCTGGGGCTCAATGCCAACCACCTCGGCGGCGGTCTTGGTCTCCGCTGCCGTCTTGTCCTCCTTCATGAAGGGGAAGGCCAGCACCTCCTTGATACTGTAGTTATCGGTCAGGAACATGACCAACCGGTCAATACCCATACCCCAACCACCGGTGGGTGGCAGACCGTACTCCAAGCTGGTACAGAAGTTCTCGTCGATGAGCTGGGCCTCGTCGTCACCCTGGTCCTTCTGGCGAGCCTGCTCCTCGAAACGCAGGCGCTGGTCGAAGGGATCGTTCAACTCGGTGTACGCGTTGACAATCTCCTTCTTGCAGACAAAGGCCTCGAAACGCTCGCAGAGACCGACGTTCTGGCGGTGGTACTTGGCCAGAGGGGACATCATCTGGGGGTGGCCCGTGATGAAGGTGGGGTTGACGCAGGTCTCCTCGATGAACTCGCCGACCAGCTTGTCGAGCATACGGGCGTTGGTCATCGGGGGAGAGCACTCAACACCGGTCTTCTTGAGCACGCGCTTGAGGAACTCGTTGGTCTCGGGGGTGTGGAGCTGGTCACCCGGAGGGAAGGTCTCGCCAGTGGCCTCCTCGAGGGCGGGGATCATCTCCACGCGGCGCCAGGGGGCCTTCCAGTTGACGTTGTAGGTCTCGCCGGTCTGAGTGTGGAAGGTGGTCTCGTAGCCACCGGTGATGTGCTTAACAAGGCCGGAAACGAGGTCCTCGGTCAGGTTCATGACATCGTAGACATCGGCGTAGGCCCAGTACATCTCGCAGGTAGTGAACTCGGGGTTGTGGGTGAGGTCAATGCCCTCGTTACGGAACTGACGACCCAGCTCGTACACACGCTCGAGACCTCCGACGATCAGCATCTTCAGGTACAGCTCGGGGGCAATACGCATGAACAGGTTCATGTCGAGTTCATTGTGGTGGGTGACGAAGGGCTTGGCGGTGGCACCACCAGCGATAGCGTTCATCATGGGGGTCTCCACCTCGATGAAGTCGCGGTTGTCGAAGTAGTTGCGGATGTAGGTGACGATCTTGGAGCGGGTGACGAAGACATTGCGGGACTTGTCGTTCATGATCAAGTCCAGGTAACGCTGGCGGAAACGCTGCTCCTTGTCCTGCAGACCGAAGTGCTCGGACGGGATGGCGTGCAAGCAGGGAGAGAGCAGGACCACCTCGGTGGCGAAGATGGAAAGCTCACCATCGGCACGGTTCTTGGGGCTGGTACGGCCGGGGAAACCGACGATACCGACAATGTCACCACGGCGGAGGTGCTCGTGCTGGTCCTCGAAGGGCACGCTGCCGGTGGAGTGCTGAGCCTGGCACACGACCTGCACCTTGGCGCCCTCCGCACGGATATCGTAGAAGATCAGCTTGGCACCGGAAGCACGCTTGGTGTAGATACGGCCGGCGATGCGGACGGGGACGTCGGTCTTCTGCTCGCCCTTGGCGAGACCCTCATGTTCCTTGAGGAACTTACGCAGGTCATCGGTGACCTGGAACTTGTGGGGGTAGGGATCGGGCTGCTTGGTCTCGCGCAGCTTGTTGATGCGCTTGCTGCGGATCTCGAAGTATTGCTACAGGGCAGGAAGGAATCGGAATGGTTAGCATGTCTGCGACAGGGGGGGCTTCGCGGACAGCGCACAAAGGCCCGCACTATGACAATGGGATTCGACTCACGTTGGGGGTGAGGTTGGCCTCGTCATCCTCGGCGGAGGTCTTCTTAGCGGGCTTGGGAGGAGCGGCGGCCTCCTTCTCCTTCTTCTTGGCCTCCTTCTCACGGTTCTTCTGGCGTCTCTTCAACTCGGACTTGGAGACCTTCTCTCCGGTGACCTCGTCGAGGATGAGGTTGGCCATGGAGGCCTCAGCCTCCTTGACAGCGTTATCGGCCATGATGATGAGACTGAATGCGGGGTATTGCTGTCTCAGTCACCTTCGGTAAGGGAGGGTTATGAAAGGAAAAAGAGGGGAAGGGACAAGACGATGACTCACGAGATGGTGGGTTGAAGTCGGAGGAAAGAGAGATTTTTGGGCGGGAGCCACTGCGGGAGATGCTCATTGGGCACGGCGAGGGGCAGCTCCCCACGTCCATTCCTTAAGTAATCGCCGTCATTTCATACCACCAAATCCCACCCACCCCAACCTACCGGACGCTGTACAAATGCCCCAGTTCTATTCAAAGGATCTCGGATACAGCTTGTCATCGCCCGATTGGACCTATCTCCCATCCATTCTTCATTAGATACATGCGGCCAAACACAATCCAAGCCTATCGCAACCAGGGCTTAGGGCTTAGGGCACCCAAGTGGGGTTCTACCCCGCCTCGCCCTCGATGCTTGCGGCCAACCCATTAACATTCATGGTTCAATAGTCATCAACAATCCCTGAGTCCGTCCTTGTGTACCAATTGGCCTCGTACTTGCACTTGCTCATAAATTTAACTCATCTGTACCGCCACGCATCACGTGCAGGAATCTCCTCACTCAGTGCTGTCCATGTGGGAATAACCAGTCCACTCCTCAATGGGCTGGGACTTGATTCTCACATTGTCCAATGGATCTTCCTCATCGTCCTCCTTCTTCGCTAGATTCAACCACTCCTGCGCCTTACTTATCTTCTCCTTCTCCTTGAGAAAATACAGCCGGCGCCTCTGGCGCTCTGGGTCTTCCTCCATGAGCTCGAGGCAACGTTCCAATGCTGGCCGAGTATACGTTAATATTTACCCTCCTGTCTGTGTCATGACCGTAGACTTACCATTTTTATCAAAGATGTTGAGCTCTCTCTCGACCTCTTTGATTAGCTCGTCGCGGCATTTGGCGAACAATTTCGTATGCACGCTCTGACAAATGGAATCAACAAATCGAGAGCTCGCCAGGTCGTAGTAGCCTCGGGTTGTCTAGCACATACAGTCAGTCAATGTAGTATTTATCTTAGTATGAAAGCAACTCCACCGCCATCATTGCGACCTCTTGGGCAAACTGATCCCGGCCTAGATCTGCCTCTGTGAGCTTCCTTATCTCGGCTTCCCTTCGAGCGTCTCCCTTGGGATATTTTCCCTGACAGTCTAGATAACAACCAGCGCGGGAAATCCAACGCCGTTCATGTATGTATTGACGAGCAGTCTTCGTGGCTTGCTCCAAGGCCGCAAAGTCCATTGTGAACGGTTTGTTATGCTCGATGTTGAAGTTCTCCTGAGCATGTTCGAAATGATCGCGTCGCAGGGTATACAGATAGGCATCGATGATTCGCTTGAGTTCACGATAAAGACCCGTCTGGTGATATTGGGAAAATACCTCATCAATCTGCTTAAGCACCATCTCCCTCATAAGACGGTGGGTGGCAACCAGGAATACCGAAAGTGGTTCGGACCAGTGCTTCACACTCATCTGGTTCATGATTTCGATGGCCTTCGGATCCGTCAGGTCGGGAAGCCCAGCACGATAGGATTCCTCGTTGATTTCGCGAATTTGTTCCCAGGTAAATTTCAGGGCCGATCCAGTGAACTTGTCGAAGTGGTTTGTCGAGTAGCCTCTATTCTTGTTGGCCGTTGGCGGGACCGGCTTCGCTTCAAGGCCATTATCACCCGGCGACTTGCGTTTCACAGGCGTTGGGGCTGATGTCATTTCACAATCGGAGTCGCCTCCCTCACCAACCTGCTCGTTCGGAAATGTCCATCTATCACAGGCAGACAGCAATTCCACCGTCGGCCGCGTTATGATCAGCGACCTTTTAAAATCCATGGCAATATGCCCCCAAAGCTTCTGCAGAGGGTATCTTGCAGACCCACCCTCGATATTAGCGCGTATTTGCTCCTTGAACTGGTTTAACTTTCCACAGATAATATAAGGAACATTGGCAGAAGGCGGGTCTGGGAGGGATCGCAGCTCCGCATCGATTCGGTCAGCTTTCCCATTGATTTGTTTGATAATCTGCGGTAAGCAGCCCTGAATCTGCTCTAGAAGGAGCGCAGAGAGTTCGGTTTGCAATCGTCGAGTTCCGAACTTATCCTGATAAAGAGCCAACTCAGTCGCCCAAGGGTACTCGGCAAAGAACTTATCCTCCTCTTCCCGGGCTACTGAGTGCTCGATCGATGGGTCGGGATTATTCCGAACAACGTAGTAACCGTGTCCAAGCGAGAACTTGTCCCTTTCTAGGATCTCAACCCACTGGGCATATGACTCGCCTGTCTGAATGCGGTCTGGTTTGGTCAAGACACCCATTGTCCTCGAGTTGGCTCCACTAACTTCTTGCATGATGCGCGCAGCACTCGAGTTGGTAGCATCGTTCGTCATCGGTAAAGTTAGAAGAACGATACATTGTTTCTGCGCAATGTAATACTTGACAAGGTTCTCCACGAGGTTAACGAGATATCGCTCATCTTCTTGTTCTGCGTGACTGATAACCCCGGGCAAATCATAGAATGACAGGTTGGGAAAGCTCGGCGCTGCAATGTCAAGTCGCACAACGTTTGGTGAGAATTTCACCTGGCAATAGGTATGATCCGTATCACTGTTTTGTCCTGGAATGTATTCGGCAGATGGTCTTGAAGGATTGAGAATTGCGAGCTGGGCCCATTTTATCGCTTCTTCGACCTGATCTTTATCTTGCAGTGTAGTGAACGGCTCATCTTCTTGTTGCTGTTCGACCCAGGGGCCGAGAGACTTCTTCGAGATCTTGGTAATCTTTTTGTTCCCGTCATACATGTATTTCCGCGACAGAAAGACCTTACAAGTCCACGGCTGACCCGGTTCGCTTTCGGAAAGATTGATCTCCATTGGGCAGCGAGTACAGGTGCCCGCGCTTCGGGGAACTTTGATCTCGCTCATGCCTTCAATGAGAGAGCTCTTTCCAGCACTCTGGTCGCCAATAACACAGATCTTCGGGAGTGCGATCTGCTGATCTTCGATCCCTATATGGCGTAGATCCTGGATCTTTTTGACCAGCTCTTTCATATTATTGGCGATGAGATTTATCGAGTCAAACTCAGTTACTGGCATGTCCTCGGGGGTGTCTTGAGCGGTGGCTAAAGCAGGGGTGAGAGATGGTTGAGGTGTCTGGATCAGTAGAACTCACCCTCTGAAGAACTTCCTTGCTCAGACTTCACGTCATTCTGCTCAGCTTGTGGGGTTTGTCGTATTTCCAAGGTCATGGAAGACATCGTGAAATGCTAGGATGATGGACGATCGGTGGTTTGATGATAGAAGGTAAGATGTGACAGGGAAGGGAAGAGTGTTTTGGGAAGAAGTGAGAAACGGTTGAAGTGGGAAAAAAGACAACTTGAGCGAGTTGAGAGTGTTGCTTGGGACCTTACAGTGAATGCAGTTATCCCGCGACAACAGAGAAACCATGTTTGCAATTGCTGGTGTTAGGCAAGATTTTATATCCAGTGAATACCAGGGACAAAGGAAGCTAGGCAAGGAAAGGTAGCAGATGAGTAGAATTTAATGGCTGTTTCACTAGCATGACAGAGAGGTGTAAAGATGCCAGGCAAGCTGGGTGAGAGAGATACGACAGGTTGTACTAAAGAGAGGTCAAATTCCAACCTGCAGGTACCCCTCCAGGCAAAGTGCGATGAGTCCAAAGTGAGGGTGGAGTTAGTTGTATTCTCGACCTCAATTGGCGAGATTGGTTAGTGCCAAATGCAAGGACAGTCTGAAGTGTGTGATGTATCGATTGAGATGATTATACGCGAATCGATCTGTCTTCTCGTGTACCTCACTACCGAGTAGTGACTGGAATGAATTATTGCCTATATAGATAGGTAGTAGTAGTATGGGGTGGACAAAGAATGAAAGCGGTGGACGGAAACAGCCAGTTAGGGGCGGCGGGCGACCCCTCCCAGCCATGGAACCAACGGGGGAGTCTCCTGAACGGCAAGTGACACTCCCCTTGGCCTGATCCGGAGCGCTAAGGAGAGCTGGCGGTGGGCCTGGACAACAGTACTCTCTCCCCCTCCGCGCTGCCTTTGCTTCTTCTCTCTCGTTGCTTTTCGGACTTCTTACGGCTTTAATCATTCTTTCTGTGCTTGGACTCTGATCTCACTCACTCCTTCTCCCTATATACCCACTCCCCCTCTATACCCCCACCTTTCCAATGCTTCAAGTTCCAGTGCGGGAGCACACCAACGTGGCCTCCACCAAGGCCGTGATCTTGGTAGGTGGTGCAAGAGATCTCATTTTCTGGTTTGTCACTGACGGAGTCTCTCCTAGGTTGGTGGCCCGTCCAGGGGAACTCGCTTCAGGCCTCTGTCTCTAGATATGCCCAAGGTTAGTTGCCCCTCTTTGTCTAAGCTATCTCGCAAACCCCAAGCCCCCCGCGCGAAGCCCGAATTCGTCAAACCGCAAGCTTCGCCATGGCCACCCACTCACACTTTGAACCTCTGTCTAGCCCCTCTTCGAAGTCGCCGGCCACCCTATCATCCACCACTGCCTCAAGGCCCTCGCGAAGATCCCCGACATCCGAGAGGTCATTCTCGTCGGTTACTACGATGAAACCGTCTTCCGCGACTTCATTAAGGACTCCGCCAAGGAATTCCCCCAGTTCAAGATGCAATACCTGCGTGAATACACAGCTCTGGGCACCGCTGGCGGTCTCTACCACTTCCGTGATGCCATCTTGAAAGGAAAACCCGAGCGCATCTTCGTCCTGAACGCGGACGTCTGCTGCTCCTTCCCCCTCGGCGAGATGCTGAGATTGTTTGAAGAGAAGGATGCGGAGGCAGTTATCCTCGGAACAAGAGTCAGCAACGATACGGCTACCAACTTCGGCTGCATTGTCTCCGATTCCCATACTAGACGGGTGCTACACTATGTTGAAAAGCCCGAGTCGCACATCTCCAACCTCATTAACTGCGGTGTCTACCTCTTCGCCACCGAATGTATCTTCCCCTCCATCCGCAGCGCCATCAAGCGTCGCACCACCCGGCCGCGCCTGTTGTCCTACCCCTCGTCCGAGAACCTTGAGTCCTCCTTCATCGCAGCGGAGGATGAGGCTGAGAAGACCGAAGTTCTCCGTCTGGAACAGGATATTCTCTCCGACCTGGCCGACAGCAACCGCTTCTTCGTCCATGAGACGAAGGATTTCTGGCGCCAGATCAAGACAGCCGGTTCTGCAGTCCCCGCCAATGCTCTTTACCTCCAGAAGGCATTCCAAGCCCAATCTGATGAACTCACTCCCCCTTCTGCTGCCATCGTACCCCCCGTCTACATTCACCCCTCCGCAACGGTTGACCCGACTGCTAAGCTGGGCCCTAACGTCTCCATTGGACCCCGTGTAGTCGTGGGTGCGGGTGCTCGTATCAAGGACTCGATCGTGCTGGAAGACGCCGAGATCAAGCACGATGCGTGCGTGATGCATTCGATCATCGGCTGGAGCAGTCGCGTCGGCGCCTGGGCTCGTGTTGAGGGCACCCCGATCCCCGCGGCTAGCCACTCTACCAGCATTGTCAAGCACGGCATCAAAGTCCAGAGCATCACCATCCTGGGCAAGGAGTGTGCCGTGGGAGACGAGGTGCGGGTACAGAACTGTGTGTGCCTGCCATACAAGGAGCTGAAGCGCGTATGTACCCTGGTTCCCCGAGAATTCTTACCCAGACTATTCTGCAGACAAAAGCTAACAAATTCCAGGACGTTGCCAACGAAGTTATCATGTAAGATGAGCATCTGACGGTTTTGGATGTGATGGAATATTTGTTGTGATCATCCCTCTATCTCAGTTTACTGTTCTGGCTACTCGTTATTGATTGTCGAATTGCCAACCTATATGCTCTAGACCTAGCTTCTAGAACGGGACATGGATATATGAGTCATGCGCCCGTGGAAAATACCAAATAATATGCTAATATATCTTGCCAAGTTGATCTTCGACCTGAGTGAGTGGCAGAACTTCCCCAAGCACTCCCTGTATATGTAGATTTCCGGTATCTATCATGATTCACACAATAAACTATCCTATATGAAGACAAGATTAAATGACATCGCTGAAGACAAGAAATCCCTGCATTACGCCCGCCAGCATATGGACCTATCCAAGTCAAGGAACTATACCATTTACAATGCAAGATCGTAACACATCATTTTGAATATCATGAAAGCCAAGGAGGCTTCCAAGCACAGGCATTGGGAAGATGATTCGATCCCCAACGGGCCGCGTGATTCGTTTTACACGCAAAGACAGTAAGTAGTTAAGTATGGCTCACGCGGTCACTTCAACGATACGCCGCCGGGTCGTAGCTCGTCTGCTCTGAGGGGTGGCTGTATCCCGAAGACGCCCCATAAGCACTAAATCTCACTCTTGGCTTCCGACGCTGACCCTGAGCCGGCGCAGTGTCAGGGTACTCCTCTGCTTCACCAGCATGTTGCTGCTCCAAGCTGCTAGCTCCGTACGCCGGCGGGGGAGGCATGCGCTGACTGGGATGGTACATCGGCTCAGGGGCGTTCTGGTACAAATCTTCGGGGGCATGGGGCTGCTGGTTGTACAGGGGTTCTTCGGACGGGTATGGACCAGCGCCACCAGACATGGCGCTGCTGTAGCGGTTGTGCATCTTGTAGTCATTTAGGGCGGTGCTACTGGCCATTGGATCGTATTCGCCGAGACGGGTTTGGCGTCTGTAGACCATGACGTCGAGAACGGCGCCGGCGAGGTGGGCGGTCGCAGCGACAATGGTGAAAGTGAATAGGGCTTTGTAGATCCGGCAGACGTTGATGCCGGTTGAGGTTCCCCAGTAGGTGGAGTTACAGGTTGTTAGAATCGTGTGCGACATGCTCCAGCTTAGAAGGCCGAGGGCGATGAGCCAGAGGACGAGGACGATGCTGTTGGTGGTGAGGTTGAGGCGGGGGGAGAGGCCATAGCAGCAATGGGTGAGGGTGGTGAGGATGAAATTTAGGAGGGAGAAGACGGTCGCGATGACGAGCTGAAACGGAGATGAGATGTCAGTGGGGGATTTGGGGGGGGGGGGGGGGAGGTTGTTTGTTATCTGCATGGGTGGCTTACAATGAGAAAGGCCCAAGGGAGTTTGTAGTTGCCGCTATGCAGTTGGACAATGAATACGGCCAGGATAATGCCCACGATGAATGTAGAGATCAAGCCAGTCGCACGAATGGTATGAAACGGGATCGGAGGGTATTGGGACGGCTTGACAGATGCTCGGGACCTCATGATGGTGGTGTTGGAAGTGCTGCGATCGAGACAATTCCAGTCGCGGCGGGTGTGGGGATCAACGGCGTGGTATGAGATCGAGAAATAAAGTCGTCGATAAACAGTTTAGATGCCGATCCGCTGCGGAATGAATGCAGCTCGAGGTGAATCGGGGGGCCTCATGTACGGGGGTATCTGGATCTGGAAGAAGAAGAGAGCAGAAGATGGGAAGTGGCAGAAGACAACAAACAGGAGAAAAGTCAAAGGCAAAATTGCCAGGATCAACAACAGAGGGCAGTAGGCATGCGAAGAGCAAAGCCTCGCTGGGCGATCGCGACTCCACTGCGGGTGTTGCTAAAGAAAGAAGCGGTTTGGGGGGAAGATGACGCCGCCGCTGATGAATCTGCCCCGGTAACTGTGCGTGGCTCGCCCACGCCGTCTCACCAGTGGGCCATTCCGAACTTTAACTCCTCTCCACGGTCCACCAGGACATCAGACCGTGTCAGTCCAATTGATCCTGGTTACGGTGATGCTGATGGTGCCTGCAACCCGGCTGACAGTTTATTTGAGCAACTCGATGTCTGTTCATTGTTGTATCCAGATGGCACGTGCCCGACTCCTGATCCGGCTGAGATCCACTCGGGATGAACCATCAATCATCCCACTCTCAATCATCAAAGAAAATCTGATGGACATTCTACCTTTTCTGCCAGTCTAGTGTTCGATCAAAACCTTATGGGCTACTACTATGTAGTGGGGTTGCTCTATTAGACATCCCAAACCTACCAAATGTCGAAACGCTACGAGCTTATGAGACATTGATCCATCCATCCCCACATCTGCCAACGGTGTCTTCTCTGTAGTCTTGCATAGTGGCACTTAAATAATTCAAATAGATGATAGCGACATTGTGAGTGCTGGCTAAGGCTCCATGATGGATTTTATCTGTGAGACACAAATCATAGCGGCTCGTATCCCAGCCAAGGTATTTCCATAATCTTCCACTCGCAAGCATCGCTGCTGATTAATACATACTGATCACGTCTTATTTCAACCAGTCTTTCATCCATGCGGCTTTCAAGTTCAGTCTATCGTCATCTAAGCTGCATACCCCTCGGGTCCTAATATGGCATCGATTTTGGCAGAAACCACCCCCTTCCATGATGGCGAAAAGAAGATGCACAGCCTGCTCCGCGTCCCTCCACAGGATAACCCCACAGTTCCGTCCCTCAGCTTCGGGGCGGCGTATCTACTGCGAGCGGCCCCTTTGCTAGCCATAGGCTCTCTTGACCAGGAAGGCAGGCCGTGGTCAACCGTTTGGGGCGGAAAATCCGGGTTTGCTAACCCCGTCACTCAGTCCACGGTTGAAGTGAATACCCCGGTCGATAGGAGCTATGATCCTGTAGTCGAAACACTTCTGCACACCAGCGGCCCTGCAGCAACATCAGAAAGCCATCGGAAGATCTGGTCCGGCCTGATCATTGACCTGGAAACTCGCAGGAGAGCCAAGCTCTACGGCAGGAGGATTGCTGGGTCGCTAGATCCTGGAGATCAGTACCTCGCTGCAAAAGAAATGCCAGTTCTAGGGCATGCGGGCATAGCTCATCTGACCGTACATGTAGACGCCAGTCTCGGTGAGTACTCATTTATAGTAACAACTAAGCAATATGCTGACGGATTCAAGGCAACTGCCCGAAATACTTGAACAAGAAACATATCATACCAACCCTTCCAGCGCCAAGGCTCATTTCAAATTCACCTCAGATACCTTCAGAGGCTGTAAGCCTAATTGATCGTGCTGACTGCTTGTTCGTTTCCTCGTGTCACGGAGACATCGACATGGATACCAACATTCGCGGTGGGCCTCCAGGGTTCGTTCGACTCGTATCGAATGCACCTAGCGGTGCTGTCTTTGCTTATCCCGAATATTCTGGCAATCGTCTATATCAGACCTTGGGCAATCTTCAAACGAATCCTTTGGCGGGATATGTCTTCCCCGATTTTGACAGTGGGAATGCGCTGTATGCTACTGGGAAAACACAGATCCTTGTAGGCAAAGATGCAGCCCGTCTACTCCCACGGTCGAATCTTGCTGTACTTGTTACTGTCACAGCAGCTAGGTATGTTGAGAAATCCTTATCATTTCGGGGTGTTGTAGGAGAGCCATCTCCATACAACCCGAGCGTGCGATACTTGGCAACCGAGAAGAGCGTCCCTACGGTATCGAAAGATGATGATCCAGCTGTCACAGCAACCCTAGTCAAGAAGGACATCTTGACTCCTACTATCTGCCGCTTCCGCTTTCGTCTGTCCGACCCGGCCAAGTCCGGAAAATGGATACCAGGGCAGTATGCTACATTTGCCTTCCACGATGAATTAGACATGGGTTATCGCCATATGAAAGATGACGACCCGACCAGTCTCAATGATGACTATGTCCGAACATTCACCATCTCATCCTACCCAGGGCAAGGACTCGGTGCAGCCGAGTTCGAGGTAACTGCACGCAAGCATGGCAACGTGACCAGCTATTTGTTTAGGACCAATGAGAGAGCCGGTCTCGAGGTTCCTCTGAAAGGCTTTGGTGGTAGTTTCCAGATACAGCAAGGCATAGACGATGTAGTCCCTTTCATTACCGGGGGTATCGGGATTACGCCTATTCTGGCACAGCTTCCGGCTCTCGATATCAGTCGACTGCGACTGCTGTGGTCCGTGTCAGTTCATGATATGGGCTTGGTTTTGGATACGTTCCGGCGGATTCCTCCGCTATCTAGCTCTACGACTCTCTTCATCACCGGTGCTGATCCGCACGACGAAAATGTAGGTCAACAGTACCAGACAGTACATCTTTCCGAAGCACGCATTTATCGCCGCCGTATGAATGCAAAGGATCTGGACCTGTCTCTGGCAGAGGTGTGGTACTTTTGTGGCAGTCCCGCCCTCAAAAGTTCGGTCCTGAACTGGCTTACTGGTAAGAATGTAGTTTATGAAGACTTCAATTATTGATGATTACATGTGTTGTCACGGTGGTGTTGTGCTAGGTATTCCGCATTGGAAAAAAAATAAGTCAATTTCTATTTATGCTTTATCGTCCAGACTACATCCTGGTCGACAAAGGATGACGTCTACCTCAACTAATGCAGTGAATCACAAGGTAGCCTTGGATGCCCCTCGGGTCTTCAATTTCGTATGTCCTCATGACCCAGGGCCGGATAATCTTTCTTCATGGAGGCAGTGCATCTTATCTGACCGATAAGTGGTCCGTGCCCCCTGTAATTGCCCGTCCTGACCGCCTGTTCTCCGGTCGGCGCCAACCTATGAAGTAAACATGTCCTTACTTTCTATAACTCTTCACTTCCGAACGGTGCCGTCCCAGAATGGAGCGCCTTCTTTAACCTCACCACTTCTGGGTCCGTCCCACCGGATTAAAACCTTCTTGTGACATTCATATTCACCTCCTCCTGCGACAGGCAGACCAAAATGCCGCCGCCCCGCCGCAAGAAGCCCCTTTCGCTCAGGATCCGACAATGGATCCATCGGCTTCGGACATGGCGCTCACCGTTAAACCTACGAGGCAGCCTGACGAGACTCCGGGCCTTTGAAAAACACCCGCTCTGGGCCCTTCTCCGCCTTTTTGTCCCCTTTCCTTCCTGGAAATTCCCCGTGTCTGATACCGTGCCGGCGATGGAAATGATCGGGAATGAAGAATTATTGCTACTGCGCCATGATAATATGATAGACCTGGAGAGCATCCCGATCTGGCGCGTCCGGGATACTCCCTTACGCTGTGTGTACAGAATGTATGAAGCTATGGCGTCGGGGGTTTACGAGGTACTGGGCACCGAAACGGAATATTTTTGGTATCAGAAAGGCTGGTCGTTGCAGTCGATCAGCGATCCCCGGGACGACGATTCCGTGCGTTACGCCATGATCGCTTGTCTTGTTGAAGAGCTTGTTGTCGCGTTCAACTGGCGCTTGAGTTTAGGAATGCGTCGAAACCGCAAGCACATCATCCGGAAGACGGAAGACGACCCGTGGCCCCCGTATACACCGCTGGTCGGCCCAACATGGACAGACTCTGTTCCCGCGCTCGCAGTCGCCGATTTAGACGGATTACCTGAGCGGTACATATCGAAAGAAGGCAAGCTCGTCTTAGAGGAGGGAGGATTAAATAAAATCTTTGCGCGCCGGAACATGATCACGAATGTCGGCTGGCTTTATACGATATGAACCCCAAGCCCTACGCTACCACATTCACGTCTCAAAGTAGGGGGTCATCAGCTCAAGACAGACGGTGTACATCATTGTCGGATGCAGTCGGCATTTCATAACGAGCCCTTGCGGAGCCTCGACTGTCGCCGACAATCATCCATGATTTGCCTAGTCACCGGAAAGCTTCGCCTACCCTTTGCGAGAGGTTGGGCATGACTTCAGAAAATATTCTCGCCATAGGTTGCTTTGTAAGCGGCAGCCACACAGTTCATGGTGTCGACGTCGGGCAGGACGTCGAAGCCATTCTTATTCAGCGTGCGACAGTACTCCATATCAAGCTTACTCCCCTTCCTGTCTTTCATGAACTTGAGCATTGCCACGGCGTCGGCCAGATCCAGCTCCGCCTTGCGCCCTCGCTCCGCGCAGTAGATGCGCCGCAGCTTTCTCTCCAGGGCCCATTCAACCGGAGCGGCAAGCACGAGCAGGGTGCCACTGCCCCAGAGGACAATGTTCTGCTTGATGGCGTCGTCCATCAGGATCTTCCTCGTCTTCTCCGTAACGAACACACCCACATCTTCATTGGCCCAATCTTCCATGTAATGCGCCTCGTTGGCGACTTCCCGGATGGACTTCTGCAGCGGAATCTTGATGTCCTCGTCGTTGGCCCATTCGGGGTCGAGGAGGAAGTCCATGTCCGTAGTTGTCTTTCTATTCTTCAGGTACATGACGGAGAAGAAGCCTCCGGCGACAATCATTCGGATGGGGGCGAAGGCCATAATCATCGGATCGGTGCCGAGTTTAGCGTCCAGCAACCTCAGCGCTAGGGCGATTAGACACCTTCGTTAGCCCGGGACTGCCATGCCACGCACTCACCTTTGTGGAAGTCCTCCATGTCCAAATACACCTTGCGCTTCGACATGGTGCGCACAAAACGGCGAGGAAACCGTTTTCTTTGGACTGGCGAGGACAGTAGTGCTGCGATGCATAGACACACACAAGGGGGTGAATCCGACTTTGGGAAGGGTGAAAAAGAGTGAACCGTGGGCGGTTGAGTGTCCCGCGCCAATACTATTCTGGGGTCAAAGCTGGAGCCTGGGGGGGTTCCAACCCTTAAATAAATCCGGTGCAGCGGGTGCTTATGTCAGGTCCGTGCAAGGTGAAGACTGCCTCTCTCTGCTCCGGTCAACATTGGGCTGTCGCGGCATGGCAGGCGTGCAGCGCATTAGTTGACACTTGTCGGCGGTTTGCTCAAAGGGCCCTGGAGGGTCCCTGCCAGCTGGGCGAGGCGTCGGATTCCACATACCGCATCTAGCCCGATCGGCATCGGATACGTGGATTGCTGGATGTATAATGCATGGATTTGCTATATCGAGTGATCGACTGTGTCTAGACAGCTGGATGCGTGGAGTGCCATGTGTCGCATACGTGTATCAGGGGTAGATATCATCACCAATTATCATTTGTAAATAGTAACAATTCATATCGCATTGCAAAGTAACCAGGTATCTAGATACTGCGTAAGGATCTAGATTGCGTCCATGAACAGAATGTCAAGTTGTCAACCAACCATTGCGTGATAAGCCCGGTGGGATTTCTCCGCAGCCCGAACACGCAAAACGCGTTATCGGCTGCTGCCTCCGCATCGCCTCATACTTATTACCCTCTCCCCTCTCCGACACCTCATACCTACAACAATCCAATACCTGTGCACAATCCCCCAATCCACCAATTCACCTCCATCAATCACCACCTTCCCCCCAAAAGGGGTCCAATCCAACCCGGACACCCACCAAACAACAACAACCCCTCACCCAACCCAACCCAACCCCGCGCCAACACCAAGCTCACCACCATGTCCACCTACGAGGCAAGCCCCAATCCCCTTCCCCCCTTCCCTCCCCCTAACCACCAAATCCCACAAAACTAACAAGCACCGAACCAAAAACAGTGGAACACAACACCACCGACCCCTCCACGACCAACACCACCACCACCCCCAACGCCGCCGCCGTCCCGACCTCTCCACCTTCTTCTCAGCCCTGTCCGAGATCTCCCCCGACGAAACCCACTCCCGGACCCGTCCCCATGCCGTCCCTATTCCCCGAGACGTCAGCGCCGCGTTCTATTCCCTAGCCGAGGCATTGGATCTGATGCGCAGAGAGGGTGCGGGTGCGGGTGCGGCTCCCGCGGAAGGACATGGACTTGAGAATGAGAACGAGGATCTGCTCACGCAAATGATCTCGCAGCTGTTGTCTTCAGCGGAGATGCCCCCTAGGGAGGTCGAGGGGGTGAGTGAGGAGTTTTGTGATGGTAGGTTTTCTTTCTTTCTTTCTTTTGATTGTGGGGGTTTGTGATGGTGGGGAGGATGTGGTTGTTGTTGTGGTTGGCTATAGATACTGGAATGAATGGAATGCTAACTGTAAGCGATGGTACAGTCCTCGATCGTGTCCCCCGTTCGGCATTGAAGCCCGACCAGGTCTGCCCGATATGCAATAACCCTTTCTTGGAGGATCAGTATCCGCTTGTGGTGCAGTTGCCGTGTCATCCGACGCATTTGTTTGATTTGGAGTGCGTGAGGCCGTGGTTGAGGTTGCGGGGTACGTGTCCCCTTGATCGGACGGATTTTGCCAAGCAGGAGAGGGAGAAGGCTGAGGCGAGGAGGAAGAAGCCGGTTGAGGATGAGGAGGAGGAGTGGGATGGGATGTATGGTTAGAATTATGAGGTTGGGTTGGTAGTGGAATGTATAGAAGATAAAGTGGTTTGTAAAGTGAGGGGCGGTGCTGGTGATGTGCGTGCTTCTCGTGGTATGATATCTAGCTGTTTACGATTTGGATACTCTGTTCTGTACATGAAGCTCATCACCAGGGCTAACGCTTCTCCTGCCCGTCCTTGGCTCGGATGGCCAGCTTGCCTGCCTTGTCGATGACGGCTTCCAGTCCGCTCCGTTCCAAAACTCCTCCCTCATCCTTCACCACTTCTCGGGCTTCCAGCTCTTCCACCATCTTCTGGTTCTCACGGTTGCCCTCTAGCAGGAACTTCAGACACATCACTGCATGTTCCTTGATGTATGGGTTGTGTGCGTCAAAGTTGGTGCACGACAGGATAGTTTCGACACCGCCGTAGCGACGAATTTGGTCCTGGACCTCCGGACACTTCCAGACCAGAGACGAGAGAACGAGCACGACGAGCTTCTTGAGGTTGCGCCATTCGAATTCGGACGGATCTTCGGTGATCGGCGGCGATTCGGCCCGGGACCCGGGGCCGGCATCAACAGGGTCGGGATCACCGGGATCGTATGGACGTTCGACTGCAACCGGTGCGGGAGCCGTGTGCTGGGGCTGGTCCTTGGAGGGGCTGTTGCGTCCAAGAGTGAGCGAACTCAGCTGGCCCTTGGGGATGCTGGCTTCGAGCTCCTTGATCAACGTCACCAGGTCATAGACAATCTCCCATTTGACCAATAGATTCTTCCAATCATTGTTTTCGGTAAGCACAGCGAAAAACTCCAGGAATTGGTAGACACCTTCGTAGACCCGCTCCATGTCCCACAGGTTCAGGGGAAAGTCCTCGGGCAGAGCCCGTTGAGCCCGAATCTGACCCTGGAGATAGATCAAGGCGCAGGTCTCGGGGATGATGTTGCCGCGGAATATCGTGAAGATGTACCGGACGGTAAGAACGTCGACCCGCGAGAGTGGTGCCGGGCTCTTGGTCGCATTGGGCTGCGTCGATCCCGTAACCGATGCAGGGGAGTATTTGGCGCGGAAGATGTGCGTGAGGATCTTGACGACGACTGCCTGCGCCGGCGAGATGATGTCCTTCGGCTGTCCAAAATCGGAGTAGGCATGCGACATTAGACCGTCTCTCAGAACAGCATCCATGATCTGCACCATCATCTTGAAGTAGAGTTCATCATCCGGAAGGTCCCAGGCAGCGATGAAGATCAGCAGCTCGCGAAGCAGATTCCGACCGGTCTCCTGGGTGAGCAGAATATGACACCGGAGGGCCTGCATATTCCTCGAGCCACTTCTCTCTCCGCCCTTCAGTCCGAAACTATCCACAATACCAGCCTGGATGATCATGGGCAGAGCCTCAATCTCCGCAGGACCCAGCACCAGTGGAATATCGGTCAAGAGACCCCGCTGTTGGTCGCCTGGCCGGCCTCGGTAGTCGTCGTCATCCTCATCATCCTCTTCCTCTTCCTCCTCCATACTTCCATCCGCAACGGCCTCCAAGCTGCGCGAATCGTCGTCGCCAACCGTGCCTGCATCACCGGTATCATAATCCTGATCACCATCGGCAATCTGGGAACTCTCCTGTAGCCGTGCCATCAGTTCATCTTTCGCCTCCTGCAGTGTTTCCGCGGCCGACTGTGCAGAGCGCGGCATGCTCATATCTTCCTCCATGACAAACGCATCGCCTCCCGAAAGCGCTCCGTATTCACTGAGGTCGGGAAGATCGGTCCAGCAGACCCGTGGGAATCCAGCTGTTGCACTGCGGTCAATCGTAACAATGGCTTTCTTGCGGGGCGGCTCGTCTTCCGGCAGGGCAGGTGGAAGGTCCTTGGCTCGGTCCTGAAGGTCAGACCATCCATCCACCTTGGCTCCGAGAATAGCAGTGAGCGCAGCGCGGATCTCCTTCACTTGTTCGGGGTCCTTGCCCATTTCCTGGATGGCCGTCAAATCGCGTCCGAGAAGCTTCTCCATGTGATCCTTGATGTTGGCAAGCAGTAGCATGGCTGCCTCTTCCTTGATGGTTGCAGGCTCTCGCGGGAAGTTGGAAATTGTCTCCAGGAGCAAATCTTCGGCCGTTTGGTCGTAAAGGGCCCTTATCGGCGGGTTTACTATCCTCTCTCCAGTCTTTACGATGGGCGCCATTCCCTCTTGTTGATTGCAAGCCGGGTCAAGGGGCTCCCGGGGCTGAATAATGTTGGAGTCCCCGGTAGAATGGTATCCGAACAAGTCTAACCACAGGACCATCTTGCGTTGTTCGTTGTGCATGATGAAATTATGCAGGAACTGCAGACAGGTAATGAGAAGGCGCTTGTAGAGGTTGACGACCTTCTGCCAGCGCTCTTCGTTCCTCGCATTGGTTTCCCCGTCAAAACCTCGCGCAGTTACTCTAACACAGGTATCTACCAGAGCTAAGATCCTCTGATCGAAGCCTTTCTCCGCCGCCATGTTCTGGGCCTTTTTGGTGGTGGCGAGGAGGTTCCGGGCGATCGTACAGAGATCATTTAAGCGCTCAATGTCCTTGACTAGCGAGAAGTAATTGTAGGCTATTAGATTGGAGGAGGAATGATCGTAGTTTGCCGTTGGCGGGCTCTTCCAGGCAAATGATTGGGATTCTAGGACCGGGATCGCCTTCGTCAGTACGTCTGTGAAACCTTGCCATATATCCGGAGAAAGGCCGAGGTTATGTCTGTTATGCAAGAGGTAGTCAGTACGCAGAAGTTTCCTCAAATGAGGGGCAAGCAGTGGCCCGGTGGAGGCGGTGCCGGCTCAAGATAAGAAAAGGAAATTGTACCTGACATCGCTCTCCTGGTGCGTCTTGTATAGAATTTGCTTCCCAGCAGAGAGCATGTGTTCTAGTCGTTTGTCGTCAATCATCCCGCGGGTTTCATAGTGGCTCAGAGTCCCCGTCAAAATGACCTTCAACATGAGCTCCGCGGGGGTGCATTTCGGTTTGATCTCCGCTGCCGTGCGGTCGGCCATTTTGACGTCGCTTGCAAATCTCTGCAGTCCAAGCAGCCGTCAAGCGTGAACCGCGCACTGGTCGTGAATGGTGTAGGAAATAAGAATGAGGGACGTCGGTGGAGAAAGAATCATGACGGTTGAGCGGGAATTTTTCCGGTCCGGGGCTGGCCCGCCAACTGCCCTTTCGGGTAACACTACAAGCATGCCGCTCAAGTGGCCAGTGAATGAAGCAATGTCTCGTTTTCATGGTCTATATACACTGAAATGGAAGAAATGGGAGAAGGCGGCATTCACTTAGGACACCTTTGGTCGAATACTCAAGCCAAGTATGTGGCGCAAATTGTTCCAAAATCCCAGGTCATAGATGTTGTCAATCTCCCTCATACTCTGCACTTGAACCCACCTCCGGTCAATAGGAGCGTCCCTGTTGCTCGGCTGATTGATTTCGTTGGAGAGTGGGGACAGCAGGCACCCTTCTTTGGGCGGCTCACCATCCGTGAGCACGAGGACCTGCTCACTGCTTACTGGCCAAGATGATTGAGCGCTTTGATATTCAGCCAACAAGGGCGAGGTGCTGTAGATCTCAGCCTTGGTGGATTTGAAAGCCATGCCATCTGCAACATCTTCTTTCCAGTCCGACCACTTGGAACTCTCGTTGGTCGTCATACCAGCCCAGATGAGATAACTGTGGTATACGAGAAAGGCTGCCGCTAGCGGAGCTGTCATAGACATCAGCAAGGTAATTGCACCGATCCGAAGATCAGCAGCGATGACTACAGCCCATATATTGCAAAAAGCGGTCCAGGTTTGCCGGGTCGTTCGCAAAAGTGAGTCTGGCGGTATCAGCTTATCGTAGGTCTGGTACAGGAGAGTGTACCCGAGACATGAGCCGTAGATCAGCATGATACATAGCGACAAGATCATAGATAGAAAGTAGTGGTAGTTGTGCAAGCCAACACAATTCATGAGCCAGACACAGTGATGGTCCTGGCGCGAAACGCATGCTTTGCAAATGCCGCAATGCTTACTTCGAGCCGGCTTGACAACATGACAGGTGCGGCAACGCTGTCCCGGATGGAATATGACTCTATCATATGGATAGCGCTCCAGTTCCATTGCATGATTCTTGGGAGTGATGAATGACTTGGTGGTGACACTGGCATACAATAATGCATAGGGCAATGTGGCAAAGATTGGAATCCAGAAATGATGGACGGTAGAAATCCTAGACCATGCGCTCGGGATAAACATACACTGCCCTGCCACCATAAGCGAGGCGAAGAATATCTGAAGAATGAGGTCAGCGAAGAGTCTCGAATACCCTCACATGTGACGAACAAGAATAAGCGGGTGGTTCTCATGCAGTATGTAACTGCCGGAGCGATTCCAGCAGTACGTCAACCAGCCATTTAATAGCCGATTGTCAAGATAACATAGCCCATTTGGGAGGTGTATCCAAAGGGCTCTATGAAGTACACCAATGGGGGTTTTGCTACAGCAAGCATCTATCAGTCATAGCCAATACAACAGGATGCTTCAGCTTACCGGAACGCAGGGAGTCTCCCAAACAGAGCCACAAAAACAAACCCAGAAATCCCCAGGATCGCAATTGCTATGGTTCGCAGGGCTCCCATCGTGACGTCCAAGTCGCAGCTTATCTGAGAGGTCAGTCTGTCGCCCTCCCTTTGCCCTGATATGTGGCGTATTTCTTAAATATCGCGACTCTAAGATAATAAGCAGATACACAACTATGCCTTGCCGCTCTGTCAGTTAGACCAGAGTTGTCATTGTAGTCGACAGGCTTTGGCGCCTGGTTGCATTCACAATGGCCATGGCCGGACTGCTGCCGTCCAAGTGTCCGCCGGCTATTTATTTACGAGGAGATCCCACGTGATCTACTTTCCTAACAGGAAGAATTGGGCGTCACTACTGCGCATCTCGCTCGCCATCCTCCGAGCATACGCTGGATTCTGCCACTGATTCCTGATGGTATTATTAGGAAGGCCCCACGCAACTTAATGGTTCTGGACCCATGCTAGGAAGTCTAATCTTTGCCTTCCCCTTTCTTTGTCTTCACTGAGTTACTCGACGCGTGGGCACGTTGGCACGTGATCGCGTGTTGTCGGATAGCGGCCGGCATTTGTATAGCAACAAGAATCCAACAATTAGGAACTCCGCATTGTAGGCTCGACGATTCTATAACATAATGGCTGGGACAAGCGCTAAAGAGGATGGTGCTACAAGCGAAGCAAGTCCATCTCTCTTCCAAGGGAAACAATTCTGGTTGTCGCACAACATTCCCCAAAGGAACCGGTTCAAGGAAATTATTGAGGTATCACCCTCTATCTAGTGCTAAACTGTTCTGAAAGCTGATTTGCTTATGGCAACATGGTGGCATCATACGGTTACATGAGAAGGATGCGGACATCAGATTGGTCGATCACAAGAGGAAGAACCTGCCTTCTGACGCGTACGGACTTTTGCTCTCGACCTCTGATCATGACTTACAGGCTATAGGTACTCGTTCAGATTTGTCGAAGACTCATATCGCAAAGGAAAGTTGCAAAATTTAGAAAGCTACAGAGCTGGACCTTCTGCAGCACGCCCGGTAGGGGCTACTAATATTCCCACAAGAGGACATAAAGTCTACTATACTCTCGAAGATGACCAACTCCTCTGGGACTGGATGCAACGTTACGAGCAAAATCCAAAGGCATCTATAAGAGGCAACAAGATATATCAAGAACTGGAAGCAAAGGTGCATTGAACCCTGTCCTGAAAACAACCATCAAAATGAAGTCAAACTAAAAGCCAACGCATATAGAATCCTAGACACACTTTTCAGTCCTATCGAGATCGATATCTGAAGAAGCTCAAAGGGCATCCAAGACCAGGTGGTATGCCAGCACCCACGGGCCCACCTGCATTTAAAAAGGACCCCACCGCAACTCCACCTGCTCGCGCGCCTCGATCTGAGTCTCGCGATAGGTCCCCCGGGGGTCCCGAATCTACTGCTATCAAAGGGAACGAAAAGAAAAGGAAGCGATCTTCAGGACCAAATACGCCAGATGAAGAGCGAGCTGACAGGGTCAACGAGCCAAATTCGAAGAGAAGGGCCATCGATGTTAACAACAACCTCCCGGACCCTTTTGTCTCCCATGTTGAAGCAGGAAAGGCTGCAAAATCACAGGACATGCCGCCTCCCTCAACACCACGCAATATTCAGAAACAAAAATTGAAAGCAAACGAGACAGGACAACGTGGGGTGCCTAAAGAACAGCAACCTTTAGCTCAGAGTCCTTCTCTAGCGGGCACCTTGTTGCTAGAGCTTCCCTTCTTGCCATCGGATGATGAGCCGGAAGAGGACGAATCTGAGCAGGACATTGACACGTGGATCGATGATCGTCTCCGAACGGGAAAAGCGAGCAGTGAGGAACAGATACTCGAAGCGTTGCGGTGCACTAGTATGGATCCACATTTAGCTGACAAGGTCCTGGCTTTCTTGGTAGATGGAAAAGCCGTACCGGATAATATGCCAGGGGTATGGACTCCTGAGGACGACAAGTGTGTGGAGGGAAGTGAGACTCGAGGCATTCAACGAGTCATGGAGAAGCATGGCTCGGAGGCCTTCAATTCCCGATGGGAATACCTTAGCATGGCCAGAGCCGCTGGTCTTGTAGATACCCACAAATAGAATTGTCGCAAATTGGACAGTTCAGGGACGCGAACTAAAGTACATGAAGACTAGGACGCCCAAGACGAGACACAAGGAGAGAAAGATCTGGAAACAAAAATTGATACCAAAAGTAAAGGAATGGTGTGCACAGGCTCATGGAGGCCTGGAGCTACTGATCCAAACCCCATTATGTTCCTCATCGGTTCTTCTTCGCAGGAGACCCCGATCGCAGTCCAGGTCAGGACCATTGCTCCAAAGGGCATTATCTTACAGATAGGATAGATAAAACCCGGTGGTAAAACTCCACCAAAACACCCTATATGCGTAATCCTTCAACTATTTGGCAGATAAGCCTATCGTAAATTAGAAGATGATAGATGAGAATCCCGGGCTCTAAAAAAAAAAACCGACAGGCCCAACTTGACTGAGCTGGTGTTTCAACCATCTTTGAAGACCCTTTTGTGAAATGTTAGGTAAAGTTTCCATTATGTGGTAGTGAAGGAGATTACTCACAGGTGCGATTCGTAGAATGCAAGCATCTTGATGCGCATTAGCCTTGACAAACAACCGCGATCCTCGGGGATCTTACCTTCTTCGGGCATTTGTCGTAGCACAGCTCTATGGAAACCTTTGACTTTTTGCCGTTCTTCCAATTGAGAAACGCGAGCAGATTCGATGTCCCAGGCTCGCGTATAATTGTCTCGACGCTGTCGACTTCGCCCTCCCAGTTCCGAGATTTAGGCATCCATGTGCTTGTCCCGTCACTTTCATTGCCCTCATTGTCATCAGCTTGCTCTTCATCTGGAGTCTCCGTGGCTGTTTCGGCTCGTGACTTGCGACGTTTCTTCGGTTCAGGCATCTTCTCAGGCGTTGACTTGGGGGGCCTTCCCATTGACTTGCGCTTCTTTGGTTGTGCTTGCGGCTTCTCGGGGCGACCTCCCAGCTTACGGAAGTACTCGTCAAGTACTTCCTTCGCGCCTTCTCTAAATACAAGCAATCAGTATCGTCTCGGATGTACAAGTCAGCGTCTGGTAGCGTACAGGTTCTCTTCTGGCTCCAGGGTCATATCAGCGGGGTCGTCGTAACCATGCCACTTGACCTGTAGAAGTAGATCGCCCTGTCCCATCATTAGCCCAAGCACACCCTTTGGGTCAATTGAGCAGGCGGTCGTGGAGGAAGCTGCGTACATTCTTCGCCCATTCGTGGCTCACAATCTTTTCAACAGTGTATCTACTCAAGTCAATAGCCGCTTCGCGACTAGGTCACCTCTGTGCCCACTCACACGTCTTCCTCGGTCTCCTCTTCCTCGTCCTCATCATTCTTTGTAGCAGAATTCCGCTTCACTTCGGCGGCATCGTCGTACGGGATCGACTCGCCAGTCGACTCATCGTCGGACATGTCAGGGACCGGGGCTTGGAGGGAGTCAGCTTGACGGGCGCTCACAGCGCGGAATCGATGCATCACCACTCACGAGGCATTGTCCTGAAGGAGGCGAGGCTAAAAAGTCGGGAAAACAACGTGGTGGATTTCGCGAGAAGGGGGCCCCACAGTCTATATCGATTAGAAGGAGAATGACAGCGGAATGGACATAAGGGACGGGGCACAATGAGGGAGCTGAGGTTGCTGTTCCTTTGGGCGCAGACGAAATGCCGAGTCGCGCAGGCGCGCGGTGGAAAACACGCTATACCCGATATGGAAAGCAGCTCACTAGCCCGCTTTGGTCATCTCCAGAATTTCGAATTGCAGTTGTGCCTCCAAGTCCCTCCGCCGTCTGGTCCTCTGTCTCCCCACCTCCCTCCGATCCCCTCTCGCCGGAGTCTTCTTGTTCCGTTGACTCCTCTCGCGCGCCCCTTGCCGGCTTTCTTTCCGATTCTTTGAAGTGGGCTTCCTGCCAGGTGGCAGACCGTCAACATGGCGATGCGTATGTTTCAAGATACCCCTCACTCGGCATCACCTATACTAACATTCCTGTGTCTCGGTCTGCAGAGCTTGATCTCTCTCAAGGTTGGAACTTACGCTGCCTCAGTATAACTCTTACTTTCGACTTCGATCGCTGACTGTCACCTCAGCTTCTGTGATGAAAGATGAACAGGGCCGGCCATTCATCGTCGTTAGGGAGTACGTTTCGATTCCCGATCCATCTCATACAAACCGGACGGTTTCCTTCAGGGCAGGCGGCTAACATGGTTTTCCTCCGCAGTCAAGGGAAGAAGAAGAGAGTGCATGGCAACGATGCCGTGAAGGCGCACATTGTCGCTGCTAAGACTGTCGCCAACATCGTCAAGACCTCCCTGGTATGCACCGTCATAGGCCGGCAGAACAAACAGACGTTAAGAAATTCCTAGGGTCCCCGTGGTCTCGACAAAATCCTGATCTCCCCCGATGGCGATATTACCGTTACCAACGATGGTGCTACCATTCTCGGCCAGGTTCGTCCTTTGCGCCCCGCAAGTACACCCGAGATATATCTGACTTTTTGATTTTGGGAAGATGGAAATCACGAACAATGTGGCCAAGCTTTTGGTCGAGCTGTCGAAGTCTCAAGACGAGGAGATTGGCGACGGAACGACCGGTGTCGTCGTCTTGGCTGCGGCCATGCTGGAACAGGCGTCCGACCTCATCGACAAGGGCATCCACCCCATCCGGATCGCCGACGGATACGACCAGGCTTGCGAAATTGCCATTGCACAACTCGATAAGATCAGTGACGAGATTCCGTTCTCGAAAGAGGACACTACAAACCTCCTGAAGGTTGCCAAGACCAGCTTGGGTAGCAAGATGTATGCGGACTCTTCTCTTTCCACCGTGGCCTCCCTGTGCTGACCACCGGACAGTGTTTCCAAGTCCCACGACCAGTTTGCCAAGATTGCCATCGATGCCGTCCTCTCCGTGGCTGACCTCGAGCGTAAGGATGTCGATTTCGAGCTGATCAAGGTCGACGGGAAAGTTGGAGGTGCCCTTGAAGACTCCCTCCTCGTCAAGGGTGTCATTGTCGACAAAGATTTCTCCCACCCCCAGATGCCAGACGAAGTTCGGGATGCTAAGTTGGCCATCCTGACCTGCCCGTTCGAGCCCCCGAAGCCCAAGACCAAGCACAAGCTCGACATCACGTCAGTCGAGGAATTCAAGAAGTTGCAGGACTATGAGCGGGAGAAGTTCACGGAAATGATTCAGCACCTGAAGGATTCCGGAGCCAACCTGGTCATCTGCCAGTGGGGTTTCGACGATGAGGCCAACCACCTCCTGCTCCAGAACAAGCTCCCTGCCGTTCGCTGGGTCGGCGGCCCTGAGATCGAACTGATTGCCATCGCCACAAACGGTCGTATTGTTCCTCGCTTCGAGGACCTGAGCTCGGAGAAACTCGGAACCGCGGGTCGTGTTCGTGAGATGACCTTCGGTACCACGCGGGAGAAGATGCTCGTCATTGAGGAGTGCGCCAACAGCCGTGCTGTGACGGTGTTTGTCCGCGGAAGCAACAAGATGGTCAGTTCAAACGATGTCGACTTAGAGTACACACCACTAACTCTCATTAGATCATCGACGAAGCCAAGCGTTCGCTTCACGATGCTCTTTGCGTTGTGCGTAACCTTGTCCGCGACAACCGTGTCGTTTATGGTGGTGGTGCTGCTGAGATTGCTTGCTCCATTGCTGTTGAGGATGCTGCCGTCAAGGTGTGTAAATCTCTTCGAAGACCCACTTATACTTCTGTTAACTGTTATATCCAGAGCCCCGGTATCGAACAATATGCCATGCGCGCTTTCGCTGACGCCTTGGATGCCGTCCCGATGGCACTCGCCGAGAACTCTGGTCTGAGCCCGATTGAGACCCTGGCTTCGATCAAGTCTCGTCAGGTCAAGGAGAACAACTCCCGTCTGGGTGTTGACTGCATGTTGACTGGCAACAACGGTAAGTGATATGGGAGTCTCATCTTGACATCAGGCTAATTTTTTTCCATAGATATGAGAGAGCACTTTGCCATCGATCCCCTGATCGGAAAGCGGTCGCAGCTGTTGCTTGCTACTCAGCTCTGCCGTATGGTCCTTAAGGTGAGTCCCCTCTGCTTTGCTGTTCATGCCAGCGCAACTAACGACGACAGATCAACAACGTCATCATTTCGGGCGATGACGATCAGGAATTCTAGATTTCTTGTATACAGGTTTTTGTTTCGATGGCTAAAAGTGACACACACTGGCGTTGCAGTCATGCGGAATCGATGATACTACATATAGTTCTTGAGGTAATCAGTCTGGGTGATGCTATGGATAACATGTCAGTTGCATAGAAATAGTGAAATGACAGAAATGACATTCATCGGGTTCCAGTAGGCGGACATATCCCGTAGGAATAGTAGACTACATCTCTAACCACAGTAGTACTCCGCATTCAACTCACAAACGACAATAAAACGCACCGAATCAAAATTATATATCGTATGTGAGGCAGCCACCCATCTATCCCCATGAATTACCCCCCTTATCCCAAACCCAGCTCTAGCAAAACTACTATCCCCATGAGTATCTCCAAACCCCAACTCAACTCGATCCAAGCCCTCAAAAATACCCTCCGAAGTCCAACCCCTCATACCCACCGACAATCACACCCTTATCACAACCCATAATCAAATCGAATCGAATCAATCAATCCCTTGACCCAAACATCCCTATCCTATCCCGATAAACCCCAAAACAGGAAAAGCCGAGCATCCACAAAACGGAAACACAACCCACCAAGCCAGGCGTCCATATCCGCCCAGAGGCGGATAATGCACTACAAGGTGCGCGGCCCGCCTCCTACCCGCCAGGGTAACATGCCGCCACCAAGAAACCCAAAGATAAGGAAGGGGGGTGACGTTTTACGAGCAAAGAAAGTTGGATTGTGTTGTATGGTGTGTAGCTCGATCACGAGAAGTTAAATACCTGGGGGATGCGCCACTTGACCCCTCTCTTTCGGTTTTCATCCTCTTCAGCTTATTCTTTGTCAGATAACATAACTTGGTTTTTGTTGTTATTGTTGTGGTGGTCGGATATATTTTTATATATATACTTCCCTTAAGTCCGAAGTAACGTCATAATGGGCTTCTCCTTCGAATCATCAACCTGGCGTCGCCTTAATGTCGGTATTGTTGGCGGCGGGATCGGTGGAATGGCTGCGGCTATTTCGCTGCGTCGGGCAGGTCACGAGGTGACTGTGTATGAGCGGAATGATTTTGTGGGGGAGGTAGGGGCGTCAATTTCGTGTGCTGCGAATGGAACACGCTGGTTGCATGAATGGGGGGTGGATGTTGAGAAAGGTGATCCGGTGGTTCTGAGGAAGTTGATTAATCGGGATTGGAAGACGGGGGAACCGGTTAGTGTTTATGATTTGGGGGATTATGAGGAACGCTGGGGGTTCCTCTATTATATGTTTCATCGCCAGTATATGCATGCTATGTTGAAGGATTGTGCGATGCAGGAGGAGGGACAGGGGGAACCGGTGAAGTTGAGGGTTAATTTTCAGGTTTGTGGTCATTTGTTTCTCTTCTTACTTGTGGGTTCGGGGTTTGGATGCTGATGATTTGCTATTTAGTGCAAGGATATTGATCTGGAGGCCGGAGTCATCTCCTTTGCGAATGGGGAGACGGCCCAGCATGACTTGATCGTCGGTGCAGATGGCATTGGCTCGGCTGTTCGTGGTATCATCGGTGTTCATCCCGAAAGGAAGCCTGCACCCTCGAGCTGTCTGCATGCGAATGTGACTACGGAGGAGGCCGTCCGATTGGGCCTGGTTGATTACTCCAAGGATAGTGCCCTGCAGTACTGGGGTGGTCAGGAAGGCAAGTGGGACAAGATTGTGCTCTCTCCTTGCAACGGCGGTCGCTTGCTGTCGTACTATTGCTTCTTCCCTCGAGAGATGGGAGACTATGCGAACCATACCTGGGGTGGCGAAGACCGTCCTGTCGAGGAATTGCTGGCGCCTTACCCTCATCTCGATCGCCAGGTCCTTTCGCATCTGGGTATCGGCCAGGAAATCAGACCATGGCGTCTGTGGGTGCAGTAAGTCTTCATATTTTGGGCTTCCATCGACCTGCCCTGCTTGGGGATCTGATTGCTAATGGTATTGATCAGTCAACCATACCCATACATCACCAAAAACATGGCTTGCCTGCTGGGTGATGCAGGGCACCCGGTACGTCCAGATTTATTGTATCCGACCATATCTGAGATTTAGCTAATGGTTTGAGTGCAGATGATGCCCCATCAGAGTCAGGGTGCCTGCATGGCGATTGAAGACGCCGCTGCCCTGGGAATTGTTTTTAGCAGGGCGCACTTCAAGGGCGATGTCGCCAAAGCGCTGTCGATCTACCAGGAAGTCCGACTGCCCCGAGCCACCAAGGTCCAGGCAGCCTCTGCAAAGGCAGCATATAACATCAATGAGCGCATCGGTAAGCTATGCCCAGATTGAAGCTGTGAGCATTGGGGACATTGTTCTGACTGCCTCGCCTAGGCTTCTCCAGCAATACTAGCACGGCCACATACAAAGTGGAGGACGAGAAAAAGAAACTGACAATCGAAGAGATGAACGCGTAAGTCGCCTGTCTTCTTTGCTCTGACTCTTGCACTTTTGTCCGCGTCCAGAGTCTGACATCCAAGCCAGATACGATATGCACAGGGATATTGAGGAAGTCGCTGCCACGCAAAAGGGCCTACCATATACCGGCAAGTTCATCAGAGGGCTACCCGTTGGTTTGAAGCTGTCAAACGGAACGATTGTCGGGGAACATGGGAATGTCTCGCCTCAGCCTCGAATCTGAGCACAGCCTTTGTGCACCAGTTACTGAGCTTAGTCCTGCATTGGTGGTGGAGTTCATCCTTTTGGGGTTGTATTGTATCTAACGAGACCATGATTTGTGATTGCATTTGAGCAGCTGACAGTAGTCAAGTCCTATGAATTAGTATGCCTTGTAATGGAATTCCTTTCGAAGTGATTTCGAGGGTATCTTTCATATCACCGTAATGGAAGACCATGTGCCCGCTCCTGCTCGTAATATCCGTCGATTCTGTTAGTTCACCTGTCTTGTATCACCGGATGAGTCTCCACCGAAACCCGATAAATCGAGGCTGGGCCACTACTCCGTATTTGCTATCCAAATGACCTGTGAGGTTGCGAGGAAGAGATGTTGCGAAGAGGGCCATGTGCTGCTATACGTGTGCTCAGACACGGAGGGATGGATCAACGGATGGTGGAGACGGGAGAGAAGATGGATGATGGGCTGACAGCTCAGCATGGGCTTAGTCGGTGATTGAGTGATAAAGTACGATCGGCGCAATGAAAGGGAATGGGAAGGGCATTGGTCGCTTGCCTTATCAACCCAAATTATAGCCCCTATAGCTTCGAGCCACTCATCCAATCTGGTAGGAGCAATCAGGACGGGTGGAAATGAATTCCACCAAGGAGGGGGTGAGTGATCGGGTGACGGTCGTCTGATCAGCGGTGATAATGCAATTGTTATTCGGCTGCCTCGTCTAGACCTGAGGGGAGCGCGGCCCTCCATTGGCCCGGCGACTGCGTTTTCCCATTAGTCGACGGCTCAGAAATGAACAGACAATATTGGACATCGACATCCACTCACGGCCCAGCAGCGGAGGATATGATCGATAGCGCACAGGCATGGTAAGCCCGATGCAATGCATTCGCTCAGATGACCAGCAGTGAAACTCTCCCGTAAATAGCAACGTAGCCATGCATCTGAGAAGAAGCAAACCCGACTTCTAGGCCCAGCCGATCGCGTCTATTCAGCCGGGACCATGCAGCTGATGTTTTACCGGACAAGCCATCTTCTGTGCAACTTTCCGGGGTCCCTGTTCATAAACCAGCTCTTGCAAGTTGCAAGAGACACGGATTACCTACCGAGGAAAAACCTAGAGATCCCTGCAAAACGGTGGGGAGATCTCTTCATATGACCTCAAGAATAGCCGCCCGACAGGGGTCATTGTATACTCCACATAGTGCTGTTTGTGACGAAGACAACCATGTCGTAGCGCTCAAGCCATCTTGTTCTAGCCCATCGCACCCGGCTTAGTTGGCGCTTAAGCCTTTTTCATTCCCCACAATAGCCTTGTTGTAGGCTTGGTTTCATCTAAAGCAGTCCTAATTTAGGTGACTATATGGATGCAAAGCACACGATTATAGCGAGACCAGAGTATTATTCGTCGGGCTATCAGACGATAGGACAGTCTACCACCCTCCATTAATCGAGAAAGTCTTGGATACCAAAGTAAGAAGAAGCAAGTCAACGAGACAAATGCTGCAGACTTCGGGTCTGTGAATGCTCATCCTAGACGCGGCACTCGTGACTCCGGTCATTGTCAGAAGAGACGATCTCTTGTTTATCACTTCCAACTCCCGTATCGAAGCATTTGCTCTCGGAGACATTGTATGAGGCAGTCATGGGGACATCGTTGACCAAGAAACCATGTTAATCGATGTGCAACAACGGCTTGCATCTGCAGAGAGTTCGCTTCTCGTATGATTCTGGTGTTCACACAAATCCTCCTTGGACGGAGGAAAGGACCCCGATGGCCTTGTGCGAGAGTCATGGTACTCATCCGCAGGGGATCCTCGATCTCAGAGAAGCAAAGTCAGCTTATAACAACCATGGTCTGAAGAAGAAAGTCCAGCAATTCGATATGTAATTTTGTCGGTTGTCTCATGACCACTTCCGGTTTCCACTGCTTTGCGGTGTACAGAAAAAGCAGTGCGGCATCTTCGAGTCGAATCTAGATGGAAGTATATCGGACATTGATGAGGTTACACTCGTCTGGTGGCTCGAGCCGGCCCATCCCATCATTTGAACAGGCTATGGGAGAGAGCAAGGAACACCCTTGCGCTCATGACTGACTCATTAAGCGGTGCAGATGCATCTGATTCTGTCCGAAGATCGGTATCTCGATTGTGTTCTCGTTATTGAATGGTCGGATCACAGGATCTTCAGTCCTAGGAGCTTGGATACGGTGTACTCTCTAGAAGATCATCCAAGGTAGTCGTTCACTCACCAGTCCTTCCGATCTATTGCTCGGACGCGCGTCTTTGCAGGCGTGTTTTCTCTGCACAGACTGAAGGCTTCCATGATTTCCGCATAGAAACGATGCATTTCCGTAGGAAGCATCTTGCATATCGCAGCCACGATCAAGAAGTCGGAGAGATGCGTGGGGATGGAGATGCCCAGATCTACTTGCCATCTGTCACCGCTGTTTATCAGGTGACCGTGAATGTATTGATGGAAAGTATACCTGAAATAAGCTACAATAAGGCTAGCGTATTACGGTTGCAGGTCGGATACCGAACACCGTCGATTCCTTACTATTCTTTGTGTATAGCTACAGGCTGGCTGGACCAGCCATCTACTCCGAACACTCATCCCCAACCAGAATATCTTGTTTGAAGCGCACAACCATAGCCAAGCCAAGGGTCTGATCGCATCCAGATAATGCAGCGAGGCATTCCCCGGTTAAAGCGGCGGCCACCCGAAAAAGCAAGTCCATGCAGCGCGAGAAGAGAATCCGCCGCGGTTACCACCACCCGCCATCACATGGCTAGGATCAACGACGTGGCCGGCCTCCGTTCGCGCCCAAGACCACCATGATTCCGTCCCGTGGGACCTGGCCGGAATCCTTTTCTTTTTCTCATGACAGCAACGGACGATCAAGGCGCCAAACGAGGAGCCGGGGCGTGTTTGCAGGGAGAACAACGCTGCCGGGCAATCACCTGTCGTTGCTTCAATGTTGGCAGCGATATCTCGGGCGCTATTTCCTATACCGCTACTTCGGACTTGGGCGATTTCAGCATCACACGACTGCAGGAGGTGATCCTAGCATCTGATGATGTTCACCTTTGGTATGTGCCTTTTTTGCGCTGGTGTTTGTAGTCTTACTGTATGTTGGGTTTCGTATCTGGAGTATTTACTGTATTTCACACGGTTTCGTTGTTCTGTTTTTCCACGTATCCGACCCCATGGTTCCTGGCAAAAGTACTACAATGAGCTCAGGTACCATACATCAGAAATTCGCGATGATATCTCGATTCCAACAGCCTCCGATCCAGGATTTCTGGCGCTCTTGTGATTGGCGCATCCTCATCGTCAGATATATACCTATCACCTCGACGAAGCGATCCGATTCGTCCATCACTAGACACCCATGGACCTAGCCAATAGGAAAAGCAAAGTCTAACTACCAGATTGCTACTAGTAGGTAGTCTGAAAACAAACAAGTCTACTCCGTAAGCCAATAGCCTCTACAGGCCCCCCAAACATGAAACGATGCCCGCAACCACGCCGATTAGCTTAAAAACATATCCGAGGTGCAAGTCACATGGATGGGACATGGCGGCTGTCAACCCAACTCTACTGCCTGTCTCGGGGATAGTTTATATCCCCGGGTCATGCGACAGTCGCAATCGGTGCCTGATCTGCCTAATCCTGAACCACCAAGACCCTCGTACTACGTTGGCTCGGATGTGTCTTTGTTTCAGCTTACGGCGGATGAGGTGTCCCTCATCACTTTTCTGACTGCTACTATGCCCCTTCCTCTCTCTGCGACGACGATGCTATCCGATTCGACCTGTTTGGTAGATGACAACTGTGACAAGGATGCTCATGATCCTCTGACACAGACCGATCTGACGTATCTAGCCCAGTATCCAACATTTGGCTCCAAACCCCATGTCAGACCCGGGAAAAGAACTCGTAGTAGTTACATTCGAGACCCCTGATCCAGTTATGTGTGGGCATAAGCCCTACGGGGCCAGTCAACTATGCACTCCCCCATCCACCAACAACAAAACTACTTACTATCATGTACTACTATAAAAAATCAACACGACAACAACGACAAAAACACAAACCAGTCAATCCCATCAGCCAAGTCTAGACCCCAATAAGCATCTACCTAATACTCTCCAATAACAAAAACAAAGCACATGACCCCCTCAACCACAAAAGTCTAGAATACCAACGCCCACCATCGATCGCAATTTCCAACATCCCCGAACCCATGCAACACGATGACTACTACCCTGCAGCGACCGGGTATACCATCCCAACGGCGGCATAAGCCAACGTGTAACCGTTCCAGGCAAGGAAATGTCATCTGACACGAGGAAATTTCATTTCCAACAACAACAGGATTTTTCTGTTAAGATCTTGCCTTTCGTTGCGCAAAGAGAAAACTTATCTACCTGGCTGGTTGGGTAATTAGGTGGTGCATGGCACTCCGTACTGATTGCAGGTAGATAGGTAGGTGTTCGTGTAGATGGATGTGGATATGGATATGGATACTTACATGGTACATGCTTACTTACGTATGTAGGTAGGTAGATGTAGATATGTACAGGAGGTGGATTACTATGTACGTACGTACGAGGTACTCATTTATGGATGGGCGGTGGGTCGATCCCATCCGCACAAGGTATCTGTAAACATGCCTGGGGGTCCCAAATACCGGGACATGCAGATGCGGTCGGAGGTGAGTGATTAGATAATTGTTTCTAGTAGTTAGTTATTATTACTTATTAGTTATGAAGTTGGCTTTATTGTCTTGTGCAAAGTTCAATGGCTGCTAATTTACTAAGTAACTAGGTACAGAGTATCTACGGATTAATGTAGTGGTTATATTTATTGAAGGAAGTGCATGTACTGATCTACTCTATTATTTGTCTTAAATGTCCATATTCATGTCTTCCTGAATCAAGGGACTATATTTAGTTTAAATTATCCTTATTCACTATTGCTTCAGTGTGTATGCCTGAAGAGGTAACCCGCTCTGCGATGAACCTACGGTCAGGTTCTTTTAACCTCATCTAGATGCGTGATTTATGGGAGATGCGTTGCTCATGTTGGACAGTCAATTTAATTGGTGGTATACCCAGGTTGATGGGTGCATGGTACATACCGACAGTAGGGAACACACGGTGAGCTCCTCTGTGGTAGCTTGATTCCAGTTACACAGTGTCGTTCGTGGGGTGATCAATCCGGGGTAGTTCCGTGAACGTGTGTTCTGGATCCGTGGATTGGGGAGACAGGGGAGGGAGAGGAGACAAAGGTAATAAGGTGGCTAGAGGCTAGAAGCTAGAAGCTTGGCTTCCTTGCAGCATAGAGAAAGCTCGAGACAGCTGGATTACGTGTCCCGGAGGGCGGATTGTGGATGGCTGGTGAATAGCAGCGAGGAAGAGGAAGGAGACCCATGTTTCGATCAAGCAGCGACCATTCTTGAATCTTCAGCGAGGAGAGTTTAAGCTATGTTTAACTGAAAAGCACATCAGTTCCGGATTGGGCTTCCCGAATGAGTCAAGCTGATTTCCTGTTCCTTCAGATCCTGAATGCGATCCGCGTAACCCTTGCATACATGAGAACCACCAACCCTGGAGGTCAAAGCGAGCGGCGGATTGGCATGATCTGGTAGCCGCTAGTCCGGTTCTCGAACAAAGGTCGGATTCTGAATCGGTCTATTTGCTACCGGTGCCTGATGGGCTTCCTGGTTACATGACGAGAATCCTTCACCTTCATGGGTTGGCTGGCCGGGGGATGCGGCCCGGAGGAAATATGGAATGTGACTGCTCAGGAGAACGGTGGTACTTACGTACGACGGCCTGTCCATGGCATTTGGCGGACGGGCGCGAGGGCAAGAAACAACAGAAGAGGACTTTGATGCTGTCGCCTCTGGATACCGACCCAGATGTTCTGGGCGAATAACGAGTCATGAGTGATCCATCAGACCCTGGTATCCCTAGGTTCCCAAGGTTCCCAGTGCATATCCCGGGCGTTGATATCCGTGCGCAACCCAAGCTTTAAGCTACTGTGTATGCATAAAGAACGTCAGGACGTGGGAGGTCAGGAACACTCTTATTATAGCGCTGGATTCCATGGCTAGGTTCGGATCAGAATGTGCGAACATACGCACTTGTGAGGCTATATTTATATCTATACTCTCCCTCGAATGATCATGATTAATGGAAGCGATATTCTCGGATGCTTCGACTGCTTAATTTACCAGGACTCAAGACATTGTTCTGAGTCGACGGTCAATGCACTACTTACTAGTCAGGACGGTGCCTGAGCTCATCACACCAGCCACATACTTTGATCAACTTCTGCAAAATCCAGACGGTTCTATGATCTACAAGACTATAAATTGGAGGTCACTGTGTTCCTGGCTGAAGCCCTGCGTCGCTCAGTCCCAAAATGGAAGTGGCAGATAGCCCATAAAGGGAATAGGGATGGATGCTGTGTACATTGTACAGCGTCACGGTTCCTGTTCTTGCCAGGCTGCGCGCCCGGTCGGATGTCTGTGGTGACTATGGCCGGGCGGGAGTGCTCCGTAAGACACGAGCGGCATCTGCTGTCTATCATTCTTTGTCTGTGAGCTGCAGTTGATGATGCATGGTCCCTTATCCTGTGCTTCCTAGCCGCTGTTTGACGTGATGCAGCTGCCTCCCCACTTCCGGTGGTCTCTGGTAGTGGTCTCTAGTCAGCAATCGACAACAGTGCATCCTTCACAGGTCAGAAGAGCAGTCCGCGAAGACGAATGGAGCCACCATCGTATAGATGATACTGTTCAATACCGTCCGATTTGCGCGTGCTGGAAAACGAGCAACTCGGTGTAGAGAGTAGAGACATGGAATCCCTTCAGCCGCGACCAGTGGCGCATTAATGCCGCGGGACGACCCCACATCATGTGACGGGAGAGCTGTCTTGTGACTTGGGGTCGGCTTCGCCACCGGATGTTTGTTTGTTTTGGTTCGTTCTGCCCCCACGTTAAAGGGGCCCGGATGAGGTAACATCCCTCCACCGTCCCACCGAGGACTGACTGACTGATAGCCATCTGCATCCTCTCGTCTCTACGCCACGGAACAATAGTCGCCTCTGTCTGTTCTACCTGATGTTGCCGTTGGCCCTCGGCAACTTTCCATCAGCATGGACGTCAGCTCGTCATTAGTGATGGCTTGCTTTTTCTTGCCCTTCTCTGGTGTTCCCTCAATCATCAACCCTGGAGCCCCCGGATGCTCTCTTCGCCTCCTTACGGGTTCCCCCGTAATCGAGGTCATCTCGAACTATGACGACCAATTGACGACAGACTGTTGATCGATGCCCTGGGTTTTGCAAGCCCTCTCCGCGTTGGAGATCATGAGATGGCGGGATCTCATATACATTTGTCTCTCATACATCATTCGGGAAGTTTATCTGGGTTGAGATGACAACGCGGAGAGTATGGAGTGTTTCCTATCCATCGGGATGACTGCCGTAAGCTTAACCGATCAATGTACCAAGAATGTACCCCGTAAATTCTGGAAAGGCGCTCATCGCACTCCCTCGTCCTGGAAGACCCTGCAAGAGGTACGCCTGATGAATCGGAGGTGGTCGAGTGGGTTATGGCGCCGCTACGTGGCTCCCTCCAGCATCACTGTGGAACGATTCTATGCATGAAAGATGGCAGCTGAGCACTTGGATCATATTGAGAGCGGAGTGCCCGCCCCAGCTGCAAGCGAGGCGGATAAGCTCACCATGTTGGCGGGTTCCTTGGTTCTACCTGCCAACAGAGCTCTGGTGCCTAGGAGATAATGTTGCCCTTGAACATTGTCTGCATCGAATATGCATGAAAGACGTGGGTGGGCTCAATTATTAGCTGTTGAGCTTTGCTTTGACAACTGCCGATCTTGGTGTCCGAACCTCTGTAGTTAATAGCGCCTGCCTAGTCCGGCAACACTATATAATTGCGGGGTTTACCTAGGTCATTCACGCCGCTATCTACTACTACCTATACAGCGACGGTTGCGAACGAAGACCGCATATTCCATGCTACGGGGTATTCCGCGGACGTTTACTATCCGGCACTGCGACTGACCACAATGTGAACCGCCTTGCAGATCGTTCAACGCTGCTAGGTACTCGACAGGCCCTTGTGAGGCTTAGATTTTCTTTGGGCCCCAATAAGCCGGCATGGTCACCACCCTCCACATCCAGCCCCTCGAGCTTTTCCCTTCTCAGGTTTCCAGCTGTGATTTGTACATCGGAGAAAATCCCAAGGGGGGTGAGAGATGGAAAAGAAATATACGCCAACGGAAAGTCCGCCTTGGTGAAGCAACAATCAAGCAGATGATGGGTTTTGTTCCGAAGATGAAACAACAACTTACAACTCATCCATCAGCTGTTC